CACCGTCTCGCACGCCCACCGTCTCGCACGCCCGTCTCACACGCCCACCGTCTCGCCCACCCGTCTCGCAGGCCCACCGTCTCGCAGGCCCACCGTCTCGCAGGCCCACCGATTCATAGGCTCGGCATCTCTCTGTCCCACCTCCGTGTCTCGCCCGCCGTCTCGCTTGCTCTTGATATTGTACTCCTGCTGCCTGCCGGCCGTCTTGCTCGCCTGCATCTCGCCCGTCATCTTGCCCATCGTCTCACCCGCCTGTCGTCTCACCCGCCTGTCGTCTCACCTGCCTGTCGTCTCACCCGCCCGTCGTCTCACCCGCGGTGCCGTTTTGCCCATGTGCCATCTCGCCCACGCGCTCCTCGTTCCTCTCGCCCGTGCGCTCTTGCTCGCGCCCTCTCGCCCACGCCCCGCCTACACCCTCTCGCCCACGCTCTCCACTGTCGCCCGCGCTCTCCTCTGCTCAGCCCACTCATCAACCCGATTGTCCACACGATCGCTCGCTCGTCCACACGATCACTCGCTCGTCCACATGATCGCTCGCTCGTCCGTGAGCCCGCGCCTCGTACGACATGTCAATGCGTGCTTCAAGGCACCCCAAGGAGGCCCCGACTAACGCAAGGACGAGTCACCGCAAGGAGAGGAGCAGGGAGGTCGACAGAGAGGAGAAATGAGAAGGGCTGACCACGGTAAACTTGAATACCCCTGCCTGTCGCCCTCCACCCTTCCTCACACAATCGTGCGACACACCCCCGGCCTCGTCCTCTCTACATCCCCACTCCGTGCATACACCCTTGCTCAACATTCTCGCTACCCCGGGAGGCTCTCATCCGCCCGTTTCCGCCTGTCTGTCGCCGATCTCGCTGGCCTACCGTCTTACCTGCTCGCCATCTCGCCTACTTACCATCTCACCCAAATCCTGTCACGGTTTTGTCCACCGCGTTGCCTATCTACCCGCCTATCTACCATATTACAACCAGTGTCCTACTCGTCTCTCCTATCCTACTGTCTCGCGCACCATATTGCACATGGCCCGACTTGCTGTTCTGCTCACCCGCCGTCTTGTACATTGGCCGTTCTCATTGCCTGCTGTCTTGTTTGCCCACCATCTCACGCACTCGCTGACCTGTTTCTCAAGTTCGCTAGTGTATGAAGAACTCAGTCTCTTGAAAATGAATGCGAAGGCAAATGACTGAGATGCATTGTCTGTGAAGTTAGGTATAAAAGTAGTACTAGTAACAATAATCAATATCTTGGACGAGAGGGAGCGTGGGTGAGGCTAATACTACTTCAAAATATCATAATCATATGTTCAGTACAATCCTTGTTGTGATTCAGTAGTATAGAAGTATGAAGGAACATTGGACAACAAGTATGCAGCCAGAGAGAGTGCTCATTAAATGTGGGAACTCTCCGGTGATTTGCCCTCGGTCATTGCCTCGGTCATGTCCCCGAGTCACCCGGGATGGTCTCGTTCTCATTATAACTTCACCTCTGTGCTGCCATATGCTATGAGACTTTGTACCAAGCATGAATATATGCAGTACATGGCTTGTATACAATTCTGTGAGAATTGAACCGTGGGATGCATTTGTCTAAGACATGCTCTCCATGTATAACCTTCTTAGCTATCTCAAGCTATGACATTGCCAGATTGCTTCAGAGAATTGCCAGCAGCAACATGTACCATAGACACAGCATGAATACAACTTCTGTATGTACTTGATTGAAACAATTGTCTTGCAGAAGCTGAGATTTAATCCACATGCCTCTCAATATCTCCAAACAACATATCATTTTTGAGACATATACTGAGATCCTCTTCCTGTATGAGCTGAGATTACACAAAGCCAAAGTGCTCTTTACATATACAACAATGAGGCTAATGGCCCACGTGAGTGGCTTGCCTAATCTACTACATGTAGTTCTACAGCAAATTCAGTAGATCAGCGAAGTATCATCATTGTCAATTGCTGTGAGCCATTCAGGAATCACTCTAACAGAACAAGGAATACCTCAGTGTCTTACCATTGTATCTCTATTTGCTGATATACAGTTACTACATGGTGTATTGCACCTCAACACCGTAATGACTGTCTATAGTAGACACAGTCACGGTACAAACATATATTGGACATGTTCAATAATACATCCACACCATTGGCCCCAAACCAATGAGCAAACAGCATACAGTTTTGCACGTACATACCATTCAAGTCGAGTGAAGAAACAAGATGCATACTTGCTGCCTTGTCAATGTCAAGGAGGTTATCACGATTCACGATTCAAGACGGTGAGTGTCAAGGAGGCTTCTTGACCAGTCCGCCTTGATACCTCCAAGGAGCTCTCCGTCTTGAGATGTCCGTCTTGAGATGTCCATCTCAACTTGTCCGTCTTGAGATGTCCGTCTTGACAATGTCCGTCTTGACAATGTCCGTCTTGACAATGTCCGTCTTAACTTGTCCGCCTTAACTTGTCCGCCTTAACTTGTCCGTCTTAACTTGTCCGTCTTAACTTGTTCGTTTTAATTTGTCTGTCTTCACTTGTCCGTCTTGACACCTCCAAGAAGGCTTCTTCAATATGCTCGCCATCTTGATATCCTCCTTGACACTTTCCATGTTGAAACCTCATTGGTGTTTGCCCACCTAGATACCTCATTAACATGTTGGTATTGACCAAGATGAGCCAACCGTTACCTTGGGTCAAGAAGGTCTTAGTGAGTAAGAAGGTCAAGAAGGTCAAGAAGGTCAAGAAGGTCCAAGACGGTCGGCTGAGTCAAGATGGATATCGGCCAGGAAAGATACCTCAGCTGATGCTCGGCTCATGCATTGTCTTGGGTGAGACAAGACGGTCAGCTGAATCCAGACAGTGGTCGGCTGCAAGCCTTCTCCAACCGATGGTCGGATAGTGCATCGTCTTCGGTGAGACAAGACCGTTGGCTGAATCAAGATGGTGGTCGGCTACAGATTTTCTCCAGCCGAGAGTCGGATAGTGCATCGTCTTGGGTGAGACGAGAAGGTCGGCTGGATCAAGACGGTGGTCGGCTGCAAAGCTTTTCCAGCCGAGAGTCGGATAGTGCATCGTCTTGGGCGAGACAAGACAGTCGGCTGAATCAAGACGGTGATCAGTTACAGATTTTCTCCAGCCGAGAGTCGGATAGCGCATCATCTTGGGTGAGACAGAATGGTCGGCTGGGCGAGAATGTCTGGGTCAGCCAATCATCCCACGCACCGCCTTGCCCGCCTTGTGCCGCCTTGCCCGCCTTGTGCTCGGCCGACTCAATCACCTTCCATGAGACAGTTGCGGTCGGCCGAGGTCGGCCCATCCCATCCCATTCCACGAGACTGCACGTCGGCTGTACCATGGTCATCCATGAGACAGCTGAATGGGCTCCAACCGCCTCCAAGGAAGAAGGTATGTGTCTTCGTTCTTGTACGTGGCCGCTGCTCACACCTTACAGTCAAAGAATATGTTCGACAACATACCTGCTCTCGCACTGCCCAAGCCGACGAAGGTTGCAGACGAGCTCGAGACCTACCTCGCTGCTGACGTCGAGGCTGTATATGACCCTCTCAAATGGTGGCATGAGCGTCGTCGCAAATTCCCCAACCTCTCGCGGATGGCCAAGAGCTATCTAACCATTCCCGGTACGTCTTCTTGTTGGGCGTCGGAAGTTACTAATGTCATGGCTTTTCTATCAATAGCTACCTCTGCGGACGTCGAGCGTATGTTCAGTCGCGGCCGTCTCATCCTTCCACATGTGCGGAATGGCTTGGCGTTGCAATCAATCCGCGCGCTGCTTTGTCTGGGTGATTGGAGTCTCAAGGGTTATGTCGAAGATGATGATGTAAGCATAGTTACTTCGCAACCTGACACTGGTGCAGAGGATTACGAGCGGCCGGTCATCGACGTTGACTAGATACAGTTCGAGCCTTACGATACACTCTGCAATATAATGTTATGACCCGCGACCCGCTCGAACCCGCATGACCCGCGCCCAGACCCGCACGACCCGCGCACAAACCCGTACCCGTTCTCGCGGGTCTATACCCTCACGGGTAAGGGTGCGGGTCAGCCTCGGGACACCCTCGGGTGGACCCGTGCTCTGCACTAGTCTGCTGGGACCTCAGCCTCCTGCATCCCGTCCTTCGGATCGGTAACAACAACGGTCCTGGGCGCACCGGGGTGTCGCGGAGGACGGAAACATTGCTAACTCTAGGGACTCGACTCCATGCATCGGTGGCCTTGATGATGCACGACTACGCTGTGCCCAGTTGGTTTAAAACCACAGGAGAAGGTGACAGTTCCCCCAGCAAGAAGTCCTACCAACCGTCGCAAGTCCAGCACCGAAATGGTTTACTACAACCGTCAGACTACGCCAGCCCTCGACGCCCCCGTAGGCACCACGGCATACGCCCGAGAACCGGTTCAAACTTCCGCAAAGTACGTTCTCATTTACCGATACTCTGACCCACCGTACTGACTCGGATGACCTCCAAGTTGCTTCTCATGGAAATCATCTATGTCGATTTCCGAAGGCACAGACGAGACCACCTCTGCCATGACACCGTACACGATGTCCGTACCCGCGGCGAAGTACACCGTATTGAGCGGAGCCGGGGGTAAATTTGTCTGTCCGAAATGCGGTTGGTCGTGCAACAGCATCAGGAAAAACCACTTTCCCCCTCAAGACAGTCCAACACTTTTGAAGGTACTTTAATCGCTTCCAAGCAATTTCGTTTCATCTGGAGCGGTTGAAAGCACTTCGGCTAGCTTTGACCCATTCGTTCTTTAGTAAAAGCACACTGTAGACTTTGACATCTATGAAGCCGTCTTGTGCAAGTTTACCAGATAGCCTATGCTCAATCAGCCTGCGTATACATTGAATATGATATTGGTACCTAGAGACTACTGTTCTACAGTTTGGATACAACGTTTATCTGACAGATACAGCACGAAAGTTTCACTACACTACCAGTGTCTTAGTATTACATTGAGATTGGCCGCTAGAAATCCTCTTGCCCAATGAACTTGAACCCCTCGTCGTTCCAGTCAAAGTATCCCATTGGATCGTCCGTCTCCATCGCTTCCTCCCCCGCATCATTGCTGCCGCTGTTCTCGTCAGCGTGATCATCCGCCACCGGCCAATTCTGAGGTACTACGACCGTGCAGCCGGGTTCGTCCAAGGCAGGGCGCTGGGCCACGATTCCGAGGGGTCCGGCATTAACGACACTCCATTGCGCCTCCATGTACGCGCGTGGAAGGGGAAGCTGGGGCCAGACGTACTCCAGGTCCATGAACTGACGCTTCATGGAGCACAGCGGTTTGATGTCAGGGTAGATACCGTGGGCGTAGCTGTAAACCTTGGGCGTCGTGCCCACATGGGAGAGCTTGAAGATTGGCATCTGCTGGAGGGGCAAATTGAAGCGTATGGGGACGTTCCCTCTCAAGATCGTCGGGTAGAACGTCTCCTGGTCGACATCGTAGAGGTCGAATCCGGTCACGCCCAAGGAGCTGCGGCGTTCCTCCGAATCCTTCCACGGATTTAGGCCCGGAAACACCTGCTGCATGAGCGGTTGGTGGGCTGGACCGGGTATTTCGATCTGCAGCCCGAACGGGCCTATCTCGCAGAGGAGTGGGATGCTGATGGGCGAAGAGGCGTTCTGTATCCATCCAGAAGTCAGTATTAAGCTAAGTCGCTACAGAACTCGTGGAATGTACCTTTATGAAGAACAATGTCTCCACTACCGCAACCCTCGGTAGCTGTCCATCCTCACGCACCCGCAACAGAGGGGGGACTCGCACCTGGTCGGCGTAGAACTGCGCGACCGCCCCCAGAAACACCCACCCTCCCAGCCTAATCGGGTCGTCCGTCTGCCTCGTTGCGTCGACGTCCTCGAGAATGAGGCGCCGCTCCTCATCCGTCGGCTGCATGACATGATCGGTCTGGTGCATGGTGCAAGCGTCCGGTCCGTACATCGAACACTTGGTGAGTTAACCCGTTAGTACAACTGCCCATATTCGTCAATGAATCGCACGTACATAGTCATATAATTCTCCTATGTGTGCCCTGTCCAGGCACATGACGGTAATGTGAGCTAGACCGGTCTTGAAGGGGCATAGCTGGGTGGCTCCAAAGTACTCCACGGAGCTGATGGTAGGAGCTCTGTGGGTAGCAATGATGGGGAGGACTCTCCGATCGATGTAGATGCCAGCCATAGTGAAGAATGGGAGGGGAAGTGGCGAGCAACACAGGTAAAAGCGAATTTGAGCAAACCCAAGCAGTTGAAAGAGACTGAGAGCTCGTGGGAAGGTTCAGCGCGTCTTTGTTGCAATGAAGCGCCCGTGGCCACACCGTACGGTCGGAGGAAGTATAGATATTATTCTGAGGATTGGAACTCACGCTGCTCAAAATAAATACCCCTGTGTGCTAGAACGTTGACGAGTGCTGAAGTTATTCTGAGGTCGCCCAGTGAAGAGGATGCAACAGAGTTCGAGCACCTGAAAAACACTTGTTGTTCATGGATCCGCCGCTCAAAATGGGAGAGAAATATACGTTTCATTCGTCGCAGATACATGTCTCACTCACTAAATACAGGGAACAAGAAAGCCGTTGGGCCTGATCTCCCAGACCTCCACCTCCGAACGCTGAAACTCCTCAGCGGCCCTCTCGCCCTCGACGTATGGGATCTCCTTGCCTCCTGGGAGAATCTCCCAGATCTCCACTGCGTCCAGTTCCTCTACGCCATAAGCAACAGCCGTTGCAACCACACCATTTACCGCCTCTGATCTGTCCGAATTCAAGTCCGAGTCCAAGTCCGGGTCTGGGTCGAGCGTCACGAGGTTCTCCACTGTACACCCGTCTTCGCCCATGAGAGGTCGCACCGCAACAGTTCCTTGGGGGCTGCCACGGTGCTCGATTCTCCACTTGGCCTTAAGACATTTGCGGGGCTGCGGCAAGTCCACAGGACAGACAAAGTCGAAGTCCAAGAATTCGGCCTTCATGGAGCACATGGGAGGCATAGGCCTCTGGCCACCAGCGTATTTGTCGGCATGCACGGTGATAGATACCGCTGAGTCTTTGAAGACAGGCGTGTACTGGAGAGGGAAGGCGAGGCGAAAGGGTACTTGGGGACGCAGACACGCAGGGATGAACTTGTTGGCGGGGACGTGGAAGAAATCGAAAGTCATTCCGAGTGGTCCCTGATGGCTCTTCCACACGTTTAGCCCGCGGAAGAGCTGTATCATGACGGGTTGACTGAGCGAGATTTCTATTTCATCCCCGTGTATCTCCCATATTAGAGGGAGCGACAAAGGAGGATATGCATCCTAAACCAGAGGGCATAGCGTGAGCACGTCACAATACCGTTCTAGAGGCTCTACAACTCACCAAAGCAAACACCAGAGTTTCCACAACAACTTTCACGGACGGCCCCTGCAAACACCTCGGTATGAAAACTCCGACGTGACTCTCCAGTATCGACCCCAAGAGAACCCATCCGCTCAGCGTGGCTGGAGGATCCAGCGAGTCCACCGCTACCAGAGCTTGCATCCGAGCCCTCTTATTCCCTTGCTCCACGCTGCGCGTGGCTGGACAGACCGAGCAGTCGTACATCATGCACTAGAGTAGAATCGCAGCACGTCAATCTATGCCGAGGAATAGAATATATGCACTCACGTATTCAAACAGAACACCGAAGTACCTTCTCTCCAAGCAAACCACTGTGACATGGTTGATCTCCGGTCCCACTCGACAGCACCGCGAGTAGTGAGCAGCAATCGCATAGGTCGGAAGAGCTGGAGCGAGCAGCCGAAGCACTCGAGGATCAGGACGACCCATTCTTGTGGGTTAAGCAATCGGTATATGGTGCGGACAAGTGATCTGCGGTCCACTGTAGCGTTCTACTGAGTAAGCAAGTGGTCTGCTGTTGGAGCAAGAGGAGGGGCGTCTGCTAGAGTGACAAGTCGCCGGAGGAATCTGAAGCAGCGCGTCTCGCGTTGCAACCGCGAAGTGTCCGCTACAAGCGCTCACAAGCGAAGCTCTCGGATTTGTGTGCATTGTAAATGAATTAGAGATGGATATAGGGAACTACCACAACGTCTGATATGAGTACATTCCAGCCCAATTATTCAATAGAAATCTCTTGGCTTTGTCCAGTGCGTTCTCCGAGTTCCAATCCAAGGGAACAGCACCGCAGGACCCATCAGGGAAACCTGGTACAAGTTGACAGGACTGACGTATGTGTGAGAGGGGAATGATGTTGCCCGGAGGGAGCCCGTCAGATCTTAGCGGTGGTCGATTTAGCGTGTACATGAGGTGAACGGGATCGGCGGCACCTGCGAATCTTGTGTACCACTCGACGTACGCAAGTGGTTCTTTGGGCCACCATGCGGGTGAAGGTCCGCCGCCTTGGCGAGCCGGGAGCTTCTCAGGCAGCTTGAATATAACCTTTACTCTCCCGGCTCTTGTACCTGTACAGTTCTTTGTGAGAGGCCAGGTCGTGATGACGGAACTGATGAGCTTACCTCTAACACCTGTGGACTCCGCCTCCCCATTCTCGAGGACAATCACGGTGTCATAGCGTGCTTTCCGGCCTTTAACAACGGATCCCGGAATGGCCTTTACAGCATCTTCCTCCACCTTACCGTCCGACAGTGAGAACGGACTGAAGCGGAATTTATGGAACACGTCCACTCGGTCGAACGGTAGCCACGTTAGTGCGATATCTGTTCGACCCAGGCGAAGTTCCGGTGGCTGTATGTCGTTGATGAAGGCGACCAAGGCATTTGAGAATCCAGGAGCTTTGTGCTGCTCCTGGATACGAGCCAGATTTTGCTGAGGGGCTGGAGGATACTTAGCTATCTTGATGGCGTTCCCAACGTCGACGACCTCTTCTGGATGACAGGCGGCTTCCTCAGGCTCACCGTCCAAGTCCTCAGCTACCTCCTCCGCCTGGCACTCCTTTTGAAAGGCCTCGTATGCCGCCATCTTCTCTCGCCGTGTGATCCATTTCATCATTTGAGGGAACTCGTCCCGGTGATTCGAGGCGCGCCATGCCTTTTTGGCGAAGTCGATGTGGAGACGTTCGAACATCTCCGTGTTGTAGTTGTCCGTGGTTCCGAACTGACGGATGGAGTCGGCGTAATGCAGGAGTGAGTGAAATTTCGGGATGTTCAAGTTGTCGCGGATTCCAAGCTTGATCAAGACGTCTTTATTCTTGTGGTACGTCTTCAGAGCGTCGGTCATATACCCTAGAGTGGTGTCGTCGTGAGTCGGGTACTGCGCGAGATAGATGAAGTCTAGGATGGAACGGAAGGTGAGCATGACGCCCTTGGGTATCTTTCCCACAAGACAAGCAAGGAGTACGCGGGCCATCTCTTTTCTTTCCTTGCCCGACACCTGGGCCAGCGACGAGATCCCGTTTTTGAAGTGCCGGATGCCGTAAGCGCCTGGTAGACACCGGAGACGGTTGTCTAGTTCCTCAGGGCTGAGAAGGTCCTGGCACCACGAGACCAGGTGCTTGAACACCCCCTGGTACAGCTGATGCAACACGTCCGGGGTGATGGACATGTGGATATCAGTGTACGGCAGGTCCATCCAGAACGGCGTCTTCACACCGCCGCAGACCTCCTGTTCCATACACAGGGCGTCGGCGGCGGCGGCGGTGTTTCCTTCTCGTGCCTCCCGGATGATGCGTTCCGTCTCCTCGGGGGTTCGTGGTTCCTTGGCGACATCGTCTTGCAACTTGTCTGCAGGGCATAGGCACTTCGGGCACGTACCGTACTTCGAACAGGTTACCAGACACTGCTCAGGGTAGTCTGCGACGTACGAAGCGAGGATGGGGTGAACGTGGCGGACGGAGCCGTCACCGCCGGTGACCTCGATGCCGTCCAAGCCGGCTTGCACAAGAGGTTGCAGAATGATACGCATTGCCGCGTGAAAGAGTCTCTGGCCCCTCGCTTTCCGTTCACGCTTGCCGAGCTGCGCCTTGCCAATTTTGGTGACAGGCAGATATCCCAGGAGGATACAGGCGTGTTCGGTCGGTTTGCGGCGGATCGCTCTAGGTATGTTGCCCAGGGTGAGGTACACCGGGTACGCCGCTTTGTTACCGGAGAACTGTGTGAGTTGCGTTTTATCTGTGGAAATAATGACAGGGGCGATGGCGTGCTCTCGAGGAATCATTTTCTATTGCCCACTCTTCAGAATCTTATGTAGCATTCCACATTATTGAATGGACACTCACTTGTACCGCATTCCACCACAGTCCCGTCCACATCTCGGTGAAAATACGCTTCGTCCTGGACCGATCAGTGAAGACACGCTTCGGTCGATACACAATGTACTTTGCGTAGGAAGGGTTGCCCAGAAGCGCTTTGATTGCTTCAAGGATGTCTCGATATCGAACTAGATGCTTCTCATCCGGGCGGTCGGGAAATGCCAGAGATGATGTCTTCCAGGCTGCCCTGTCTGGGATGTCGTCGATCTTCATGAAGAGCTCCCGTATATCCTTGAACGTTAGACCCAGCTTGTCAACGACCTACAAGCGTCCACTCTGAGTTGAGATTGGTCCAGCATAGAAATAAAGAGACGTACACCCGGTATGCTCAGAAATCGATTGAGCGACTTCTGACCGACGTCCTCTCGAACTATCCACATGGCTACACGCCAGTCGAGCTCGGACGCGAAGGGCTTCCACTTGCTGTTCGGGTCTAGCTGCTGTTGAGGCGCGTCTTCACCATCATCCACATCCATTCGGTCGTCTTCACCTGGATTATCCCCGTCTTCATCTTCTCCAAAATAAGCCCTCCACGTCTCCACTATAGTTGGTTCCATCCGTATCACCCTGCCAACAAGCTCGTCTTCTTCCTCTACTCTGGTGTCGTCGTCGTCATCTAACGCTGGCCCTGGCGCATCGGTAAAGGTTGGGCAGCGGGCTGCCTTGTAGACGATGATGTCGAAGCCTCGCCCTCATTCCAGACGGATGAATCAGGTGCAGATGTGGGGCGTACGAACTGGAACAGGTCCCTAGTTTCAAGCACGTCGTGGAAATCTTCCACGTCGACATCCATGTCCACGCCGGAAGCACCCTCCTCTTCCACCACTTCTGGAATGTCACACCTTGGCTCCGGGTTTTTTCCTTTTCTGTACCACAGGCAAGACCGAGCCGTTGACAGGTGGGCCATGACGCCTTGAGCGGATTTGAGAGGCTTGTCACAAGCAGGGCAAATGGTGTCCTCTGCGTTGCTAGGAGCAATGTTCCTGGTGTGGAGCGATTTGGCTTTGCCTCTTGCCATGCTCGGTCGTGTTTCGTAGCTGCCCAGAATAAACAAATGGCTTCAATCAGCACTCCAGACGGGCGATATGTGCTCACTCACCTGCGTTGTGAAGAAGTAGAGACCGCTCCCAAGGTCAACGCGTCGCTCTCGGAGCGCCCTGAAGTCGGTTATGCCGGCGTCTGATCCCCATTCATTCCAGTTATGAGGTAAAGTGACCTGCCATTTCCCAGGTCGTTCCTCCCCGCTTTTTCTGTCGAGCACTCACCTCAGTATCACGCACTTCATCGCTCTAGTTGTCGGGGTTTTGGTGTGCTACCAACTCCGTGGTCCTTGGTCAATGTGGGTCCCACTATGGATGTAGTTGCCAGGCAGTGGGCCTGCAACTGCCGTCTATGGTCCATACACGGCGTCAGTCGCTGAGGATTCAACGAACTCACTCCATCGCAGCTGAATGAATAAGTGACTATCTCATATTTTCGACGCTGAAGTGGTGTCCATTCTGAAGAGCGATATTGGGACTTGCCTTTTACGGCTTGTGCAATCTGTTGCACGCTCACTGTGGCATTAATCCCTTGAGGCTGAAGCCGCCCTTGGACATTACAATTGGGCTACTGTAGCCTTCTGATACACCACTGTTACTACATTGGTATTGGAGACTGGTGCGTGGTCATGACATCTGTTGATACGCACAAGTTACTGACGGTGACCCGTCATCCTGAGGTGCATTATAGGACTTGCCTTTTACGGTTTGTGCACAGGTTGCACGCCTCGAAACTTGAAGCTTGAAGCCCTATCCCTGGCATGAACTCGCGGGAACAATCGTCGCCATAGATGTGTGTGATTGCACGCATGGGTCTGCTGAGCCTCGTACGTTCTGTTTATTATAGCATATTGGGCAGTGGAGGCTCTGTGTCGGAGTTGTACCCCGGCTGTTCCCATGACCCAGGAGTGGCTGACGAACATTCGGCATTGAACGTTGAACTCGTCTCTTGACACTCGGGACTCAGTATGTCTCCCAGCTGCGATTCCTCGATGCACAGCGCCTCCCGTTCTGATACTGATTCAGACCACGAATCTATCGCCGACAGTAATCTCAGTCTTCAGTCTGACCCACCTTCGGACGCGGAAACCCAGCCCAGCACACCGCCGGATCCTCAGCAGCTAGGGCAGGTGGCTATATACTCACCTGGTCGCTCCTTTACGGAGAACGACAGCGATCGACTGCCACTGGTCAAGTCCCTCGGGTACGGAGATGATGCCGTCACCGGTCGTTACGTTATCGACACTCTCACCGAAGTCGTCATCCCGGACAAGTTCTGGGAGCTATTGAGGCACGCCTGCCCTGACCACGACACATACCATGGCCTCCGCGGGTATGTGAAGATTATATGGGAGCTGCAGATGGAGTGGGTGGCTGTTGGTCGTAAAGGGTTCGTGACGAAGGTAATTCACATTCAGCGACATCTATACTAGTTTTGATCGACCATTATCTTATTCAGTCCATCGAGGGGATGAGCGAAGCACAGTTTTGGCTGATGCAGAAGACGCTGGAGCGGAGCTGGAAGTGGAAGTTGCGCAAGGGAGAGTTCAAGCACTGGATATCATTCCTTCGTTGCATGCGGTGAGCTAGATACGTCGTTCGCCTCCTGTATACTGATGTTCACATGCCACAGCCTCGATTTCTGGCCTGAGGAAGGCGTAGCAGTGGCCATCGCACCAACGTTCGATGAAGATTTCACGTCACCTCTTGTGGCGGTCCTCGAGGTGACCATGAAACAGTGCGCTGACACTTGGTCCGTCACGAGGCCGTGTCTGGCACCAAAGTGCTTCATCACAACGTCAGCCGTGCAGTTCGGCGTGAAGTTCGGTGCGATTCTGCGAGACAAACTCCGAAGCCTGGAGCCAGGGACGGAAGTGTTCATGTGTATGGTGGCCCAGACCCGAGACGAGTTTATGTATCAAGCTAGGAAGGTACGCACTCAAATCAGCACGGAGACATTCACTTATTAATCACTCTTTTCCACACTACTAGATGGCCTTCGTGGCTCAGTCTTTGGGAAAGCTTCAAGGCTTTGTCCTTGCGCTTCTCGGCGAACTCGACTGGCAAGATGACCACAGTCTTATCTACGAAGATAGCATTCCGGGTACCAAAGAAGATCATGCCACTGGAGTCGAGTTGTGCGTACTCTCCTATCAGCGAGATGACTTTGGAACGTTCGTGGAATCCGCTGCTCGTGCAGCAGAGTTCCATGACTGGGAGATTGATACGGGATTTATGGTAAGTCAGTCGCATACTTTGTGTACGTCTCCTGATGTACTCTCAAACTCAGCGAGTGCATGGCCCAGCCGACAACACTCAAACTCAGCGAGTGCATGGCCCAGCCGACAACATGGACAGTGGCCCCGCCACGACACCACCTGAAGGGCTCGCTCGCTTCGACCACTGTATCCGTTCTATCATCAGCTCCTACCTCGACGAGCTCCAGCCGTATTCGTTTGCAGTCCGATCTCCTGAAGTGGAAGCCGAGGCACTCCTTTCCGCGCCTGGGCGCGTGCTGGCCAAGCTGCAATCCTGTGCCCATCGGTTGGCACTGGATCTTCGTGCCATGAAGGCGGGAAGGGGTCGCGTCAGCCTGTTGCAGGGGCGAGAGCCATACTACTTCGACGGTGTTTTCAGAGCGGACATGTACGATGCGTAAACTCTACTGTATTTTAATTTCTTCATGCGACGTGTACTACTGGTTAAAAAAACGATGTTTTACGAAGTGGCTCTCATACATGCGTGCCTCGGTGGGTCACCATAGGAAGACGCCCGTGCAACTCATTGCACGGGCTCCATACTGGCCCAAAGCGGCAACTGCTCTCCGGGAGCGATCACCAGAACACCTCGCTGACGGTGAGAAAGGAAGCCGTCAAAGCTCTCTCCATCCTCTATCATGCCCAGCCGTATGCATGAGGGGATGGTGTACTATTTCGCCTCTAATCTGATTCACCTTTTCTCGGCACCGCTTTCAAAAACAGGCGGTAGGATGGCGCACAACATGGAGTGGTCGCCTCGGTTTAAATTGAAGCCGTCCGTCGGCGACGCGATCATACCGGATGCGTCCTTTCTGTTGGATTTGGGCGGGTCATTGCACCTGGTGGCCGGTTTGGACGTTTGTTCTACTCAGAGCGCGCCAAATGTAACAGCGAAGGTGAGTCCCTCAGCGCTGTGTATCCGTGGTTTTGGCATTACTAAAGGTCCCCGTAGTGGGCTAGAGCGATAGACTCCGCATGCCAGCCCGCTGTGGCCATATTCCTGGTATTCATACCAGAACAGGCGCACGATACCCTCCAGACGCCTATGAGCCACCACTGGCAACGGTACGAGGCACCGGGGCGTCACTCAAACGCCATGTTCAGGCTTCTCAAGTGCTCCAAACCTATGGGCAAGAAATGGGGCCGGGGACTTATTGAGGCGCAGCCTCTGGTCAACCCGGACTGGGGCTTCCGCAAACAGCCCACCCGGAACGCTTACGGCTTCAGACCGGGCACCACGCGAGGACGGCGCAATGATCCGCCAATCGGTGAGGTCAGGGTGGGTGGGGCTAGGATCCATGGCGGGCAGCGAGCGTACTTCGTCGTCGCCAATCATAACAACTACCCCGTCATCTCCCAAGCTGCAGACGAGAAGTGGCCGCTACCGCGTCTGTGCGAGGAGTTACCTTGCGTGGTAAGCCATCGATTCTTTTGTTTTACCACTGACTCAAGCCGGATGTCCATTCAGGAGCTTCGCCATGACATCGGTCAGGACGGGGTCAGCGGCCTCGCTTCCCCGCAAGCCGTCTCTCAGATTTCTTGGGAGTTAAAGAAGGTGGTAGAAACATCGCTCATTATGTTCAGAGCGATTGGGCCGACTCCAGATGAGCGGCAGTGGGAGATGCTCATCGCGGGGCGCAACAGCGTCATACTCAATTTCCTCATGGACCGCCTTCGTGGCTATCCGCACGACGCTGTCACGCTCGAAGAGGACGATCCGCTCTTCATTGTAGCCACGCAAGACCCACGGCTGGTGACGTTGAGTGCGGAAGAGAGCATCACGGCTATCTTGCGTGTCGCGCTCAATCGCCTGCGAGACTTGGTCTCAACGCACGCAGGAGATAGGTTCCGGGAGATGGTACAGAGGAACGGTGCTGGCGGCTGGGCTCGCGGGCCAAACGAGAATCGATGAGGTATAGAGTAGGGACCTGTAACGATGTTTGTAAGCATTTTGTATCACATGTATGTCAATCAAAGAGCTTTGTGACACTCGGAAAGAGATAGCACGACGAGCGCTTCACATCCCAATCATGTCAGACCAGGTAACTGAACCTTCGTTCGATATCACGACCGGTTGGTATTTCTGGGTGTCTCTAGATGAGGCTATTGCACTCGATCAGCTTCTCGAGCGCTGTCCGCTCGCACACAAACCTCTTCAGTCCATTCTACACCGTCTTCGTGGCTCCGCAAAAGCGCAGGGATTCCGGCTGCAGGCAACCGAGAATGTGTCGGCCTCTCCCAAGAGTTACAGGTCGCCGTCCTCAGATGAAGAAAGTCTATCATGTTGCTCTATGGACGGGAGCATAGCAGCAGAGGAGACGGAGGAGGAATCACTGGAGACTGCGCAGTCTAGTGGTGAGTCCATACGTCCATGCTTCCGCGAGTACAGCATACAACGGACAACTGGTTTCCACAGGTATCACACCTAGTCGTGCTCGCTCTCAACCAAAGCCCAAGAAATCGAAGCATCATCGGCGGGCCGACTACTCATTCGGTGCCCCCTGTCCCAAAAAGACGGGTGGAACAAGCCTACGCAAGTGGGTGGAGCGTAGCAGGCCTGCAATGGCTCTGGCTCCGTCAGTAACTGCATTTGCGGTACGCCTCGGCAGCGCTGTCACCGAGGACTCGTTTGGCGAGTACGCAAGTTCTTTGCAGACCTTGCTGAGACACGGGGACGGAGCAGAAGGCTTCTTAGATGACAGCCTGCCATCCATCCTGCAGCGATGCAAGCGAATTGAGCGCAATGGCGCGGCGGTTGCGTTTTTAATCATAATACACCATTTGCAATTGCTATGCAAATGCACAAGGTACGTCGTGTGCAACCGCATGACCGCAATGTGTCCTCTAAGAATTGTTTCAGTCTTCGCCGCGCTGACTCGCTGAGCATCTCGGAGGTCTACCGACGCCACATTCGAGGCCTTGATGGAGCACCGCGTCGTCGAACGTTCATGTACTGGATTGCGGCGGCTAGCAAATTTGCCGCTGTTGCCCTTGGAGGTGCTATACGCCACGATCATTGCTTTGGGAGATTGGAGTGAACTAATGCGTCTTCAGGCTCGATTTACACTCTTGCCATTGTTGCATTTGCGAATTTGCGGGTGCCCTTGATGAAGTCCGTCGGTAATCTTGCATGGCAATTGTCAAACCTGCTTCGAGATCCTGAACCTAGTGCGTCACCAAGATATTCGTGGTATACGGTCTAATTATTGTTACTAGCTACACCGGCAGGTCAGGCTATCATTCAGCACATTATTCCAGCCGTCGCCAGCCTACGCCAATTGCTTCCTTTGACTTTCGATACTCTGTTTCCACGGACAGTCCTGGCTGAACTCAGCATGTCAACAGACAAGATCGCATGCTGGAATCTAGTACAATCGGACGACGCACTGAACTCGCTGGATCTCAAGTAAGTGCGCATAGGGTGCATTCTAATCAGCCTTATTTTAAACGTTGATCCGTCATCACAGTACGTTTAAACCTATCCCTAGAAATCTTGCCGTCTGGGCGCCATGCGCTTCGGTACTCGAAGAATCTCAGCACATTCACCTAACGACCGTTAGCCATCGCATATTCCGCCTTCAATATGAGGATCCAGCAAGCTTTGATCCGCCCTCACCTTTGACGGATATCAGTGACAATGAGATGGAGGTTGAGAGCAGCGGCGCATGCCTAACTGCCGAGCCGTCGCTGTCTAGCTCACATGGTGCCACTGTGACGCTGCAGGGGTTTCAGCTAGATCTGGACCAGCATCAACGGTACCCGGTACCACAGGACGAGGACGAAGCCTTTTCATGGACCGAAGAGCAGCGTTCTCTTGCGGAGACAGCGAGCAAACATGACAGTCTTACCGAGTTAAGAGCGAAGGTACCATCCATGTAGAGTTCTCCTACAGGGACTTATCTGACCCATCCCAGTTGTCAAGTATGTACAGCAAAGGCCGTCGGGTTGATTATCAGGAATACGCCAGGATCGGGCTGTCAGATGCCAAGTACGTGATTCCCAAGTTAGCTGCTACTCACTCAGGCTGTTACGCGTGCTAATTCCGTTGCAGTGGTCCGCTCAGGATCGAGGATGAGCACGGGTCTTTGGTGGGCTGCATCTTCTCAAGCATGCCGGACTCTATGCGACAGACACTGGGGTTGAAGATGATCGCATGTTTGGATGCACAGTCGGCCAATCTTGAAGAGACCGACTCGGCGTCCGAGGGCAGAAGCTACCGCTTCCCAGCCCTACATTTCTCTTGGTACAATCGTCACGGCATGAGGGTACGTCTTGTAATCTCACTCATGTCTACAGTCAATACTCAGATGAGGGCGCATCGCCAGGGACATAAAATCCCTTCGAACCTGCATCCCATTCTCATGGAGAAGGAAGATCACTCCCGCACTAACTACGCACAGATGCTCCCTTATCCCTCTCGAGACATGAGCAAATTCGAGGAGATATATCACAATCTGGAGGAGATTTTGGGAGACGTGTTTGAGTTCATGGCCGAGCAGGCAAGATATTTACTGGTGAATTCTCTGATATGGGCTCACTAAAATGCAACAGATCAAGGAATCGTTGCTCGAAGAGTACGAAATCCTCAGCATGGATGCGGAAGTCCTCCCAGGGAACGAGCACTCCATAGTGCATCCCTTCCTCTCACTTGTTATTAACATCAACGTTGCCACTTTGGCTCACAGGGACCGGCAAGACAAAACCCTCTGTGTTGTGCTTGTTGTGGGAGATCACACGGGCGGAGAGTTATGCATGTACGAGCCTGGGCTGGTTTTGCCACTGCAAAATGGCGACTTCATTGCTTTTCCATCCCACCGCATCACACACTTCAATTTAAACTTCGTCGGTCGACGTGCTTCCATAGTATTCCACACCGACAGGGAGATGGAAAAGTGGACGAAAGGAGGGCGAAACGGTTGGGAGGGGAACCGACACTTTCATTGACACAAGCGCTGCGCAGCGCCCATTACGTCTATCTGCATGTATTGGAATCAGTTGACGTGGACTGCCGATTTCTCCCTACCATGTAACAAGTACGGTATCTCTCAATTCCAAAGCTTCATACCATATCCACGGTTGCCTTTTTGCCCTGCGCTGGAAAGAGCTAGGGAACAGATGTTCGCGGCCAATATGGTGCCCCGGAGTTCGGCTCAGCTCCGCATCTCCGAAATCTTCTGCAAGACGCGTTGGCGACGTTAGTTCCTTGACCTCAACACACACTCTCTCCGCCGTACTCTCGCTTTGCTATAACCATGGCCACTCGCCGAACGCGATCAGCTGCCACCAAGGACAAGAAAAAGACTAGCTCCAAGGCTCCCGCCCCGCCCAAGGCGACCTCCAAGAAATCTGGTGCCTCGTCGATCTCTGCAACAGTGGACCAAGGCGATGCTCTCCAGCGCGTCAAGGAGGCCGTGAGGATGACGAACCCTGACGCGTCCGAGAAAGAGGTCATGACAAAGGCTCGAAAGTTGCTCGCGGATATGAAAAAGAGTCCCGCCTCAGACAAGGAGCGTCAAGAAAGTAAGTTACGAGTGGCTACAGCGTAATCAGCTAACTATACTCCCTTCTAGCCATACAAGCGAATAGTGCGGCGATGTTGGACAAGGATGCTGAAGGCCACGATGAAGAGCCTGAGGTTGTAGCTGGGGACGAACAAGACACCAGTGGAGAGGAGGCGGAAGAGGAACCATCTTTCTCGCCCTCCGATGGCGATGCACCCGCTATGTCGAAGGGAAAGGGAAAGGCAACCGCCAGAGGCAAGTGGATGGTAGAGAAGCTCGCCTGATAGTCTAACGATGTTCAGAGAATACAGTTATTTCGCCTCCGAAGCCAAAGCCCCGCCCGAGGCCGCGAAAGAGGAAGGCCGAGCAAGTATCAGACAAGGAAGGCAGCGACACAGATCTTGTCCAGCGAGCCCCTGAGCGGCCTGAAAAGAAGAGGGCGAAGGTGCAGAGCCCCGGTAAAGCTGTTGGGGCTAGGGCGTCGCAGCCTGCGGCGCATAGCTCTCCTACATCGCGTGAGTTGCCCGTACTACCGCATTTGCATGCGTGCCTCTAATGTGCCCCACTACTGGTAGCCCCATCACCTGGGAAGAAGAGGGCGGAGGTAGTCATTGAGTCACGCCGTCCCGCAATCCCTGCGTTAACCCAGGATGAGGACCTGGTGCTCCAGCGTCTGCGTAAGTGGGATTGATTTTACCAGTCTGAAGGGAAACTAACGGCCATGTGAGAGACAGGAGCACGGACTGGGAAGGGGACGGCACGCGTACAGAGTGAGGAAGAGAGCGAGAAGGACCAATTGTCAGAGGAAGGCTCGAAGATGGAGGACTCTGAGGACGACAGTGAGTTCAACTTCCCTGGTATGCATAGCCAATATACTGATGGATTGCGAGCCCCCCAAGCGTCGGGTCGAGGAGCGGTTAAGAGCAAGACTAGCACCACTCGGCACGCATCTAAAGCTGCCTCTGGGGACGACAGCCAGTCCTATCACGTATCGGAGGAGGAGAATAAGGTAGACAGCGACGATGACGAGCTCGGGGAGAACGCCTCTGAGAGCGACGAGGTATGTGGATAATGATAATGTTGATGGAGTACAACGCTAACAAGGTCTTAAGATCATTGTGAAGTCGGAGGAGAAGCCGCAATTGAAGTCGAAGACTGCGAAGGTCAAGGCCCAGGGCAAGCCGAAAGCGTCGAAGGTCTCCGAGGAAGTGATCGCTGAACTCGAACAGGAGCCGTTCCGGACTTTCGTGCAACTCGCCCAGCTAGAATTCAGGGCGTACCTCAGTGTCGAAAACGCGTGGCCCCGTCAGAACGACAAGGTCGTCGGCAAGTGGGACGCTCCATTGTCAATGTATGAGAGGGTCATAGCCAAGCACAAGATCTATCGGGCACCCAAGTTCAAGGCGAGATACGACAAGATGATGGCTGAGTTCAGCACGAGAAAGGTGCTGCGGCACAAGGTAAGTGGTATGGCTATTCTGGATGTCCCCGGTGACAGTTTCCCGGCTTCAGGTCTACAGGCTGGCAGCGCAGTTTCGCCAGGAGGTGAAACAGAAGGCCAAGCGTGTGGTGGAAAAGGAGTTCCTGTCGATCAAGGTCTCTGACCTTGGACCCAACGGCGAAAGGCTGAACGCTGTGGCCCGCGCAGATAAGCTACAGAACGCTTTGGAGGCGCGTATCAGGTGGCTCAAGGACTCGGACACCTTCCACCACGGGAACCTCACCATGCCCGATCCAGACGTTGAGCCCTCGGTGAGCCCCTCAATTGAGATGACGGCAGAACTAACAGCTCACATGGAGCAGCTGTGGGTGGCCGAACGTGACGCCCCGTTCCACAACGAGGCCATTGCAGAAGTGATGGCTCGTCATTGGTGGCTGGGACAGAATCCCGAGGCGTTGCGCCCTGAGCACCGTGAAATATTCGATATCAACAAGGTTCCTCTGTCGAGCAACATGATTGCTCTTGTGTGCAGCGCGGTGAGTAACCAAGTGCTCTACAGAATGCACGGTGAATATCTGATCTATATGTTGTCAGATACTGGTGACTCTGGAGGAGGCCCTCAAGGGTAACATCACCATCAACTTCGACGAGAAGACATACACGCCGGAGTGTGTTGGGCCTGGCGTTGCTTCAATTTTCCAAAGTTGATATTGATGATTTTATCTGCAGGCACGACCGCTTCAGAGCCGGTATCGACATGCTTCGCCGGTTTGCTGATCCGAAGAATCCCAGTTTCAACAAGGGGATTAGCGAGTTAGTCAAATCCATGAACAACTCTCTGGTCAACTGCATACGGTAAGCTCAATAAGTTCGTCCAAATACTTGAACTACTGAAGGGGTCCGTGGGTCAGAACTGTTGCGAGGATCGCGGAGCCTGAACTCGAGGTGACCGACTCGGAAGGACAGCGCGCCACTATTAACCTCAACCTCGACATGGATCGTCTGTCCTCTCGGTGGATGAAAACCGCGGGCCTGTCGTCTGAGAACACTGGTGGAGAGGCCGGCCCGTCGTCGAGCACCCAGAGCCAGCCATCAGCATGAGGATGATGGAAGAGGAGGCATGGACAGCACACTCAGAGGTGCGCATGATACTAGGTTGGTCTGCTATTGACTCAGCTCAAGGCAGCATCATCAACAGGTGGTGTAAGACTACGCTGATGTCCCGACCTCGCTGGTCGGCCGTAAATATTTCATCTTCGTGGCCATTCTGGTCGTCTCATACCTTGCCCTTGTTGCCGCCCCCACGTCTCCATTTGTATCGTTGACAGCCATCCCTCCAGCCACAATACCTCTCTTCTGTACGCTCAGCAGCTGGATGTGTTCTATTGTTGTATCATGACTGTACAATGCCGAATACGATTTTTACGATCACTGTCATCCCCTCTGAGTGCATCTGAAGGCATTAATAAGCATCTGAGAGAACTAGTAACCGGTTGTTGATATTTGAAAGCGCTCTCAACGGCTAGAGAGTAGTCACAAATGCTCCTAAGACGAGCTCCTTGGTTTCTGGGCGTCTAATTGGAATTCTTACAAGTGCTTCCATTATCTCATTGGTGATTTCAAGCGCTTCTTTCCCGTGCATCAATCTCCCAATTAGCGAACTTGTGTTGGAAAGTGGTTGAGTTTGCTCCGCGCACTCGAGGCCAATTGGGACTCTTGTAAACACTTTTTATGCTCGTCAAAACTATGAAAGTGCTTTGGGAAATAGGCGGTTTTCCCTGATGAGGAAGGATATTCTCGACCGCCACATGGGGAGCCCTGGGTGCCCTGGTATCTAGCTTTTTCTTCTCTATATGTTTGACACGGATGCTGATACGGTCCATGTGCCAGCCTGAACGACTTGCACTGTTCTTCGGTCAGCGATCTGTCGGATGGGATTCTGCATAGTATTTACCGTGATATTTATCGTGTGTCATATTCTTTCCATCGTATGTACTTGCCTCAGCATACCTGCCGTCTGCGGCGCTAGAAGATGTGTTCACTATTTATCTCTACTTCGGATGGGATAAGTATGCCTGTTTGTGTGGTCCTTGTATATATTATCCTGTCGTCATACCCGTGGTCCGGTGTATTGATCCGTTTCATTGAACCTTCATGCCATTGACGCCATGGGCATTGGTCCGCAGTATGCATCTCACATTCTCTATTGGATGATGCATCTAGGTGTCTGACATATTCTATCCAGGAGGTGGCAAACACTATGTACGCGCAGAGGGCGGAAAATGCCGTACTCGGTGTTACCTTAACGGAATTTACCGCTCCCGGTTGAGCCTCCAACAGTTGGCACCTCCACCCCGAGGAGGAGGAGCCCATGTATGGCGTCAGGAATGTAATCTACTTCTGTCCTGACACCCAGCTCCGAACGCAGCCGATCGTACGTAGCCCGCGACCATGGACTCCCCTCCTCCTCCCGGGCCTCCTCCTCCTCAGGAAAACCTACTGGGTCAGCTACGCTATGCACGAGCATGGTACACGTAGGCGGGAAGGTCACATCGATGTGAGCCTCAAGGACGGGGGCGCGGGTGTCGGGGGATGGCTGCGAGGCGCTCAGACTCGGAGGCGGGTAGTGCACGAAGTGTCGAGGATGCACTGGGCGCACCAAGTTACCGAGGAACTCGCCCGTGCGCAGGTAAGAATACAGGCAAATGCTACCTTCCCAGTAGCGCAGGGCAAATTTCACGGTGAGGCTTAGCGGGACGTCAGGAGACGCAGGCGACAGGCGAACGAATGAGGGGGCGACAAACTCGGTTGGAATGCAATGGACACCTGCGGAGACCGAGTCCAATGTGACCCAGTGGTCGCTCATCAACTCGCCTACCATTGCGAAGAGCAGCGGGAGTTGGGCTGAGCGTGGCTCGCCGCAGTGCGGGCTGCGAGCCCACCTACAGAGGCACCCATATAGCGATGCGCGTGGCGTCCAGCGAAATACCATCAGGGAGACATTTCTCGGAGTGCTCCGGATCTGTGAAGAAAAGAAGAGCACTTTCAAGTCGTCGATGTTGTAGAAAGTAGTAGACCGGTGGATCAGGCAGCAGTCCGCAGCAAATTAAGGTCAAGCCTCGCTTCAATGTCGCGTCTGTAACCCACAACGGGATTTAGCGGAGAGGACAGCATCATAGCGGACTGGTAAGCGAACCTCTCAACCACTCAGTGGATGTGATTTATCCATGAGCCAGAAACGATCCGTCTTCATGAATTAAAGAGATGACAGTGGGCAGCGCGCCGGCGACTGGAGAACGCAGGAGTTCGAGACCGAGTCCGCTACGAGAAGATGCGATTGTCTACACGAGGGCGGCGCTGATTTTTCAGCTGTTATATCCCAATTAGACACTCATCTCAACATTGCTCACCTAGCTTGCTTGTGGAAACCGCCCCATGGTGGCCAAACTAATGGGTGTCGCTGTATATGCACGCTATTGGCTCATATGCCCCTGATTCACTGAAATTGAGACATTGTGAGCGTAGACAACTTTGCCGAATAATGCCAACTAATCCTTATTGTGCCATTGCGGGGATCGGCGTATGCAGGCAATTAATGGTGTGCTCCACTGGACAGGCCGCAGCAAAGTTGTTGTTACTGCCCACTGTAGCGCTATCAGCGGAGCAGACCCGGGTGATCCAAGCGTTGAGCAGCAATAGTTACCCCGGGCATTACATACAAGGGCGAGCGGCCTGGTGTAAAGCACCGTCGACAAGACTGTTCAAATTTTGATTACTATTGACTGATTCTGGCAAGTAGACAGAGGCCACTTGCCACACCGACGACAAGCTCAAGGTATTAACTGAAGAGCTATGTGCCTTAAGAGATTGAGTCGCTCCTGAGCCCACTGGCACCGCGGCGGGCGTGGTGCATTTGGACCTTGTGAAATACATAATTCGAAAATACACATATTTACATAGCAGCGTGCGAGTAATCACACACCTATACCGTAACCGCGTTACGTCGTATGCTTCCGAAGCCAAACTTCTGTTCCACCGCACCGCCAGTGCCAGGACTCGGAAGTTCCACCGTACGGCGTCAGGTTACACAAGAGGTGGACGTTAGGGTTCTGTAAGAAAGCCCCGACTAATATACTTTGTAAACAAGTCGTGTTAATAACACGTTAATAACATGTTATTAACATGGGGTCCGCTCGAGGCCAGATTTTGCATGTAAACAAGTGTAAGAAAGTCACAACCACTAAGCCCGTGTATCTCACTGACCTAGTCCAGGTCAGTGAGTCTTGCTCTCCACTAGTGAGAGTTGATGCCAGTGGATATGTTGGCGAGGATGACATTGAGTCTAGCGGTTTGTTCAGAGAGAGTTCCGGTTTAGGCGGCCGGCTGATCGGGCGCGCGGAACATCTTCGAATGCCCTCGCCGTCACCCGGAATTGTGCAAGGACGACACTTAGCAGCTTGAAAGAGCATGACATCCTCGCAGACGTAAGGGTGTTCTCTGATTGCATGGACAAGTATAAGTAAGTTACTTATTGACAGTGACGGGGCTGTGGGGCCAAGTCGTCCGATGCTTACATCAGCACGTAGATACCGCATCGCGCCAGCCTGTACTCACAGTACTACCGTGACAGTAGTTATTCGTGCACCTTTCCAACACCAGTATATGAACCCATTCCGTGCTCGTTCTCATCTCTTTCGCCCATTCTGCGCTGCAACCGCAACCACTACAAGTCTACGACTGCCCGGGCCCGAACCAATCCTGCTTGTTACGCCATCATGCAACTTTGATATCAGGCGGACTCGCTGAGTTGAGCTGAAGGGACATTGACCTCGGAAATCAAGTCCTCTACTGTCAGCCAGGCCGGGGAGACAACACTCTTACCAGCTTCAAGTTGCTCTCGAGTCTCGCCCCGGGCCCCTCACAACCCCCTCATCCTGCGCTAGCTGGAGGCTCGGGGCCCTTCCTCTTTCTCGCGAGGGTGCTTCTCCGTGAGCAGAGTCTATTTTAAAACGGCTAAAACATTCATCAGCAAAACGGCGCACTGTCTGACGGCGCCTGAGGCTAATGAAGGGCCTGATCCGGAGTCTGAGATCGCTGTCATGGCTGACATGATTGGGCGCTTATGCTCCGCGCGGCCTCGGGTCGTTCTTGGCTCACTCAATCAGAGCCCGTCAGTCTCCTCAGTCGCGTCAGTCGTATCAGTCGCGACAGACCGTAGTTTCGAAGCTACCACTACTAGTAGTACATACAACTTGAAGCTAGTATCACAGGCTCTGACGAAATAGATTGAACAAAGCTTTGACTACTAGTAAGTAGTCTACGTTATTTCCTGATAAACCTTGGTACACGAATACTACATAACACGAGCACTGTGGTATCAACTCGGGATACTTACTGTGCGTAGGGCTGAGCGCTAGCGCTCAGACGGGAGGGAAGGACTCGGTGAGGTTGCGGTGACGAACTGTAAGACGCCTTACTCGTCGTGCCTCGTATGCGCTGCACCCAGTCTCTATTCAAGAGATACTGTCTACAGATTGCATACAAAGGCGGTGACGAGGTAAAGGCTGAGGACTCGTAGGTGCACTGGCGCGCCATACGAGTCCTCGAGCAAACAAAGACAAACATATAACGTAAGACATACCGTAACGGGAATATCCGTTACACCCTCCCCCACTGGACACGACCACGGGTCCCAGCGATAACCAGAGAAACAGATAGAAAAAGGAAAAAGAAAGGAAATATATGCAACAACCCAACGGTGGTAGCAATTGGCAAACAAGGATGATGTTGAACTGTAGACAACAACATGCTAGATCGTGTCAGTGAGCAGACACAACCATTCATCATTGTCGTACATAACTCGACAGAGTTATGCAGGCCAGAAGGTAGACTACTACTCGGACTCGGAGTAGTAGTCAGCATCTTCAGAGTTATCCTCATCTTCGGCAGATAGTGCAGAAAAAGTTTGGGTATCCTCCATCTCAGACTGCTCGTAGTAGTCGGAGACTACTACTGAGTTTGTCTCCTCAGACTCTGGACTTCGTGAGTCCCGCAAGCTATGGTGCTCGGACTCGGAGAAGTACTCTGACTCAGTATGGTCAGGGTACTCCTCACGAGTTGTGATAGGAAGCTCCTCATCGGAGGAGATGTACCAATCGGAGTCATCCACTGGTTGACAAGGCGGTACCACAAGCCAGCCCAGCTTGTTGTAGACCCATCGACGCACTACCTCCTTAGGTAGTGGCGCAACGAGCAAGGGGTCAAACTCGAGAGGGACCACTTCCAACTCCCTCTGGAAGTGGTCCCATGCTCGACGAGCTGCACGAGAGTATGTCCCCGGTCGCGGGGACATCTCCTCGAGGGCCTGCCCACAGCTAAGTGCAGACCTCTTACAGTGAGCCCAAATGGCCCACTCGCCGTCACTCGCCGCGACATCGGCCTCGTCGAAATCGTGGTCAAGTTGGTCTGCAAGGAGGCTGAAGCATTCCTCGCGCGACCTCTTGTCACTCGGCCATCGACTCACATCAACGGTTACTGAAAAATCCAGTGCGGTCGACACTCGGTTCAGTTCCAGTACTTCGCGGCGCGAGGTACTGGCTTCCCGAGTGATGTCGTGGCTGCGACGGTCACCCGTATCCTGCACTTCGAGTCGATCACTCGATGCGCGTGGTACCGGTGGTACGCGTCTTGATGTCCGATGTGAAGCTCGTACGTCGAGCACTACGCTGGACGTACGGCCCGAGACTACATCTGGTCCCAATACACCATTGTATGATGTACTGGCCACTCGCGCCGTATCCTGCACATCGCGCTGACTACTCGATGTGCGAGTAGCTGGCATTCGCGTCGAATTCCCGTGGGTGGCCCGTACGTCAATCTCACGGCTTGGCGTCCGTGTCGCTGCCGGGTCCGAGGCCAGTACATCTTCGTGTGATGTACTGGTTGTGTTGTGGAACGAGCGGCGGCCGTTCGAGGCCCCGCTCCCTTCCCCTCTCAAGAGAGTACCCCCCCTCGTAGAGGAGGTCTGCGCTCGCGCCGGCTCGGTCTCGATACCACCGGTAGTCGTTGAACGTCGCCGTTCACCTGAGTCCGATGAATCCAGCCCTCGCGGTGGATGTTCCTTCTTATGGGCGCGCGACGACGCCCTGGTCGTCGCGTCATTCGATGCGGGTGCATCACCCGGTAAGCTGGATGTGCCTGCCACACTATACGGTCCAGGTAATTGTACCCGCGAGGACGAGGAGTCGTCCTCGCCAAGTTTCCCTTGCCCTGGAACCACCGACGTGACCTCGTCAGTCCCCGTTCCTTCATTTGACTGCGCTGGGTCCGGGGAAGACGGCAGCACGTCCATCTTGGACGTGCTCCGCGGTGGATCCTGACTTCGCTCGCTAGAGATGTCAAGTACCGCGAGGTACTTGGCCTGGCTCACATCGCCGTCGACCGTAGCTGGCTCACATCGGTCTTGTTGGCCGTGGACGCGTCGTGCAGGCGGCATGTATAGTCCCGATGGTCGCCATCCGGTCTCGGGTGCGACCTGTCGTACGTCTGCAGCTGTAGGCGTCTTGGTTGATTGCACGCGATCCCCGGCATGGAGGCCGCCGTGCGTGGCCACTGACACGACTACGATGTCGCTCTGTGGTGTGGATGGACCACTGTCGATTGCGACGACCTTTGAGGTGGTCGCGATCGGCACGGGCAGTGGTACGGAAACGGGTGTCGATGGACGTGAAGCGAGTACCGCCTGGTACTCGCGCTTCGGGTCGCCGGTGCGCTCAGTAGTGTGTTCCTCGAGCATTGGGCTCGACCTCTGTGCGTCGTGCGTGCGCTGTACATGCGTGCTGGACGCGACCTGTAGGTCACCTCGTGGACTGACCGTACCACTGCCGTACGCAGTGACGGCCACGACAACCGCACTGGTTGTCGTAGTCATCCCGGGTGGTGACCTCGGGATAGGGAGTGGTGGTACCCATGAAAGGGGTACGTCCAATAATGACGTACCTGCGCCTTTCGAGCCTGAATGCTCGACTCCTTCGCGTACACCGCACCCTTCCCCTTCTCCTCCTTCTGCCTGACCATCCCCGTCGGACTCTCCTGCTTTCACACCCTCGTCCACGTCTTCTCCGTCCCTGCCTTGCCCGTCCTTCCACCCTTCGCGCGACCTCCCGAGTGCGTATTCGACCTGGAGCTCGTTGTGCCCGTCGTAGGCTCCAGCGGTGTTGGGGCGCGCGGAGAGGTCGACAATATGTTGGCTGGGGGTCCCTAGGATTGAGCCATCGGCGAGAACTGTAAAGTTCTCGCCGGTTTGACGGTCGAGCGACCGTTCTGGTCGGTCGGAGTCCGTAAGCGCCGGCTGCTGCGCTGTCGGTAGTGCAGCAATATGGTCGCGATCTCGGGCTCGCGCGTCCGTTGGGACTACGCCAGCGTCGATCTGCGCGCTCACCGGGGCGCCAGGGTCGCGAAGGGGTGGTGGTCACTTAACAAGTCGAGGTCGAGGTCCGCCGCGTCGTCGCGCCGGTCGAGGTCGTATCGCGGGCTTCCTAGCTGAGCCGCGAAAGGTTCAGTTGTCTTGGAGAAGCCGGGGGCTTGCACTTCCTGTGGGAAGTGCAATTCCTCTTGAAAGACGGTCGCGCGCGGTTGGTGGCTGCTGGATAGGTTCAAATCGAAGGCGAGGCCGTACGGAGGTTCTGCCAGTTGAACCGCGAGCGGTTCAGCTGCGCGGACTTGAGCTGCTTGTGCTCGCCAAGGGACGGTCCGAGCCTCTCGCAGAGAGGCCATACGCGTCGGTCGGCTTTCCAAAAGCCTTGCGGAGTCGAGCGCGTCACGGGAGAGATCGTCCGGGACGTTCCACGGCTTGGCTGGCTGAACCAAAAGAGGTTCCGCTGTGCCGGGGCAGTCGGAGGTCTGCACTTCCGCAAGGACGTGCAGGCCGTCTTGAGGCGCATACATCGCGCCACATGCAGACGAGGTTGAGTGGGACACGTTGGACAAGCATTGCTGCGTGTCCATCGTGCCACTTTGCGAATTGAAGGGTACGACCGCGAGGTCATCCCCTAGCACAAGTGCGCCGCCGTGCAGTGTGGGAGGCACGACCATTAGGTCGTTGCGCAGCGCGATCGTGGTGTGGTGGGGTACGTCGGACGTGCAAAGTTGCGCGTCCGTCGTATCGCCTTGCAGAGTGAAGGGTCCTGGTACGACCTCAGGGTCGTACCGCAGCGCCCGTGGGACATCCGGTACGACTTCGCAGTCGTACCTGAGGGCGGGAGTGCCATAGTCATGGCCAGTAGTGCGCACGACAAGTCTTGAGTTCGTCGATACGCCTACTGGCGCGGGTACAGGGGGTATGGATGGTATGACCGCGAGGTCGTCCCCTAGCGCAGGTGTGCTCTCTTGCAGAGCGGAAGGGACGACCATTAGGTCGTCCTGCAGGGCGAGCCTGCCGTCTTCCTGGCCAGCAACGCATACGGCGAACTTCATGTTCGTCGCTATGCTTGCTGGTGCGGACACGGGCGAGAAGTGAGGTATCGATGCGGGTGCGTCCATTTGGGGCGTACCCGTTACTCGACATCCGGTTGCGGAACAATGGGACACGTCGGACGTGCGGTATTGCGCGTCCGCCGTGTCGCTTTGCAATGTGGAAGGTCCAGGTACGACCTGGAGGTCGTACCGCAGCACAGACGTGCTATTTTGCGGAGAGGAAGATACGACTTCGCAGTCGTACCTGGTTCCGTGGCCAGCGGTACGCTCGACGAACTCCGTGTTCGTCGATACGCACGCTGGCGGGGGTACTGGCACAGGCGGAGGCGAGGAGGGTACGTCCAGCATGGGCGTACCTTCGACTTGTGAGCCTTCCTGCTCGCTTTCCCTGCTCGCCCCGCACCCTTCCTCCCTCTCTCCCTTCGTGCCTTCCTCGCACCCTTCTCGTTTCTTCGGGATTTCCTCGCCGCCTCCACGATCCGCGTTCCTCGTGGTCCGCTCGGTCTTGCAGCTCGGCGCTGGGCTTGAGTGCGCGGTGTTCAAGCCCTGGGTCGCGCGGCTGGGTTGCGTGTCGCCAGAGCCGCGGTATCGATCGCCAGAGTCAATGCGCGAGCCGAGAGGGGTGAGGTGAGGAGCCGGGGGGGAAGGAATTGACGATCTGGTACCGGGAGGTACCAGGTCGTCGGTCGCCACTGACTGGACTGGCGGTAAGTCAGCCAGCCATTCGCGAACGCGAGTTCGCACTCGCGTTGGGGCCGCGCGCGCGTCTGGTCCGCCGGACGGGCGCTCGAGGTGGCTGCCCAGAGAGTGGGAGTGGTCGAGGACGTGGAGTCGGTGGTGGCGGTCGAGTGCAGTGCGGCGAGCGCTAGCACTCAGGGCGCTCGCCACGGACCCGTGACGCTCGACGCCCGTAGGGTCGAGCGCGTCGCGCGTCGCGTCGAGCAAGTTGCTCGACATGGCGCGCACGTCATTCGACAACGAATATATATTTTTTGTGTCGCAGCTCATCTCTGAACACGCGACGAGCGTATCTACACGCGTGGGCTCGTTCCCACTGCACACAGTACTACTGTAGTACTGTGTGCCTATACCCTCCCGAACCTGGAGATGCGTCGACTCGACGCACCGCTCGCTCAGTTCGGGTTCGAGCTCGGCGACAGGCCTGTCGTCGAACTCGGCGCGTGCACCATCCTTCGGGAGGGTGCCCGGCTTCGCTGCTTGGGCTGGAGCTGCCCGGGATAGTGTTTCCGGGTGGCTCTGAGCAGGCCCACTGGTGGGCTCGGGCTGTTCAGTGCTCAGTGCGGGTTCGACCTCACGGTCGGACGGCGCCTGCTCTGTGGGTGCTCCGGCTGAGTTCTCCTGGTCGGGGGACTCAGTCCGAGCGGTCTGCGCACGCGATGAGCGGCTGCGACTGCTGCTCGCTGCCGACAGTGCCTCGTCGACGGCGTCCATCAGATCCTTGCGGGTCTGCTTGGACTCCTCGAGCGCAGCATTAATCCGCTGCTGACTCGCCGCGGCTTCGGCGAGTGTTTGCTCGAGCTGCTCTTGGCTCGCGGCGAGCTTGGACTTGATCTCCGCGCGCAACACCTTGAGCTTGCTGCGGGTTCCGCTACGGGATCCGCGACTGCTCCGGGTTGCTTCGGAGGGGTTGGGTGTCGACTCAGACATCTTGCTGAGGTGTTGCTGGGTCGACTAGAGGTTGTTATAGAGCATAGAATTTCGAGAGTTCGAGAGTTTGTTGCCTAGAGTAGATAGTCCCCAGAGATAGAAGCTTTTTCTGGAGCGCAAAAAAGTGTAAGACGCCTTACTCGTCGTGCCTCGTATGCGCTGCACCCAGTCTCTATTCAAGAGATACTGTCTACAGATTGCATACAAAGGCGGTGACGAGGTAAAGGCTGAGGACTCGTAGGTGCACTGGCGCGCCATACGAGTCCTCGAGCAAACAAAGACAAACATATAACGTAAGACATACCGTAACGGGAATATCCGTTACACGAACGAAGTACCGCGGGCGCCTGCCCTAAACAGGCGCGCCACGTCACCCACTCGTCCATGTCAACGGTTGCGACTCGCGACTTTCCTGCCAACCCCGTCGTTCGGTGCGGCGTCCCATTCTCTGTCAATCAGCTATAGAAGTACGTCGGAGAGCCTGCGCATACTGCAGCAGCCGATGCCTAGGATGTCCGAGGGCCGAGGCAAAGGACCGCCGTCGCCGGACCACGAAGGACAAGGTCTCGGAGAGCTCGAACAGGAGTGTCGCCGCGGCGAGCGAGGCACCGAAGGAAGAGCGCATGCGACGGGCACCCGCAAAGCGCGTGAAGAAGGAGCCAAGTAAGTAATCAGGAGACACCGGCGTATGGCGCTGATTACAAGTTTACAACAGGCAGCTGAAGGGCAGCCCGCGACAGGCTCGGGAAGCGCAAGTCGCTTGGTGCAGCCATCGCCGACGGGCAGCGCGCCGCCACCGCCTGCAAGGCCCGTCGACAGGGACTTCAACGAAGGCGTTGCGAAGGCTCCCATGAGGCTCACGTCGAATTCGGGCGCGCTGTACCGTGGACCAGCTGACCTGCGCAGCTTCGGTCCTCGTCCTGGTGGGCCGATTGGACCAGGTGGTCTACATTCTGGGCTAGGTCATTGGCCCAAGACGATGCATAATGATTGTGAGCCACCAATGTCATCTCGCGCGCCACCTCTGATATCGGGTACGAAACGCTCGTTCAGCCCCGGTCCTGATAGTCGCAGCCTCGACATGAGGCACAGCCGTGTTGGGAGCATCGGCAGCATGCCTGGGCATGGAAACAGGTGCGTCTTGTCTCAGTCCGGCTCTGGTGGACGTTCCTCTGAAGTGCGCTCACGTCTCTCGCCTATCCCTTTCCATCAGCAACCAATGTCGCATTCACCCGAGGCCCGTCAGACTGGGGCGCGGAGCTACCAAGTCACCTCTGGCTCGCGGGTGCAGACGGCGAGGGCCTCTCAGACATGCAGGGTGGCGCCGAGCCTCTCGCCGATCTCGTCTACGCGCCTGTTGCTGGTACGTACGCGCAGCAAGACTACGCACGCCCGGTAACCCTCCCAGCCTCACCGTCTCGGAGTTCGAGGTCGAACAACCGCACCACGTCAAGTCCGGCGCGCCATCACACGAAGATGAGCCCGCCTTCAATACAGATATATCGGGCGCTGCGTAGGCGTCCGATCGCGCGCCGCTGCTCAACTCGTGTCTGCCCGTTGACCGTGCCTCGACTGTCTTCCCGTCGTTCGCCCTCCGTCGACGCGCTTCGGTCCCTTTCTGCGCCGACGTGTCGCGCCTCGACGCGCTCTCTTGGAGGACGAAACACTCTCGTGGATGCATTGTTTGTATGCACTCCTCTCGCCTGCGCCGACACCAGGATCCTCCGATGGTCGCGCCTTCTTCTCATCCTTGATAGCTGGCCCTGCCCTTGCGCCCATCATCCCATGGACTTCCGCTGTCCTCTCTGCCCTCGGTGTCGTCTCCTCCTCCCATGCCCATCCTCTGGTGTACACATCAGCTCACCCGCGAACGTTCAACAGTTGCTGCCCTGCGAGATAAAGACAGCAAGGGTGATCCCCATCTCCGACGCAGTGTTCTCACAGTCACTTGCAGCTTACATCACACGTTACGACACGGGTATCCCTCCTGCGTTCCAGCTGTGTGCCGCAGCCATTCAAACACGAGTTGTCCGTTTTGAACGGCATCAAGTACCGAGCCGTAAGGTAGGTTTGGTTTTTGTGGATTCAATACGAATTTTGTATGTATACAAAGGTAGCTGTAATGATCTTCAATGACAATGTGTGTGAGTATGTCAGGTCTGGTAAGCCCTCTGACGAGTCTGAAGACTGGTCTGAGTCGGTCTGAAAGGTACACTGAGTTCAGACTCTCGGTCTGAACTCAGAAATGAATCTACTCTTTTCAGACTCGCGAGTCTGAGAGTCTGAAGAGTCTGATGTGACTGATATCAGACGTATCAGGCGTGTTCAGACGAAGTCGACGTTTTGCTGATGTTGTTCACATTGTAAAAAAGTACTTCTTTACATGTTTCTTACACGTTTCTTACCATTTGTTTATAACTGTTAATAACACACGTAAGAAATGCCGCTGAATGGTCCGATGTAACTTACAAATGTAAGAAAGTCTTCGGGGTTTATTTACAGAACCCTAGTGGACGTCTGCCCTTACTAAGTAGCGGCGACGATCTGGACGGGTCAGGCCTCGAATGATTACGAGTAATGCATTCATGCCCATGGCAGGGCCATACCGCAAAGCTAGCTACAAGTTGCTGCCAGGACGACGAGGACGAGGAGGAGGAGACTGACTCGGATTCTCCAACTTACTCCAGCGACGCGCGCACGTGCCTGGACGGCGCTTAAAGGTGACTTGCGACTTGCGACCCACTTGGCAATTGCTTTCCCAAGTACTGAAACTGAATTCAGGCTCGAGTGGATACGAAACGAACCTTCAAATATGTATGTCGCGTCTATATCCGCGCGCCGTTCTCTCCTATGAATCGCGAGAAACATCACGGCCATCCACCAAACGAAGCTCTGTGCGGCTGATAAGACTTCACTTGTCATCGCGTCCACCGGCCCCTTCACACCTTTCCACCCGTCGCTCGTTTCCACCTTCACATCCACCACCCATCCACCATCCATCCACCATCCATCCACCAACTCCCAGCATGCGCCTCATTTGGCAGATATGACCTCGGTCTCTATGCATCATCTCGGCATATCAGATAGTGGATGCAAGGCCATACAGTACTTCGTGCGCTGACAGCACGACATGCAGTCGGGTGACCGAGCTTTGCTCATCGTTATAAAGGGGAAAGGTGGGTTGTCTCAACTGCATCAAGCAGAATCTGCCTCACCCACCTCTCAGGTCGTCTACCCACCCAAGTACAACCTGAGTATTCACATGACATTCCCTCATTCCCCCGAGCTTCAGTTTGTCCCAAAGATGTACTACCAAACAGAGGTCAGCGACAATTGCTCCGCCGGGTACGTCAACAGCTTTCTTTCCCCCCGCGTGGTGCCATGGCCTGACGTTGTCACAGAGTATATGCGCATCTGACCATGCCGGAGGACTGCGCGTGGCTCAAGGATGGTGAAATGCTTCCCGATAGTTCTCGGCTACATCCGTATCTCGCGACTTCCCCCTCCATGCCTTGGGATTTGCATAGCACTCCCCACGGCGATTATCAGGAGCCTCCGGTTCATACGCCCTCCACCAGCCGCAGTCCCAGCCCCGGCGGAAGTGCTCAAGCTCAAGCTCAAGGACTCTACGAGTATGTATATCACTTCTTTGGTCCCCCCCGGTGCACATTCGCCTACCGTACTTGCAGATATTGGCAATATCCGGAGTCATCGAACGTGGGATTTGAAGGCACGGTGTATCTGGACTCTGGGTACGTCTGCAAGCTTCGATGCTGTCCGCTTCGCTCATAGTATTCTTGCCAAGTCTGGTCTACAATAAACCCGTTGAAAATGAAGCTCAGGGCTGGAATCCGTGTCAATATGCGTCACCGCTCGATACGGATGCTCCGGGATTGGCTGGCTTCAGCGTTCCGCATCAGTTCGGGTTGGCTTACGTCTCATGCCAATTTGGCACGGAGTGTGGGACGGCCATACAGGACGTCACTCCCAAGGGCGTCTGCGAACATCTGCAGCACTACCACAGCCAGGACATCGACAGCGACTACGCTCATGACGTCCTCAAATGTCTATGGCAGACTAACGGCGAGTCATGCGGCGCTGCGCGGTACTATGATGCTGGACTGTGCGAGCACATCGTTGCGACACATCTGGTTGACCCCAGACCAAATGGTCATGGTCTCGTATGCCTTGTGTAGCCCCAGAGCACACAATATCCTGCGAGCAGCTATGCGAATCGCCAGCAGCTATCATGTAGATTGTGAGTGACGCCTAACGCCGGTCGTCGATGCTTCCTTCGCCACATGATGGTGCTGACGTTCCTGCTCTCTGCAACAGCGGCAGCTTGTGCATGAGCGGTAGACATCTGTCCCGCCCGCACCACAGCCACGGGTTTGTGTATCCGCCGATTTTCTATGCCGAATGGTTCAACCGTGAACTCCCCGCGATGCGCTATCATACCTCGTCATGTACTATGGACTTGCGTTTTGGTTAGCTTACGCTCTCGGTACGCTCAGACTGTTCTTCTATTACTGCTATGATCTCGTCGCGGTGTTGCTTTGTTCAGTGACTGTACAATTCAGGATCGTCGATTTGACTGGCATGTCCTGTACGACATCTAGGCCCTGATCGAGAGGTTCCGCCGATCGCGCCACCCCGCTGGTTTGTGCACCGACGCAAGTCTCAGCCACGAGCTCTCTGCGGGATGAGGATAGCTTCCGCATTCGTATCCGCATGACCCATAGTTGCTCCCGCGCATAGCCTTGCTCCTGCTTCCCGCGTACCTGTGCATCTGCATCCGCTCTTGGCTCTGGAACGGATGACGGAGGGCCAGTTGTGATCGGGATGCCGATCGTATTTGCCTCTGCCTCTGCGTCAGCCGAGGCCTGCGAGGTATATAAGGTTCGAATTATTGTGCCGTTTCTCAACCGCGCACTCGTACATTCCTGTCCCAACACTTCTATTTCTCACATCGCTATCACCCCTTCATTGCAATATGGGTCACTTCCGCCGCTCAGTTCTTGGTGGACTCGCGGTCGGGATCGTCGCGCAGTCCGTGATGGCAGGGCCGTACACCATCGCCCAGACCAACGTCGGGTCTGATTTTTTCAACAACTTCCAGTGGGAGAACATATCGGACCCCACGAACGGTCGAGTGTGAGTTGCATCTCGGCCTGTCATCTGAGCTGTTGCTGAAGAGCTCGCAGTGAGTACGTGACCAAGGAGACCGCGCAGGCGAAGAACCTCACCTACGCCACGGAGGATTCGTTCGTCATGCGCGCCGACTCTACGACAAACCTTACCGCGGATGGGCCGGGGAGGATGAGCAACCGTATCAAGAGTAATGCCCAGTACAACACTCACGTTGCTGTGTAAGTCGTCAGTATCTTGATGAAACTCTTCGTAGACTGATCATTCTGGGTCAGCTTCGACATTCGCCACATGCCTCAGGGCTGCGGCACATGGCCGGCAGTGTGGGAGGCAGACGATACCGTTGGAGCCGCCAGTGGTGAAATCGACATCCTTGAGGGTGTGAACGACCTCGCGCCCAACAGTGTCACTCTGCACACTGAAGGCAACTGCACTGTGCCCAGCAACCGCACGCAGCTGGGGTGCGTCTCGTCAGAATTGTTCATCAATTTGTTGCTGACGTCTTTTCAGGACGCCACTGTCAAACGATTGCAGCGATACCGCTGACATCGGAAACGGCAACAATGGATGTTCGGTGGACGCTCCGTACACTTCGTCCTACGGCCCGGTATTCAACTCTAACGGTGGCGGATATTACGCTATGGAGCGTACGTCGCAGTTCATCCGTGTGTGGTTCTGGGCGCGCAATCAGGACGGCATTCCGTCGGACATTACGGGGGGCGCGAGCAGCGTTGACACTGATAACTGGGTATGTCAGCATTTTCTTCCTCGGAGGCAATATCTGATTGTTTGCTAGGGAACACCGATTGCATACTTCCCAGACGACAACTGCGACATCAACAAAGTTTTCGGCAACAATAACATCGTTATTGATCTTACATTTTGCGGAAACTGGGCAGGCGCAGACTTCACCGAGATTGGCTGCGGCTCGGACTGCATTCGTAAGCCTTTGTACCGTGCTGCATGTCGCACTCATACTCACAGCGCCTCCAGAGTTGTGAACGAGAATCCGTCGGCCTTTTCCGATGCCTACTGGGACTTTGCTGCCGTGCGTGTGTACGAGGGGTCATCCAGTTGAATGGTGGCTGCCAAAATGCAGTCTTCGCGACTGTCAGGACGAGATCGTTAGCGCTTGGGGTTTGATGGAGTGGAACGGAACTATCACGCACAACTTAACATTCAACTTAGATCCTACAAATGTACACACATTCTGTTATCCAATTTTTATTCACTCTGTAATCCACATATTCAGAGTATTGCACTGCGACTTCACCGACTCGTCGCGCGTGTAGGGTGTCGCTGAGCTCTCGCGTCACGCGTCATAAGAGTACCAGTCGCGTGTTCCCGCACTCGGCCGCAGCGCGTCGCCACTTGGTCCCCGCGGGCCGCCGCATCCTCGTTGATGCGACCTTCCTAATGCTGACAGTGTGACTCGATAGCTCATGCGGCTCTCGCGCTAATAGTAAGTCTTTGCTAGTCCCTGACTGATGATCGCGACCGTATAAAAGACACGTCTCATTCCAACGCGGCAGGTCATCCCGCCCACCGGCACTGGCCATTGCCACTCAGCTCCCTAGATCATGGCCACTTCAGAACCACAACCCTTCACCATATCCGTTCCGGACGCTGACCTCGCCCTCTTGCACGAGAAGTTGGATCTGACGCGCTTCCCTGACGAGCTGGACGACGCGGCATGGAACTACGGCGTGCCGCTTGCGAATGTTAAGCGGCTCATCGCGCGGTGGAAAGACGGGTATGACTGGCGCGCTGCGGAGGCTGGCATCAACGAGATCCCTCAGTTCACTCGAGACGTCGAAGTGGAGGGCTTTGGTACGCTGAACGTGCATTACGTCCATAAGAAGAGCGAAGTGAAGGACGCGATTCCACTAGTATTCGTGCATGGATGTACGTGGCACATCTCGATACATCGCAAGGGAACAATTACTGGACCATCACTTGTCAGGGCCTGGCCACTTCCTTGAAGTCAAGAAGCTGCTCCCCTTGTTGACGTCTGCGTCGCCAGATCACCCAAATTTCCATGTTGTTGCCCCTAGTCTGCCGAATTTTGGCTTCTCTGAAATTGTCAAGAAACAGGGATTCACAGTTGCTCAATACGCAGAGGTACGTACAAGAAGGGCCATGTACAGATTCTGAATCACATATATCTCATATCCCAGACGTGTCACAAACTCATGCTCGCTCTGGGCTACTCTGAATATGGTGCCCTGCTACTCGTTTGTCTCTGAGTTCGATGCTGACAGCCATGCCCTCTGATATATCTCATAGTGGTTCAGGGGGGAGATTGGGGTTCCTATGTTGGTATTCTTGTCTGACCTTCGCCAAACCACTGCCAATGGAGCTGACTAGACATGCTAAGATCACGAGAACAATGGCAGCCATGTATGGCGATCAGATCGTGAAAGCATGGCATACAAACTACGCCGCGTCCGTACCCTCCTGCCTCGACTCATTGCATTCTCGTACTGACCCTTCTCTGGAATTTGTAGTGTGGTCAGCCCACCGTCGTTCTCGAGCTTTCCTCGGCTCTGGCTTCAGCACCTGCTTACACCGTATACCGAGGTTGAACGGGCATGCTTGAAGCGCATCCAATTATTTATGCAGAAAGGACGGGGCTACAGCGCTGAACAGAATACGCAGCCGCAGACAATCGGGTATTCACTCGCGGACTCGCCGGCGGGCTTGCTCGCGTGGATATACGAGAAGCTCGTGCTCTGGTCGGATGGTTATCCTTGGGATGACGACGAGGGTGCGTTCACACGCTTATATACGCAGTTGTGCAGAACTGAAGCCGGATGTTCAGTCCTGACGTGGATCTCAATCTACTGGTTCTCTCGAGCGGGCCCTGCCGCCTCTGCGAGGATATACTACGAACAAGCGAAAGTAAGAGAAGATCCAAACCATAGCGTTCCTTGGTGCGCTGCTCCGGGTGGTGTATCCTTCTTCCCCAAGGAGCTTATCCGTCCACCAAAGACGTATGTGTTTCGACTTCATGTTCACCGCTTCATAAAAGACTGACGGGGCACTGGACGCAGCTGGGCGCGCACTATGGGTAACGTCGTGTTCGAGTCTGAACATGGGAACGGAGGACATTTTGCTGCACACGAGAAGCCCGATGAACTTGGGGCGGACTTGCGCGCGATGTTTGGCAAGGGCGGTCCTGCGTTCGGTGTGGTAGCCGGCAAGGCGGGCTACGACTGACCGGTGTGTACGTCTGTCATGCGCCTAGTAATGTGACCACATTCATCAGTCACTGTTCCATAACCGCTCGATGCTGTACTAGGGCAATTGCTTGTGAGGTATGTATATACACCGATAATCGAAGCATATATATACCTCTGACTGCCCTGAGTGCCTGGCAAGGTCAGATGGCATCGCGCGCGAGCTTACGACATGTCCCAACGCTGCCAGAATCTCCAATGAACAGAAACAAGGTTCTAAGATAGCGCCCTCACTCCGGTAATCGTCCACAAAGGATCCCTTCATTTCTGTTCTTGAGCGGGGAGTGTCAAGATAATCCAGAAGGCCTGATACTTATATCGCCACAAGCTGAAAGAAACGCACAGGCCTAACCCCGTTCCACCGCATCCTCAACTATGACTCTATCAATCGGCATCCAAGCTGCGTTCGCGGTTTTCGTCACCCTCGCCTACTATGGGCTACATTGGCGACAGCTGCGTCGTCGTCTACCACCTGGCCCTCGTCCGTTTCCTATTCTGGGAAATATTCCACAGATGACTCTAAAGTTCCCGGAGAAGAGATTCGCGCAATGGAGGAAGAAGTATGGTATGAACGTTCCGAGATGCTTACGCTGCGGGTTTATAGCTGAATGCGTTGCACTAGGGGACATAATCTTCTTGAGGATGTTCAACACGCCCGTCTTGGTTATCAATTCGGCAGCCGCTGCACGAGATCTGCTGGACAAGCGGAGTGCAATATACTCGGATAGACCGTATTCGGTAATGATGATAGATCTGTGAGTGCATCCGAGTCGAGTGTCGGCCCCTTACCTCCTGTATGAACGGCTTATGATGTATTAGGCTGGGATGGGAACACGATTTCGTATTGACGCCATACAATGAGGAGTTTCGCAAGCATCGACGATGGATGCATAAGCCTTTCTTCTCTAAGTCTTGCCTCGCCGCTGTTGCCGACATGCAGAGGCGCGAGGCGATTGCTTTACTAATGGGATTGCTGAACGATCCGGAGGATTTTGGAAACCATATCTATCGGTGAGCTTCCGAGGTTCATCGAGTTACTGAGCCTTCCTCATAAACAAATGGCATAGGTACACTGCCTCCTCTTTGCTTCAATACCTTTACGGGCACACAGTAACATCCTCAGACGATGAATATCTGCATGTCATCGAGAAGGTAGCGGAGGCGACAATGAACTTCTCGGCTCCTGGAACAGTCCCTGTGGACTTCATACCGTCTTGTGGGTGTACTTCAGTGTTAATTGTTTCGTCGTCTCAATGGCAGCTCCTGATGTTGTATTCTGTCAGTGAGATACCTCCCGACCTGGTTTCCTGGTGCAGGCTTCAAGCGAAATGCCGTGTGGATCAAGAGAGCTGTCAGAGATGCTGCGCAACGAACGTACGACTTGGCGGAGAGCAAGTTGGTAAGTTATGCATTCACGAGATACCACGACGCTGCATGTCTCACCCAACCAAGCAATCGAGGACCAAAGGCATCATGGAAAGCCCCGTGATATCGACATTGATCAAGGAGTCCGCATCAAAGGGGACTCTGGAGACAGAAAAGCCAGAAATCATGATGTTCGGACTAACGCTGTACGCAAGTGAGTCTCATCTCAACAACTCGATCAGAACCCACTCCATGGTCGCTGATGCGACTTTAATACAGCTGGCACAGATACGGTAGCGTTCATGACATAGCCAGACTACATCAACTCATTCTTTGATTAGACGCACACCGTACTCATGGTCTTCCTACTCGCTATGATCTTGTATCCGGATGTCTATGCCAAGGCGCAAGAAGAAATGGTCAGTGTCATCGGTGGTGCAAGGCTCCCGACCGTCAACGACAGGGATGCACTACCATACCTTGAATGCATCCTCAAGGAGACGTACCGGTACGTGGCGGTTGACGTCCTTGACTAGTAGTATATCATCTCACTGCAGCGACATAGAATCTCCTGCCCTGCGCCATTAGGTACCTGTGTTCTGGGCTTCACCGACTAGTTGTCATCGAACTCAGGCTGGTTCTACAGGTGTGCCTCATGTTTTACGCGAAGACGACGAGTATAGTGGGTGCTGGATACCGAAGGGGACAGTGGTCATGCCAAATCTATGGTCAAAGTGGTTTGCATGATTCTAGTAGCACTCGTTGACGAGGTGCTGTTTAGGTTTATGCTGCATGATGCCGATGCCTACCCCAACCCGGAGACCTTCTGTCCAGACCGCTTCAATGGGCTGTATGAGAATCAGGAGGATCCACGAAACATCGTCTTTGGTTTCGGTCGGCGGTAAGTAGCATCTTGAATTATGTTGCTTGATAAACTAATTAGGGGTTTCCCGCTGATTTGCAGTATATGTCCAGGTCGCCGCTTCGCAGAAATCGGGATTTGGCAGGCGATGGCCAACATCGTAGCAACATTCGACCTTGGCAAGGCTCGTGACGCAATGGGTAATGACATCACGCCGCCGGGGACGTTCTCATCTGGTCTCGTCAAGTACGATACCCTTCCTATGTCAGAAATTACTTAGCTGATGTATTCACTCAGTCATCCTCACAAGTTCAAATGCACCATCAGACCACGATCCAAGCAGGCCGTAGAACTCATCACAAACGGAAAGTCAACGCAGACATGAATGAGGGTCGAGATGGTGACTGCTTCAATATTCAAGTTTATCGGGTCCTTCTTTGTACTCGAGCGTAATCGAACGTGGCGCAATTTCTTTTCACCTCCCCACGCTAATAACATGATCGCAGCGATCCGAGGTCCACTCAGACAAACAAATAGCCTATTTCCACTGTCCTCCTCCTCCGCCTGCATCCGCCATCATTCCGCGAACAATCCTCCAAAGCTCGGTAATGTGCATCACGTTATCCGGATGCGTGCTTGAAGTTCTATGCACAAATGTCAGCCTCACCGAAGACGGTGAAACGGGTTTTTGGTTGGCTGCACATGCCTGTCAGCCGTCGCTTTCTGACCTTACTATCATTGAGTTGATCCTCAAATACCTCCTTATCCTATCCAGACGACATGAAGCTCCCGTTGATTTACGCTGCTGCAGTGTCATCGCTGTCCCTTCTACCGGCCATCCGGGCCGGCTCGTATAGCATCAACCAGACGAATATTGGCTCTAACTTCCTGACCAACTTCGAATGGGAGGATATCGCGGACCCTACCAAAGGCAGAGTGTAAGCCTGTTACTCCCTCCGTATTGTGCTATTGATTCATCGCTTACTGCTGTTAATACAGGCACTATGTCAATCAATCGACTGCGCTTGCTAATAACCTCACATTCACGTCCGATGACACGTTCATCATGCGGGCCGACTACACCACGAATCTTACCGCTAGCGGAAGTGGGCGGATGAGCAACCGCATCAAGAGCTACGCGCAATACAGGACGCACGTCGCGGTGTAAGTACTTCCTCATACACCTATCGCTCATGACACGCATGCATAATACGCCTATCGCCAGATTCGACATCCGACACATGCCCCAGGGCTGTGGAACTTGGCCTGCGGTATGGGAGGCTGACGACCAAGTCGGGACCTCCTCAGGGGAAATCGATATCTTGGAGGGTGTCAATGACATTGCGCCAAACAGCGTTACTCTGCATACTACTGGTAGCTGCACCATGCCCGAGAACAGGGCCCAATTAGGGTACGTGATCCTGTCGCTGCCATCTCGTAGACATCATGTTTATGCTTTTAGCAGCACAACGCTCTCTACGAACTGTAGCTCGTCAGACACGATATCGGATGGGAACAACGGATGTTCAGTTGACGCGCCTTACACCGCGTCATACGGGAAGGTCTTCAACACGTACGGAGGCGGGTACTATGCCATGGAGCGTACGGCGGAGTATATCCGGGTCTGGTTCTGGTCTCGTAACGATAGCAGCATCCCGTCCGATATCACCTCCGGAGCGTCCGCAGTCGACACAGACAACTGGGTGAGTCACCCGTCTTCTGCGTGACATGTAGTGTACGGTGAGGCTGACTGCGAGCATTTGCAGGGAAAGCCGATTGCTCTTTTTCCTAACACGGACTGCGATATCGGATCTGCGTTTCAGCGCAACAACATCATTATAAACTTGACATTCTGTGAGTGGCTCCATACCTATCTATTAGTCCTTTGTCTTTATGATTGCCCGTCTAGGTGGTAGTTGGGCTGGTAACTCGTTCAGCAACAACGGCTGTCCGGGGAACTGCACAGGTGAGTCTTCCTACCCTGCATGCGATCATGCGTGCTTATGCAGGTTGCTTCTACTAGAGTATGTTAATTACAACCCATCGGCCTTCGAGGACGCGTACTGGGATATTGCCGCGGTTCGGATCTATCAACCCTCTTCCAATTCCAGTTCGAGTAGCGGTGTTTCGTTGCTGACCAAAGGCGAAGGTCGTCTGGAGACTGTTTCGTCTGTGTTCTTCACGGTTGTTGCGGGCACCGGATGGTTGTTTTTGTAGTCAATCGTACGCAGTTGCCTTCGATAATCTGCAACGAGATACACCGGACCTACCGTACAACATTCAGTCTCGCCACATATCCGTCTAATAGAAGGACAGTAGATACATAAGCACACATTTCATACGCTCATCTTCATCGCGATATGTGGATGAGGTTCATACCCCTCTACCAGTACGTCCTCTGCCTTGAGATCATCGATGTCCTGTACATCGCGTTTGAATCGTAGCTTTGGGAACTGGCGCGGGCTGCGCTTGAGCTGCTCCTCGAGCGCATCCACGTGATCCCGATAGACGTGCGCGTCTCCGAGTTGTATGATGAGCTCGTGTGGTGAGGTATGAGTGAGGTGCGCGACAAGATGTGTGAGGAGCGCGTATGAGGCGATGTTGAAGGGAATACCGAGGCCGAGATCCGCGGAGCGTTGGTAGAGGAGGCAAGACAGTCGTTTTGGAGAGGTTGGTGAAGACGGCGGCGGGAGATGAACGTAGAACTGACAGAGAACGTGACAGGGCGGGAGTGCCATTAGCGGGATGTCTACGATCGTTATCAGCGTAAGGGGAGTGCGAGAGGAGAGCACCGTGAAAGGCGAATAGACTCACCGGCCGGGTTCCATGCGCTTAGAATGATGCGGCGGTCGGTCGGATCCTCTTTAATCTTACGTATGCACTCCGCGAGCTGGTCAACGCCTTGACCCGTGTAGTCCGCGTCGCAGTCCGTGTACTTCGCGCCGAAATGCCTCCACTGGAAGCCATATACAGGCCCCAAATCTCCCTCCCTCCTGTGGCCCAATCCACGCTTTTTGAGGAACTCCTTGCTGCCATTACCATCCCAGATCTTGATGCCTCTCGCGGACAACAGCTTTGAGTCGGTCGAGCCGTGGATGAACCACAGAAGCTCTTCGAGTATACCGCGCCAAAAGGTGCGTTTGGTAGTAAGGAGCGGAAGGGTGTTATCTGCCAGGGAGAAGCGCATGGAAGGGGGGGCGAAGATGGAAAGGGTACCCGTGCCGGTGCGGTCGGGACGTGTCTCACCCGTGTCGAGGACATTGCGGATGAGATCGAGGTACTGATGTTCATCATGTCTGCGCGGCGACGCGCCATTCGGTAGCGAGACTGCCATGACAGAGGAAGTGGACGATGCTGAACGGAGAGGGGATGGAGAGACGCGTCGAGAGTAAACTGCAGCTGGACGCGTCGCGTTACTGACACGGTGTGACTGGGCTGTGACTATACGCATCCCGCGATCACGAGACGAGCGCGCGGTCGCGTTTGTTCGACCATCGGGCGTGGCTGCTCTACTTACCATCACCACTCGTAGTAGGCTCTCTTCCGGTCTCTTCCGCCTTCGCGAAACCGCTCTCTATAACTTTGAGAGACACACTAACTCTGCCTCTATTACGATGCCTGCGTCTACTCGAGCCTGTCCTACGACGGGGACTTCGCGACCTGTGCGCTCAGCGACAGCCAGGACGAAGGCGAACACGATCACCCCCGACGACCTGGCGAATGAAGTTGCAAACAAGTTGACTATAAAAGACTCGTGCACGATAAAGGGCAAAACAAAGGCTACATCGACAACACAAACCATCGAGACGCGTAGGGCAGATGCAATGCGCACAGTCAATACTGCATCCCGAACTCTGTCGGACCTTTTAGCAGGCGGTCCAGCAAAGAAGAGCCAGAAAGGGATAGGCGATCTTATAAGGTCGTCTTGCAGCGCTCTAAGAGCTCTCAGAGAGCTCAGTCCTGGAGACGTTGACACCGAGCGTGCAGCCTCGAGTATTGCTGGGAAGTTGGTCTCGCTTGAGATGGTACGTGCCATCTGCCTGATTGAATGCTCTTAGATAGGTTTTTTCAACATTGTATACCTAGGACGACGCAGCTGTACAGATTTTGGCCGACATGCGACCGGCGCTGAGCACACTCTGCGCACCTAACGGCCTGCCGTCCACCGAACCTCTGCCTTCTCAGCTCCCAGCTCTGCCCCTTCCATGCCATGACGCTCAAATACCGGAGACGGTTATGGTTTTGGTAGCTACATTCCTACTCCACTCCATGTCTGTGCTATCCCGGCGCACGGACGACGTAGCGGCGATGCTCACAACACTACGCGACCCCTCTATCCCGTCCCTATTCCTTTGGGCGCCGACCTTCAAGGTTCTGCCTTCTAAACATCACGACTCTCTGTTCACGCGCACATATACAGCCATGGCGAAGGCAGCGTCTTTGCCCGGCGTTGCAATGCAGCATGCCTTCGGTCTACGGATGTACGCTCTCGAATGCCTCGCTCAGACGCGTCCTGGGGTCATTGTTCCTGAGACGTTCTGGGAGCAAGCTGTTAAGTGGGCACGTTTCCATGCCGCGGAGCCCGTCGCCGGCGACGAGTCGAGGACACAGGATATCCTGCAGTCAGTTCAGCGTCTGGTGCTCTCAATTAGCCAGCGTGAAGACGACTCCTCTTTCATCGGAAGCCCAGGCTTTTCAAGGTTCTGTGAAGTGTGGGTACTGTGGGCTCAGCAGGTATGTTTCATATGTACTTGATGATAAGAGACGCGCTCACATACGACTAGATGGGAGATATCGAAGCCATCGACAGGATCATACAACTTCGGCAGAACAAGGGATTTGAAATGGATTCCTCCCCAGCCTCTTCGAGTACTACTTTCGCGGACTCAGTAATCATGCCACACGCCATGGATGCAGCCACGGTATGCATGATGTTGTCGCAAGCAACTGCTGTGTTCGAGCGATGGGCAGGTGAATATATTCCCTGACTCAATCACCTTGTCTGGTGCTGAATTGTCTTTCAGAGTGCCTCCCTCAAGACCGTGCCGCTCGTTTTGACGCGGCAGCTGCGGCTGTCAGCAACGCTCACCCGCTAATATGCGAGTATGCTGACGAGACACTGCGCGCACGAGACAAAGTCCGCCGGGCTCTGGAGCGACTGAGGAGGACGGTCATCAAAGTACTCGAGCCCACAGCCCAAGAGAACGCTGCAAATGCATCTCTGCCAGAAGACGCCAGGGCTGGTGCGCGCAAAATCTTGCAGCTGATCAGTAAGATTTTAATGGAGGCTGTGCGCGAGGTGCGTATAATCTCAGACCCTGTTATTTCCCCGTGAAGCTGAGATCCTAGCAGAATATCGAGAACGACGGCGTCACAGTGGTCGACTCCGATCTCGCGACGCCTGCTTTGGAGACATTACTCGTCCTTGCGCGCACCTCCTTAATCATCCGCAATCCCGATACGTACGTAAAGCCTGGGATGCGCTTCAGCAAGCCAAGGCGCTCGTCTTTCAGCATGTCGTCGGTTGCGGGTCGCGCGCTGCGACCACGACGGCGGAAGTGATCCTTGACGTGATCCGACACCCCCACGAGAAGAGCGCGCATGACCAGGTTGGCTGGACGTCGGCGACCACGGCTACACTCGCCAACTACACCCGCTGTGTTGCCGGCGCGTTCCATAACGTTGCGGGGACGCTCTGCCAGGCGGACCGCCTCTCGCATGCGGTGAGGTTCTTGAATGAAGGATGTGCCTTGGGAAAACTAGCGTTGGCGATGCACCAGACGGCTATGGACGATGTGAGCGAGGTTGGTGAAGAGGAGGGTGCACGCGACAGGGAAGGGTGGAAGCAGCTCGAGGAGCAGCTGTGGCACAGATGGGAGATTCTGGGTGTCTGTCAGGCAAAGACAGGTGACCGCAAGGTTTGTAATCCAGAATATATGACTTCCCGTACTGACGAGGCTGTGATGTTCGCAGCTGGCATTTGACGCATTCATAGAAGCGATCAAGGTCTCCCGTGGATCTGAGCTCTGTATGCGACAGTCTCGGGACCTCTACCGCATCTGCTATTTTCGAGATATCTCCGTCTCTCCAGCAGCTGGGCAAGATCTTGGACCGAGTCACGTACATGGGTGCATGCGAGCTCTTTTTCGAGCCCGAGGTCATCTCCGCGAAGAGCTGGTACCCTGTTACGCCCAACGCTGGTTCCCGGTATACGACCCACGCAAAACACAAAGCGTTCGTCGGCGCTCTGCTCGAACGGCAGGTTGCTGGACTGGAAGGGAGCAGATGGAAGCAAGGCGTCGACCGGATCGTGCAACAGTTGCTCCGCCACGCTCTTGCCGTCTACGAGGCAGCGCTCTTCCCCGTCAGACGCGCGAGGGTTTTCCTGCAACTACTGGAGGGCGCATACTATGTGACGGACGAGCGCGATGGTGGTAAGGTCTTGGGCATGTCTGCCGAAGACGTTGGCACTCAAGTACGGGCCCTGCTGAACTGTGAAGTAAGTCTCTTCCAGGCTCGTCAACTTCACTGTGCACTCAACAAAACCAGGATCCAGGCTGTGACGCAGGCTTTACCGAGATCCGAACTGGGTTGCTCGCGACGCTGCATCTATGGCTCGCCCTGCATGCTCACCGTTACATGGCAGCGGATGCCGGTTTCACGACTATTGCTCGTCATGCCAACGAAGCATGTTCGATACTGAAGAGCCTGGTACGACAAAACCCAAGAGCATCGGGCGATCGGCAATCCCTTGTGAAGATCAAGTCTCCCAAGGAGCTGCGAGTCGCCACAAAGAAGCCGGCGAAGAGAACAGTAGCCACGTCGAAGCCCCGGAGCGGAATCCCGAGAACAACCAGAATGACGCGAGTGCAAATCACGGAGCCACCAGTCACTCCCAAGCCTCGTAGAGGTGTGTTGCTTCTGCTTGCTCCCCGCCGAGGTTGTGCTCACTGGAGGTTTGCAGCGTTAAACGACGTCTCATTGAATGCTACCGTCAAGGTGTCGCAGGAGGTATTACCTGTCAAGCCAAAATCTTCGACAACGATCTTCGACAATTTGCCCGCTGCTGTTGCCCTCATCCGTAAGTTATATGACAAGACTGCCAGTATAATGCTCATTGAGAGTGTTGATCCTTGCAGAGATGGTCGCACAGTTATCCGGCATGCTGGGTCATATTTTTGTCAAAGTGCAGTTGCTCAGTCTTGCAAGAAGATTGAGCGAGCAAAATGCTAGCGATACATCCCGAGGTATGCGTTCAGACTGACGGTCATCCTGAACTGCGCTGATGTAATGGCTGCCAGAGTACCTGGTGACCTCAATCGAGCTTGCATACGAATATTCTCAATTGGGGCGTGCAAACAAAGCACTCTCCATATACTCGCACGTTCTGCAAGCTGCGGGAAAAGAATTCGACCCAGAGATCCGCGCACTTCTGTATCTGCGGCACGCTGAGTCGCTTGCCGCTGCGGGACAAGTGCTACAGAGGTACGAGGTTTCGTTTCTCCTTCTAGACAAAGTACTCAGTCGGTCACAGTGCTAGTGCATATTGTGAGGCGATGGCCCTTGTAGATTCTCTGTCCTCGATGGAGGAGAAAGGCGTCACAACATCAGAGAAGGTCCGAATGCGAGTAAGCATACTTGAGCGAGCGGCACTTGCAGCACGCGCATTCGCCATGATTCAGCATGCGAAGGTCAGTGATCCAACTTGCCAATAATTTCCTCGCCCTGATCCGTGACCATAGGATGATCCGTCGACATCTCTTGATGGCCTTCTTCAGTCCCTCCGACTGTGGAATCGTGCTATGGAGACCATCTCAAGGCTTCGTCCATCGCAACCCCAGAAACCGCAATCAGAACCTGATAATCCCTTTGAGGTCAAGAGGGATGACCGTGTTCCATCGGATCCAAGCCGACCCAAACCCCTGGATGACAAGGCAATGGCGGACCAACTTGCTTCTCAGAAGACATTCCAGCGGAGACAATTCATGGACGGCACTGAATGGAGGCTCGCAGAGGGTCTTCTGGTCACAATCTTCGCCTTGGTCAGGGCCTACTACGCCCGCGGCTCTCCGAGAGAGGCAGACTACTTCATCCAACAAGCGAGCGCACTGGCGCACTCATTGAACGCCCCTGCCATGATCGGCCGCGCGTTGGCCAGGCAAGGCGAGATCTCCTTGCGGCTCGGCCGCCTCGAGGAGGGATTCGAGTTCTTGATGGAAGCCGCCAAGCTGATGAGCAACGTATGTGGGCCCGACGCAGTCGACATCCATCGTCTTCGAGGCGACTACAGCTTGAGGAACGCGGATGAGCAGACCGCACAGCAACTCTACACAGAAGCTACCGCGATGTTGGATGAGCTCGGGAAGATGTTCGCTGGACTTGATACCAACGCCGTCAGGTACGCGTCCCCCAAGATCGTGTCATGACCTGGCTTTGATTATCTTCAAGGAAATCTCTGACAACTGCAACACGGAGAGCTTCAGCTCCAGAGAACCAAGATGCTGATGGTGCTCTGGCTCCGACACTGCTCGCCGCCGTTCTACGTCAACATAGTACGTTTCCTTCTTAGTGAACAATATTGTTTACTAACAGAAGTGAAGTCACGCTGCTCCGTGATTCCGGCGAGGACTATAACGCCCTACTCCAGCGGTTCTCGACATTGCCACCTACCTCAGAAACGACGGCGGAAGGGAGCGTTCTCACTGCGAAACTGACACTCGACGATGTCTTCTCCCAGTTCCGGGCCGATATGTTCTTAAGCTCACTGGCGGAGTCAGGTACGTTCCAAGACCACCGAATCCCAGTTGGTAGCGCTGATTCGCCCCAAGCTATCATGATCCCTATGGGCATCTCCAGCGACCGAGTGCTCGGTACTAACACTGTCATGCGGGAGATTCTGAACACCTTGTCGGCTGCAGAGCGCTCTCTGAGATCCGACTTGAGCCTCATCGCTCATCGAGGGAATGTCTCAAGCGTGCGAGACACAGCCATTTCCCTCGCCTTGATCAGCGCACTCCAGTCCTCTCTCGGCAATGGCTCCGTGGAGGTCTCCCACCTAGTGGCCCGACTCATAGGTCAGTAGTAAGCTCGTATCCTTTTCACTTAGCCGGGAGTTGATTGAGCGATCGCATCAGATATGTCTACCTCAATCACCCTGCGTCGCGAGATGCTCGAGGCTATCAAGCACAAGTTCATCGACTGGGTGGACGCCAATGATCTGCAGCACCCACGGATCACGCTAAACGGCACACCTATACCGCATGTAGAGGTGCCAAAGCCATCAAGGCGGGGTCTGTTCCTCGACCCCGAGGATGAGCCCGACCGTAGCACCCTTGACGACGCGATTCCACTGAAGGACTACTGGAAATCCATCGCTGCTCGGTATCAGTCCGGCTTCTTCGATGAATCCGGGCAGTCTGCTGCTGGCCGCCCTCCCCTGCCCAAGAACTGGTCTGTCATCAACATCAGCGTGACGGAGGATAAGAACATGCTCTTCGTATCTCGTCAGCGAAGTGGCCGGGAACCCTTGGTGTTCTGCCTGCCGCTCCGCGGCCGGCGCGAAGACGAGGAGGACCAGCGTCTCACCTTCAGCGATGCCATAGGTGAGATGAAGGAGATCATGAGACTGAACGATGAGGGCACTCGAGGCGCAGCAAGCGTAAAGAAGAACGACCGGGCAGCGAGAGCTGCGTGGTGGGCCGCACGAGGCGCGCTCGATCAGCGCCTGCAGGATCTCTTGGGCAACATCGAGTTCTGCTGGTTCGGCGCGTTCAAGACCGTCCTGAGCGCGCCCGTGCAGACGCGTGCGGAGGACATGAATGCCTTCCGCTCGCGCATCGACACGCTCTTCGCTCCAACCTCGCCTCGTACGCACGCGATCGGAAAACGCACCAGCACGAGCGCGTGCGGCTCGACGATGCGCTGCTCGAGTGCTTTGCCGCGCTCCCGCCGGATTGCAAGGACGAGGAGCTCGAGGACCTGGTCTACTTCGTGCTTGATCTGTACCAGTTCCACGGCGTGCCCGTCGCCATGGCTGAGGTGGACGTGGATCAAGTCGTGGTTGATCTGCGGAGCGCGCTCGAGGAGCACAGGGCACGCACGGAGAGCCGGAGGGTCCCCGTGCGCGATCATCATATTTCTTGGTGCTCGACAAGAACGTGCAGGGTATCCCCTGGGAGAGCCTGCCCATCCTCAGGGGGCAGAGCATCAGTCGGATCCCGAACATGGACTTCTTGATCGACAGGCTCGAGCTCGCTAGGCAACAGAGGAAACCCGGCTCGCGGACTAGTGAGCGCATTGTGGATCGCATCGACGTCGATCCGAAGAAGGCCTACTACGTGCTCAATCCTAGCGGGGATCTCAAGAACACGCAGGACCGGTTTGCGGACTGGGCGAAGGGTATGCGTGCGGTGGGGTGGGACGGGATCATCGGGAAAGTTCCGAGCGAGCAACAGCTCGTAGACGCACTAACACGGAACGACTTGGTGATGTGAGTGCTCCATCTCTATCATGAGTTCATTAGTACCCCATCTTTTTCGGTCCGGCTGATCGCATCTCGACGTTGCAGATATTTCGGGCATGGAGGCGCGGAGCAGTACATTCGGTCCACGAAGATCAGGCACCTGCCTCGGTGTGCTGCGACTATGCTCTGGGGCTGCTCCTCAGGTGCGCTCAGAGACATGGGAGACTTCGACCGGACGGGGACGCCCTATAATTACATGTTGGCGGGATGGTATGTGTTCATTGATGGGTGATGTGATCCGTTCTTGACGTGCGCCTTTGCTAGCCCCACACTTATCGCAAATCTTTGGGATGTGACGGACCGCGACATCGACAAGTTCTCGCAAGTGGTCTTCGATGAGCTGCAATTAACTCCCGACGGTCTGATCCGACCACGGGCGGATGGGAAGTCGGTCGTGGCCGCCGTTGCCCAGGCGAGAGATTGTTGCAAACTCAAGTACTTGACGGGTGCGGCGCCCATCGTATACGGGATTCCTTTCTATCTATAGGCAGCGTTCTACGTCGCTGCTTATGCAATTCACGAGCATGCACACTACATACCCCGCATTTCACTACTTTTCTCGCTTGCTAACTAGATGGGACTATCATAATATAGTTGTTCTGCGGCTCCAGCTGGACTGTGTAGTTGTGATTTCCACCTTGGGCGCCGCCGTACATGCTTCCATTGTGATGAGCTCTGCTTCCAGGACACGAACCGGCTTCTGGCAGCGCGCAAACCGGGCCAGGTGTATGTAGTGGCCGCGGCTTGTTGGTGAAAGTGTACGTTCTTGGTCTTCGTCGCAGACTTGGAGTAACCCAGTAAGCACTAGCCCATCATGATGATCATGTATAGTGCCATTAATTGTGCGGGATGGTTCTTGCCTGCATGCGTCATGCTAAATGACGGCGGTCCGGTTTATCCGGAGCTCGTTTCAGGCGCCTATGGCATCGGTTGCCTGGCGACGGGTTCCCACGGGTGCGCCGTCGACGGTCGATCGCGATTGGATCACATGAGAGCCAGGCGCGTCTGGAAGCGCGTCCGTGGCAAGTCTGTCCCAGGCCCCGGGTCACCGCGCGTCGTGCTTGTTTTGGTGAGTCTCTGGAGAGGACGAGGACAGACATGCAGTCTCAGAAATATCCAGAGTCTGCAATTGCATGAGCGTGTGCCATCCGTGAATCCAACAGCACCAGAGATGCAGGATCTGGGAGACATCCGGCGGCTAGGCAAGGCCCGGAGCGAGTGCGGATGGGGTATGGGTGGACCGGGTGAGTGGCATTCACACGCAGTCAGACCGCCTGGCGACGGTGCTGTTCGCGCAAGTCTCATGCAAGAGCAGCAGCTTCGCTCATCCCTGCCGCCTTTCTGCAGGCATCTCTTCGCAGCGCTAGCGCTTTTGTGCCCAGTGTGCTGGATGCGCACGAGCCTGGTTTGTCCTTGAACAGACAGGCGAGTCTTGCCAGGCCTTGCAGGACGCCTTCGTTCCTTACCATGTTCCTCCCCCCGTCGTTTTCTCCTTCTGCCCTAGTCGGCCTTCTTGTCCTCGCTCTCGGTCCCCAGCCCGCCCTCTCCGTCTTCGACTTCGTCACCTTCTCGTCTGCGCTCCAGTGCGCACCCTTCACGGTCCAGTTTTCCGGAGGGTCCGCACCCACCAGCTGGCCGCCACAGCTCACCATCGTTCCTTTCAACTCGACACCCATTTCTATCCGTCTCTTCGATGCAGCGTTTAACGACACCACTGCGACTGGCCATGCTACCACCTTTCTCCCTCTATCGCAAGGGACGCAGTTCTTAGCTTCCCTTGACGATGGCAACGGCGCGTCCGCAGGTCCTGTCTCCGAGGTACTCACCACCGGCGCCTCCAACTTCACCAGGTGTCTCAAGTCGAACGACGATGTGACAACGAACGCGTTCTCCGTTACCAGTAACGTATCGCAGTGTCAGCCCTTCACAGTGAACTACGGCACGGCGGACGCACCATCTATCCGCGCCTTTATCCCCGGCAAGCTCGCTTTCACTATAAACCAGACTAAAGACGACGATGCAACCAATACGGCATCGTACTTGATGGATGCAGCGCGTGGAACAGATCTTGCTCTGGTGATCAGCAACGGCAGCGTTGAAGCTACCAGTGGATTGCTCACCGTTGGAGGAAACGCGAGGAGCAGTGGTACGTGCCTAGTTGCTGCTACTGCCAGCACGGGTACGAATACATCTTCACCCGCAACAAAGTCAATGTCGGCATCCGCAGACTCTTGGGCATCGAGGAACTCTACAGCATCGCTGTCGAAGTAAGCCTGGTCACCATTCCAATGCTCGCAGCTCATAACCCATCCGTTTTGTTCTTCCACCTCTGCAGGGGTGCTATCATCGCGATAGCAGCATCGTCCGGCGCGGTTATCGGGACCATAGTCGTCGCAATGGGGATCTGGATCTTCTGCTCTCGCAGGAAAGTCAAAGCTGCAGCGCGCGCAGCATCACTCGAAGCAGGAACTTCCAGCGTTCCGCCAGATGCCAACATGACAGAGAAACCCCCAAGCCTTGCCCCAGCTGGCTCGATGCCTACGAATGCATCGTGGGACTTCCAAATGCAGACATCATGGGGGAGCTCTCGGTCAAAATCGACGGATAACGTGCAGCGCAACCCACTCTACACCGACCCGAATCTCTGGCTGTCATCCCCCACGGCGTCAAGCGCGCTGGCTGGCTTGTCCAAGGCGTCGTCGCCTGTTAGCGCCAGATTACCAAGTAGCAGCTTCTCCCTCGCAGGCGTCCTCCCGACCGCTCGCCTCGCCTCGGCCTCGGCCTTCCGCCGCACCCCTCCCGCCTCGGCCTCCGCCGGGTCTATCCGCTCCCAGACAGCCTCCCGTACACAAAGGCACTCGCGTTCGCATACGCAGTCTTCCGCGTGGGGCTCTAGGCACGCGTCGTCGAGCTCGCCCCGTTCTCCAGCGTCCCTTGCGCCGACGATCAGTACCATTGATATCGAGCACATCCTCGACATGTCAGCGCGCTATGCCCCCAGTAGTAGCGACGCCCGCGATCCAACACCACCCCTCCCGCTGCGTCAGTCCCTGTACGCGCCGAGGCGCGACTCTATCCGCAACAGTGCTTACTACGCCGCGCAGTTCCCAGACCTGAACGGGTTCGGGGCAGCGAGGAAGGCGCATTCGCGCGAGGGCTCTGCAACAAACACGAGCAATCCGTCGCTTGTACGCGGGCGTGTGACCCCGCCGAACCTACAGTTAGGGCAGGATCGGAGGAGACCCTCGAGCTCCGCCTCGTCGCTGTACTCACTGCACGAAGGCGAGCGCGAGAGCGCGGGCGCGAACCGCCTGCTGATGACCTCGCCCACGGTGCACGTGAGCCCCACGGGGGAGGTGATCCGCGAGCCCCCGCAGGCGAACGTCCCGCAGTCGCCAATGCCCTCGCCCTTCCCCTCGCCCCTGTGATGCCCTGACGACGCGACGCCATGCCCTGGGTGTGTGGTACGGATAGTGGACTACTTAATCGAGTCGGGCCGTGTTGAGAGACGGGACTCGGACGCTTGATGCGTCGCCGTGCTTGTCGTGACGAGACCTGCCTGGGGCGGTGTGCTCAATGGGTCGCCCGCCCGTGCAGAGCGGGGTGCCCCTTGGGCGCCCTCGCGATGTGTGCCCCCCGGCACCGGGTGGGGGCCCTTGTGCACCTCCTGTGTCCCGGGCGGACCAGAGCTGCCCCACAGAGGATGACGGACATACTGGTTTTCTGGGATACCTGACCTGCGATAGATCCATTCCGATGGACAGGATACATAGTCTCGTTCTGTAGCGAAACAAGCTGGGATTGTGTCTGCGCTCTTGCATTTGCTTTCGCGTGTTCCTGTTTCCGTAGCATATGCACTTCTCGTCCCGTTGTATTAGTAGCTTCAAGTCATGTAGTCTAGTCCTGCTAGTCGCTCCCGCAATCACATCGGCTCTGCTCATGTCTGTTACTTCGACGTTGGAACTGTGCATGTGATGTGAGACTCGTAGATATCACACGAGGCGTTCTGCTCAAAAGTTCATATTACAAAGGTGAAGGCGCTGAACATTGACACTGAGTACTGGGCCGCACTTTTTCAATTCGGCACAACGGTTTACTTGTCTCCAAGCCAGTACTGGTCAGTACTTCAGCGACCTGCCGCTATCGACACTCACCAGCAGTGACTCCGATGAAAAAGACGGTTGCATAAAAAAACCCATGCGGAACACATGGGGGAAAAAGCTACCGCCATCGTGACGTAAAGCATACAATGAACGATGAAACCGCTCCGCTCCTCCGCTCCAACACCATCTAGAATTGACATCGCCCACTAGACTGTCACGCTCGTGAATATGCTTGCAGTCGAGGGGTAAATCGAAAGGAATCTAACGTCGACTCGGACACCCCTCGCGCAAGTGCCTTCGATAGGCGTCCTCTCGATTGAAGGTCCTTCCGCATTTTGAGCACGCTTTCTCTCCTGTGGAGATTGCGTGCATGAAAGCTGGATGTGTGAGACCTGTCCCAAAATAGGCTAGCTGGTTAGATCACCCGACTCGGAGCCTTCTGCATGAAGTCTTTGCTCACCGAGGCTATGGCTGTCGCTGATCTCACGATACGTGCGATCCGCAGGAGCTCTGTCCGCCACCCCTACATTGACGAGTCTGTAGAGATTGTAGGATGAGACACGAAACCGTAGAGATATGCATAGGTACTAACTGGATCTCTGACCCGTTGTCGGATGGAAAGGGGAAAGCCTGAGGGAGATGTCCCTGCATCTTGTGCAGCAGTGAAAAGGTAGAAATGTACGTTCAAATGATACGCGGCCTGTACCCATCTTAATCAACATGTGTAAGTGCCCCAGACATGCTACACAACTCACTAGAAGATTTGAACCAAAAGGCGGAAGCTGGAAGTCTTTCTGGAGTTAGCCAGAGACAGGCGAGGGTGCCCGCACTTAAGTATGGGTATGTTCGTCTCTCTCTAAGGCTTCGCGCGCACCACTGCCCAGCTGAAGCGGAGCGCCCCTCGCGAGCTCATAGCGGCGCGATCGCTAGATGCGTCGGCATACACAGCTACGACGTATGCATTTGGTGTTGTCCCGAGCGAACGAAGCGCATGAGGTAGCATGGAGGCTGCCTCTGTGGCCCTCACGCGGCTACGCACTGCAAATCGAGCAGTGCCGCGGCTGTGCAGGTTTGCCTCTTGGTGACATGGGTGCGCCTTGTTACCGTCGCCGGCCGCTGAACACTGTCATATGATATCCAGTGACTCGTTGCATGTACCCGACTCTGTGCCCGACATGAGATGAGTGTGGGTGTATCCATCACGCATATCCTCGGAGAGGCGTACCTTCAGAGACTCGCGTTCCGCGAACATGACAGTTCGACATGAAGGAGCGCGGACAACGCGGGTGGATGTCCCGATATTGACATGCGCTTCTTCAGGAAGGGAAGATTGAATGGCGCACATGTAGTTTAGCCTGAGAAGCACATTAGTAATCACAACGAGTAGCTATTGTCACCGACGGTCAAAGAACTTGGGAGGATCGCCTAGGATCGCGCCTCTTGCGTGCGGCGCTCTCGGACAAGGCATCACATAACGTCCAAACGTCCCCACAACGGCGGTGCGGATGCTGGGTGGCCCGCACTGCTCATTGCTTTTGTCCAGACATCAGTTCGGACGGTGGGCCGTCACGTCCGTCATGCATTCATGCACAAGACATCTCACACACGAAAATAGATGCCGATCTGCGACTTCACCGTGTGATTATACACCTGACCATTACTCCGTGTCTGATGCAAATACCTCATTATAGAACATCCCGTGTGATTGCCTTTTCACGCAGTCGTGCTGTACAAGCTGACGCCGGCACCCAGGGTACAACTGGGAGCTACAGCCAAGCAACGTCGCAAGCAAATGGAACACGTACCCAAAGTGTGGCCGCGGGAGTTGTAAAAGTACAGGCCGAACCTCCGCGAAAGTGTAGGTGAATATTCTGCACGGTACAGCTGTGGCCCATCCGTAAGTAAGATCTAGACAGTGAATATTAAGAAAACGTACCTCCCAGACCGAGCGCATGATCATTGTAAAGCGAGTTGTGAGTGCTCGTGGATGCGATAAGAAACTGCCTCTCCACATGGTCACTCTTCTCAAGAAAATGCAATTCATCCGATGGCTCAATGCGGCGAAGCTGGGTTTACAGTCGGAGTCAAACCGATGGGCAGCAGGCCTGCCGAATTTGAGTCCTGCATCTGAAAACAGAGTCGACGTAATACGAAGAAAGGCTGGTCGGGTTCTATGGTCTGCAACGGAGACTAGCCTTTTCATCACCAATGACAGTTCAGCGTGCTCACCTTGGCATGTTGAGAACGCACGCATTGCGATAGGGGTACTTGTAGGTGCTGCACGCCCGAGAACGATCAAATCTGATGCACACAGTAGAACCAGGGAGGCGCATGTGGATCGTCGATCGAGCCAAACAGAATCCTTCAGATACAAGTGTTCGCAATGGCAGAAAATGTCACTGGTACCGCACCCGGTGCGATGCGATCATCGGATCTGCGATTTCAGCTTCATGGTACAACAATACCATTGTCACATCTAGAGTATGTCGACCACTCACTCAACTATTGGTCTTGCAGGCCTGACCATTAGGAACGGCTCAGTAGGTGGTTTCCCTGCTAGTTGAGGTCCCGAAAAAACTCACGACGTCGTCAAGGAGACTAGTCGAACATTAACCTTCCGACCAACTTCCGACTCGCGGAGGGCACCATGACAAATAGGGAGGATTGGCACCGCCAGGAACAACTCACCATAGTAGACCGCGCGGTGGGGCGCTAATGACCTCCAATATTGGCTGTGTAGGGCGTCGTCTTAAGCGCCCATCGCTCTGAAGCTGAAGACACGTTAAGTACACACCGTATACAGTCCCGAGCGCTCCGCTTCAGTTCTGAACGAGTCCTGTGTAAAATTTCACGGCGGAGAACATAACACAGCACGTCATCAAGCAGAGGCGAGCCGAGGTGTCCTCCGAAGACGGATTCTCGCTCTGATCATGAAACTGCGGAGGTGATGTAAATGCGGTACAGCGAAGACGTTCGTGAGTAGAGTACACGGACCAGAAATCCATACAACGCCCATGCGTGACACTGGTATACCTCCGTATCTACTTACTGATTCGTCAAGGATTCAGGACTTCTGGTCCATGAGCTCCCTCCCTTCCCCTTTGAACTTCTTTAACTCGGTCTTCCAAGGTTCCCAAACATCGCCGTACTTCTTCAATAACCGCCCAAGCTCTTCCCTCTGCTCCTTCTACAATCACCGCTCTTCGTGAGTCTCAAACACGTGCGGCCCGGACATTGAATTCGCTCACAAGTATCCATGGCTCCTCCCCGCCGTACACCTCCTCAAACATTTCGTGCAACGCCGGCTTCGGAAGTACCTCCGCCTTCTTGAACGCCTTCAGCACCTCGTCCTTGAGGCGCGCCCGGAGCGTGTCCTCCTCGCCGGCGCTCCACCACCCGCGCGCCTCGAGGAAGCGCCGGAAGCGCGCGAGCGGGTCGTCGAGCCTCTTCCGGTCCTCGACCTCCTGGCGCGGGCGGTAGGCGAAGGAGTCGTCGGAGGTGGAGTGGTGGCCGACCCTGCGACGTGATCGCAAGGTGAACGACAGATGAATGGTGAACGGAGGAGGACGAACCTGTATGTCATCGCCTCTACAAGGACACCACGGCTTTCTTCGATGCATAGCCGCCGCGCCTCCTTGACGGCGTTGTACACTGCCAGGACGTCGTTCCCGTCAACGCGCACGGTGTGGATCCCGTACCCGGGTCCGCGTGCGGCGATCCCGTCGCCGTAGAATTGTTCAGTGGCGGGTGTGGAGATGGCAAAGCCGTTGTTGCGCGCGATGAAGAGGGTCGGCGACGGAATCGTCGATGCTGCAACGAGAAAGGAGACGAGGACCAGTAAGCGGGCTAGCATGGGCATTGAGGGGCTAGACAAACTTACCGAAGAGCATGCCAGCGTGGAAATCCCCTTCGCTCGCGGCTCCTTCACCAAAGTAAACCGCAGCGCAGTTCTTTCCCCGTCTAGCAGGATCGCGTCTCAAGGCGAAAGCGACTCCCGCTGCTTGAGGTATTTGCGTCGCGAGCGGAGAGGATATCATGTGGAAGTGGTGTTTGCGAGAGCCAAAGTGCTGTGAACACCCGATGAGACGAACCCCTAGGAGAGGTATCATCGACTTACCATTGGCATCTGCTTTCCGCGTGAACATGGATCCTCGCAGTTCCCGAATGAAGAGTTCATCATGTCAGCTAACGTGAAGCCGCGCCACATTAGCACTCCCAGTTCGCGGTATTGCCCTTCAGCCACTTGTAAGGGTAGGATTCATTAATCAACTCATATACTCTTACCAAGTACTCTGAGGAGCATAGGTGAGCAGCGCACATATCGCCTCTAAGCTGTGAACTCACTCGTCATCATTCGCAAGAGCAGCGGCCGATCCGATCAACGTTGCCTCTTCTCCATACTACGTCCATTTTAGACACGCGCCGAACACGTCGAGTAGGAGTCTTACATGTGTCATCTAACTTCATATGGTGAGGGACTATCGCGAGAGTAGCTATGAACCACATACATAGAACGCGAGTTTCCCTTGCCGCTGTACGTTGTACATGAGGTTGTCGATTATAGGAAGCTGGGCCATGCTCTCGTACCTGCCGGCGCCGGTAAGATGAGGCCTGGCTTCCAGGAATGTAACTCACATTCGCCTCGCCATAGCCTCATCGATCTTCTCGAGTCTTAGGAATCTATTCTCTCTCACACGACGATACGCTTACCTCTTCGGGGAGAGTAGCCCCTTCGACTGGTTGTCCGACGCTGTCCAAGACCCTGTACGTAGGAATCTGTGTTCCATCGCCCGTCACGGAATTGAAAAATTTGAGCGTCGAGACAATGGGAGACTGGGATGACGGCAGAAGACCATGAACTGTAGGCTCTTTCGGGAACGACTTCGCGGGTCCTGAGGTAGGTGTACTAGATATCGAACGTGTTCTCGCAGCGAATTGATGCTTCAAAAGAGATGTCCTCGCTGCACGCAACATCACAGCTATGTCCTGGGGCGATGGAGGACGATGAAGCTGAGTGCATCCCGTTCAAGATCCGGCCTGGGGTCAACGGTCGCTTGACACAAAAGTCAATCGCCGATTCAGACGAAGGCCCGAAGCGCCTGGACACGAGCGTCTCTGGGTGTCTCCGTGCACGTGGCTCTGGCCGCTCTGCCACTCAGTGGCTGCTCGACGCGGTGTGCGACCCTCTCCCTACCTCCATCTCACTGCTCTTCTCGCGTCCTTGCCCTGCTTGATCTTTGCATCTGTCACACACTCTTGGAGATATGGATGTTAGAGAACAATATGAAGATACAGAATACGACAGTCACAGACCACCGAAACGTGCACGCAGAACGCCACCACCCTCCAGTGCCCGCCCGTCCACGTCGGGCTCCGTGCATCCTGGCAGCAATGGGAACGCACACGGAAATGGCGGTACACCACAACCTTTGCCTCCTCTATCATTGTCAATTCTCGGCGTCGAGCCATTGGACGAGTTCATACGTGAGATCGCCGACTTTGTGCACCACACAATCATGACAAGGCGAGAGGTCGAGGGTCAGGTGGAGGTGGAGGCGAAGATTGGCGTGCTGAAGGATAAGGCGAGCGGGCAGAGAATACAACTGCCGGTGCTTGTTGAGTCGAGTACGTCGCTGTACCCTTCTTGGTGGCGAGTAGCCTTTCTCATGTGAAATGCGCCAATCTCATGCCAATCTTCAATTTACCTCGTCGATCTTGTCTTCACACAGTACTAATGCCGAACACGATCGACTACCGGTTTGAGTCCAATATGTCGCCAGTGCGTGTCTTCAGTCATGTCTTCATCCCATTTCCCTGCCACCTCTGCCGTGTTATCGCCTGTCTTAACACGACGTACGCCACTAGATGCAACATAAACACTTCAATGAGCTACTAAATGGCCTCAAAGTCTCACCACCGCCTTCCGCAACATCTTCGATCACCTACGCACACCTCCGGCTCGTCGATTCCTTCTACCAGCACCCCGACTCGCGCGACAAGATACGCGTGACACGCGACGAGAAGTCGGGGAAGGTTGAACAATGCGTACGGAAGGTGCGCCTAGGCGACCTGGACATATACAGTCCGAAGAGACCAGTCGACTGGCGAATCAGCGTGAACGTCGAAATTCCGGGTTCGTACTGTGCCGATTTAAATGGGATTTGCTAATTTATATGCCAATAGTCCCTCCTCCAATTGGAACCGCTAGCCATACACGACGAAAAGATCGGATGAGTTACTCACACGAGGAGTTCGCCATCGACCTCACACAAGTAACATCCTCTTCCGGGCCAGGGACGAAGGTACTTACCCTTACTGTGTGCTTGGGATGCGTCCGTGCTCAGAGATTCTCACAGGCGGAAGTCTTCCACGAACTAGAAATCGAGTTTGCTCGTCCGGAGTATCTCCTGTCCGCAGCGATGAAACGCGGTGATCCGAGCGTCTCCGACTTGGAGAGGGGCGCATTCGATGAGCTCGTCCGAGCGTTCGTGAACAATGCACGGATACTGGCGCGGAATGCGGGGGACTGGGGAAGGTGAACTCATCCCGTGAGATGCGCGGGTCTGGGGGAAGATGCCGGTTTGAGAGCGGTGTTGATATCCTTGCCCGGCGGTTCTTTGTGCGTACTGCGGTTCGCTTGTATTAGTGTTCATCATATTGACGTCGGGTCCGCAAGCTCGATTTCGTTCTTAGTGTACTATTCTTGTGTGTATTTGGGCCAGTGCGTGATAACCGGCATCCGCATATCACTGTTGATCTTTGTCATCGCGCCCATATGCGCCCATCTACACCACAAGCGGTGCTGCGCTGCCTGGTTTGGTCCGATGAGGGTATTTGAAAGCTGGTGTTCAACAAAATCGTGCAGATTACTTGGTTCAGCTTTCATGTCCATTTTCTCCATCGGGGCGTTAAGGTCTTACCGGCCGTTACATCAAAAAATTTGTTCTCTGAAGCGGACAGCAAGGTGAGTTGCCCGCTACTCTCGACTATAGTCTGCTAATCAAATAAGGCCAGTCCGAGAAGCACCAGCCTGGCATCTTGGTTTGAGATTATGCTCATTAAGTCCCGTTTTGTTCAGCGACGGATCCTAGGATTGCAAGGAACACAGTCGCGATCTTGCAACCGCACACAGCGATCACACTCGGGTTGTGCTCTGCTCCTGAAGGCTGTGACTATAGTTGGCGCAGGTACGGTCTAGTTCTTCCGTTGTTCTAATGGTAGGCTCATTTTTGAGGGAGACAGCCAGGCGAATTATTAGATCGTCTTCACCTGTGATGGACCAATCAATCACAGTAATTTTGTGAAGCGCGAGCCACGCATAGTTGTTTGGGTCCCCGCTCAACCACAGTGGTCCTTTCAAATCTGGGGACGGTTCATACAAGATTGAATGACACCGGTTGGCATAGGCGCAATGTCGACCAGCTACTGTAGCTCGTGTGCTCACTTGGCTGTAAGTTAGCGGCTGATGAGGGCGAAGGGTTCGCGGCGATACTCGATATCGCGGCGTCGTGCAGCGCCTTCGGAAAGTAGTCAAACCGGCGAACCTTGTAGAGGCGAGAGGTTATAGGTGCTTTACTTGGATTCGCGGGCTCCAAAAATCTCCGCTCATCTGGCCATGCCAGCGCGCATAGACTTACGCCCAGCGCTTCAACGCGTGCACCAGTCCTGGGAACACGAGGTGAGTCGTCCGACCGCTTGATAGACGATGCATTGACGTTCATACTGCAATCCTCATTGCATCCCGCCCCGCAGCAAATGCGGGTACCGGTACGTGCGGTGCTCTGTCTTTGTCGACTTCGATGTCTGTGTGTCTGCCTACAGCTTCGCGTGCACATGTCGGATCGATCAGTGACGCCCAGTGTAGGGCAGATGGTATGCCAGTTCGCCTCGTGTTCCTCCGGAGCACCGAGTGTCCGTGTGCACCTGAAAGCAAAGGAGTCGCAGCAATTGCAAGTATGCACTTGTCTGGCAGACGAGTGCGTGCAATCAGAATTGACCGTCGAGTAAGTCTTTTTTTGTCCCAGCACGGGGCTGAAGGTTTGATGCCAGGAACAAGCTATGTTATGCTAGACCCCTCAGCCACATCTGAGAGCGAAAGGCTGACCGCGCGGCCGACGAAGGTGCGAATTCCAATCCATCTACTTAGTGGGAGTGTTTCAACGAACTCGCCGATGACGACACCAGTTACTGTGGCCTATCCGTATTGGGATATAACACACCGCATTTTGGGTCACGGTTTTCACCGACCTCGGGTGAAATGCATATGCGAAAGAGGTCAATACTAGGATCAGAGCCTCAATATCTGGGGATGTTGACCCGAGTTCGGTGCGATGGGGCGTCAGACGTTGATAACGGACACACTGCTTTCTCTCTTTGCGAAGCCGTGATACCTTACGGTTTGCATTCTACTACCCTATCAACTAGAGTCTATGTGATGAACCGGGGAGGGACTAACCATGGTTAATAGTGCCTGCCGCTGTCGCAGCCCGGACGACGTGCGCCTGCGCATGTGAGGGTTTGAGCTCGTCACGACGACGCCGCCCAAGGGTTACCAGTCAACACGGAACACAGGTCATCCAAATGGTAATTGCGGGCTGTGGTATCGAGAGCACCTTACCTGGCTCAACTTGGTGTGGTGAGCCCTTCTCGTCTAGACGCACCACGTCATGCGGAAGTCGCTGAGCTCAAGTTTGACAGGTGTGTGGTTCTCCTCAGTAAACATCCCCTGTGCATAGGACATGCGGGACCTGCCTGTCGTCCGACTCCGCCAGCACCGCTGCGGTATGCGGTTGCGAGTAGTTGGTCGACAACGGGAATGGCCGCTGCGGGTCGTTATAAGCAGGGAATGTGGTGTTGTCCACCAGTCAACACCTGTCTCGTCTCGTCCCATCTCATCTCCCTCACTAAGCCTTTCACTCCAATTCTCGTTGTCATTCAACTCAGCATATACGCCTGTATAGCACACCTTCCTGTCAGTCTCAAGCCCCTAGAACTCATGGCCGCTGGTTCAGACACTTTTGCGAAGTGAGTCGGTCAAATACCAGCGCATTCTGTGCTTTCTACTGAGCCTTGGTGCACTGCAGGTCGCCCAAGTACCTCGCCATCGCTGGGTCTTACGATGCTGCATCTGTCCCGGCCGGATCCCAAATCGTCTGTACGGGCTGTGGACAGACTTTTGAACGTAAAGATATATACAATCGTCACCGACTGACGTGCCCCGGCGCGGGGTGAGTATTTCCATGCGCTTCATCAACGTCGGCATCTTTCATTGAAGTTCAAACTATGTAGGCGTTGATGCCGTCCTTCCAACCATATTGTCTCTCTTGATGATAGTGGTAGCCTACTTGGGGTCTTGGTCGAGTGCCTCGATTCGATATCGAGCCCCCAGACATTCTTGTTTTTGTATAGGACACATGATCGTACTCTTGTTCCGAACACTCACTTCTTGTTACGGACAACTATAAATAACCAGTATGTCGTCTCCACTAGCGTTCCAGTACAAGTACATAGCTACGCTCGATTGACATGTACACTGGACGATCGATGTCGCCTCACGTACTATACATATGAACATTACTCTTTATCAGCTCCTGTGGGCACTTCAAGCGACTGCGATGGCAGGTGCGGTGCTCGAGACGTCCACAGCCTTGTCGGCCCTCTGCAATGCTTCCAAGCGCTTCTTCTCCTCCTCAAGCATCTTCTGCTGCAACAACACCCGCCTCGGCACCACCCGTCTCCGCTCCGTCGTCGGCTTGAAATCCAGACGGTCGACGCCGAGCGCCCTCAACGTCTTCAGCTCGACGAGGCTGAAGTCATCCGGGTTCTCGCGGTTGAAGTTGAACGGCGCCTTCAGCGACACAGGCGGGTTTGTGATGATGCGCGCCTCGCGGAGGTGGTTCTTCGAGGCGGTGTGCAGCATGAGCGGATGCAGGAGCACGACGTCGCCGATCTCGCCGGTCATCTCGGCGAAGCGCTCGCAGTCCTTGATCTCCTTGAGGAAATCGAGGTGCTCTGGGTGGTCCTTTGGGTTCTCGTATGTGCTCGTGCTCGGCGTGAACGAGAGACCCGTAGGGAGGCACCCTTCGGGATGAGCGGCGAGGTACGGCGCGACGAGGTCAATGCCATCCGGCGAGATGTAGGTCGCGCCGCCACGATGCTTGATGTCGGAGTACAGTGGGATGACGAGCAGCGCTTGCTCGGGCGAGTCGAGGAAGTGCACGAAAAAGTCGCCGTCGACGTGCCAGTTGTCGAGGTCGCGCGGGTCGATCTGCACGTCGCCCTCGTATTGGGGCGCACCGAGGTTCACGATGAAGCTGTCGCCCCAAGAGCTGCTCGCCTCGTCGATGCGCTCTTCGCCCCCCAGCAGATCCTTTATCGCATCCCATGCCTGTGCAGAACGTCGGTGGCAGACCTCTTATAATGAGCAGACAGGCTTGCCTTTGGTGCGAAGGTGGATACAGCCTCACGCTTGTGCCATGGCATATGTATGCGCTCCCGGTCCCAGGTCGACTTGTCGACCGGATCGAGACCGAGACGCGTCCACATCTCTTTCGTCCATTCAGCAGCCTTTCGCTTTGTGAAAGCCTGCTTGATGACGATGTAGCCGTTCTCCAGGAAGAAGTCGACCTGCTCAGCTAATTGCATGACAAGAGTCAGTGTGCCACACTCTCGTCGTAGCGATATTCATGCGTACGAGTGAGAGAGTTGTATGTCTTGGTCATCTTTACAGTGAACTTCGAGGCTGTACTACCAGCTTGGAGTTGAGGCACTGTTCACGGTGCCTCGCCGCCTCGACTAACACCGCAGGCGTTAAGTATCGCTCGTGGTCGGGTAATACTCGGATTTTACCCTAGATTACCTTGGGTCATATGTCACCTTCCCGACATTCATCATGGTCGCGGTCTTGACGAATGTGACACACCTGGGTCCCATGGACGCCGGCGCTCGCAGAAGACGGATCGATGAGGTTCATAGACAACACCGTTTGAAAGGGAGAGTCGGAGAAACGCACGATAAGCAGGTCACAAGCAGTGGGCATACCACCGCAAGAATGCACTTATGTGGGATCCCGTAGGCTTTCCGCTTGGGCTCGTTGAGAAGGGGAGAAATTCAAAAAGCAAGACGGAAGTGATCATACGAGGGGGAGTGACCCGGACCACCGAGGAGTCAGAGACGTGCTGGCGACACAACATGTGCAGTTTGCAGTTTGTTGAGTAGACCGTACGACGGTTTCAAATATGGGCCAGGATGCCTGTTCAATAAGCGGGCATGAGCATCTAATCATCTTGACACGGAAAGTGAAGGCGGTTAACACTGAAGATATAGATAGATGGTGCGTAAAACCAATCTTTCAGTGAGTGTCGCCACCCTATGCTGGAATGGCAAGTACGTCAGTAAACATCCTGTATTAATGAGAAGACGCATACAGAACGTACATCTGACAATTTTGAGCGCGACGAACATCCAGTATGTCAGTGATCGTCACAACTAGGACTGATAGCCGCCCGCATACCAGTATACTCGTCGAGAACGCGGAGATTCATGTAATTGAGCAAACATTCGTGAGGCTAGATTACGCTGGGCTCTGTGTGCGAAGGGGGAAGGCCCTAGGGCTAAATGCGTCAGTGCGTCATTCAACACGGCGAATAGTCTGATCTGACATACGTGCTGGGCATTGCCTGCAGTCGAGGAAAGGGACAGTGGTTCGTTTCAACCTCCTGACGTGGATAACTCATGCAACTGCCAATAAGTACGGTCACTGTGTGTACTCTGATTGGATAGTATTTAGTGGTCCAGGGAGCCCTTGAGCGTACTGTGGTACACGACGCCAATGGTATGAACGATCTATTGACGTTTTTGAACAGCTTCTCTTCAAGCCTACGGAGGTTGTAGTGTTAGTCTCAATACAAGTGCTACTCACCACCGGCACCAGATTGTCATTTGCGTCCCCTACTACCCTGCCTAGTGATATATGTCCTCCTGATGACAGCTACCAAATGCTTGAAGACTGGTAGAAGCCAACGTCGTGTCAGTCTGAGAACTCAGTGAGCGTGTCAAGATGGCTAAGGCAAGGCTAAGGTACGCTGAACAACCCCGCGACATGGCAGTGCTCGACTGTCGTTGAATGGCTTTTCATATTTTAGTGAACGGGACCTGCGGCGAAGAGGGCGAGTGGGCATTGTCAGTGGTTGTCTGAATGTTCGCGAGCAAGGCCTTTACACCACGAGTTGCCGTCGATCGAATCTGCTAGGCAAGCAGCTGATCTAGAGAACGTAACATAGATGATACAGCTGTATGTGAGCTTAGCGCAATGAGAGCGGCCAGCCGCCAGCAAGGCGGCACAGATAAGGTTGGGATAAGGATCGAACTTGGAGAGGCGCCAACGTCTCTCCTTCCAATTGTTCTCATTGCTGTGAATGAAACTCACAGCCCCGGCGTTTCGATGGGTCCACCAGTTGGTTGAAGGCGCGTTGTCAACGCCGGCGCTCTGTCAAAGTTCCGTTGCATCTGGCAGTAGATGGTGGCCGTCCACCCGCAAGACGCACTGCTGCCACACGACAATCTGTCATTCAAAATGAGGGCGGTGGTCAAGAAGAGGACGATAGAGGGACACCGAGTGCGAGGCGGGGGACGTGAGGTCAGGTATTGACCCGGGCCGTCGCACTGCGTGGCCTAGAAGTTATGTGACCATCAATATTATGTGACAGCGATCTCAGTGACGAGCAGACATACAACTGAAACGCCACTGGAGCCCGACATGCCCCCGTATCCGAAGCGGCATAGAATGTGGTCGATGGTTTGCGTTGCTTGATATATGACTTGCATGTGTATCAGTGCGATCCCATTGGATCATCTTCCGCGATTAACCTCGTTTGAGTTCTATTCATCCCGGGCCTTCAACCAGATCTATACCAACGTCCTCGGAAACCTAATGGATTTTAGTAGTGGAAGAGACTAAATTCGGGAGAGGCACGGCTTACTAACGCTGGTCCCTAGATTCTTTGACGTGTAACGCAAGAATATGTCCATCATAGCTACATTATGAAGATGGAATTGCCGTTGAGCTACAAGAGTATAGTCTCGTAGTACATGACCAGCTGTATTGTATCGGTCAGCCGTGATGCAAAGCAGGCATTTCTCATCGTGAACCGTCGGAATTGTAAGATCAGGCCCATCGGCTGGCTCGATCCCGAGGATGTTGTATAGCCCGCTCAGTACAAGGCGACCGACCTTGTAGAATAAGCTGAAGAAGGTTCAGCAGATAAGGAGATCGACATCAGGAAAGGATGCGTGGTCATAATGACATGACGAACGGAAGTATAACTTGCAGTCGAGCTCAAGTGTGGCAAGAGGGGAGCGACATTCCGACTGACGCCAGATAGAAGTGGAGCGGTTGGGAAGCACAACGTATCAGATAGCTGCGTCGCGTCCAAGCGACCACGTCACACAGGGTGTGAAGCTTGAGTTTGAAGCTTTGAAGTATGAAGGGTGTATAGAATGTCTGGACCTCACTGACAGTCGACAGCATAATCCCAGCAGACGTTCGCCTCCACTCTCGTTTTCCAGTCATTATGGCTGTCGCTTTGCACACATCGGCAGAACGACCACAGCACCTGGTGTCGTGAGTTTCGTGGCCGAGGAGGAGTGGAGGAGGTCCAAGGAGGGGGACTGGTTGACATGAGTTTCGTGGCCGAGGTTGAGAAGAGATTGTCATGGGCTCTCCTCTGCGGAGACAACGGTGGTGCGTAGTGGTGCGTCGGGGCCAGCCAAAGAGGGCCAAACAAGTTTTGCCGAGTCGTCGCTCCCTCCCCTGATGATCTCCAGCTCCACGTATCCCGACATTTGAGCCGTATGCCTGCTTCAATGATTTCGCGACCATGAGTAGTCGAGGTGTGTGCGTGCGTCGCCTCAGAGCGCTGACAATGATTTTCGGCGGCATACTGGTGGAGATAGTATGGACGAGGCCTCTCCACGCGAGCACAGTTGAGTCGTCGCTAGTATAGAAGTGCATGCAGTGTCATGGCCGTGAGGAGTGGGAGGCGTCCGAGAGGTGCCAGGAAGCTAGAAGTGCTAAGAGAGGCGCCACGCCGGCCGGCAGCAAGTCATCAGTAGCCGCCTCCAGGCCAGGCCTCAGGCTCACGGTGCTCACCTAGGTCCTACGCACGTCGCAATCCACGTCTTATAGACCCAAGTACTACGACAAGGTCGTACATTGTCATCATCTTCAACTGGCGTGAGTTCGCGGGTGCCCGGTGGCGATGCTGTTGTTAACTTGGTCCGAGGTGCTGGTCCTCCGCCCTTGTTTCTCTGTGAGTAGCCTGACAGCTTGCAAGTTTCGCTTTCGACTGCACTGACCCATGTTCTGTCGTGATCTTAGCTCTTTCCGTCTGGCCTGGCTTTTTCTTTCGCGTACAGAAAAAGACTATAATGACCTGTACGGCCCCGTGCAACACAGGTCACGGAAACCACGTTCATTTGTCCGAGTACAGCGACCTCGTGTTAACGCTACACAGGCGGTCTCCTTTTCGATATCACATTGATCCGGGTCGAGGTAAGTCACATACCATCTCAAGATCAGTGGCCGCATGGTCGGTCGTGGGTGGTTGTGTGCTCCTGGAGGTGTCAGCCGCAGGAGCGCTCCCGTAATTTCCTATTACCGAGATGGCTAGCAATTGGCTGACGCACCACCTATCAGCCTCGTCGCGGCACAGCCGAGTTTCAGGCTCCCCGCAATCTGTCAAAAACATCACTATGTGTTTTGTTCTCGTTGCGCCGTATCCCGGCTATCAAGACTGGTCTGGCAGCGTTCCGCTAAGTGAATAACGTCTTACGTCCACGGGGACTACTCAGCTCTATTTCATCCCATTTTAAAAGCCTGCCCAGGTGGACAAACCCTTCGTCGACACATGAGCAGGTACGTCGTATACTTGCATTGGGAATATTCTGGCGGACCGGATTCCCCCGGGCCTGAGGTGCCTCGATGCTCTCTCGGACGCGGACCTCGCGCGTTGCATCTACGGTGGGCTCCTGTATTTTTTCTGCAGTATACCAGACGTTCCTCTGGGTGGCTTCCCGGCAGCTGTCATGTAGTGTAGCTCCCATGTTAAATGGGAGCTATGCGACCCACCAGTGACGCGACAAGAGGAATCTTCTGCGAGCACATCACGTCCTTATCTCGCCCTAGCATCCCAGGCAATGGTTAGGCTCACGTCCGTGTGGTCGTCCTGGTTCACTATGACAGGTTCCCTGTGGGAGACTCGCACAGCATTGGGCGTTCGAGCCTGGCGCTGCTGAGTCGATATGAGCGACTCAGCTATCCGTAGGTGCTCACTTACCGGACGAGCGTCGCTGCTACGCCGTCTCCGTGGTGAACAGTGGGCAGGGGGAAAATGACAGTCACCACAGTTGCGATTATGAAAGACCCAGCGGGTGTCCTGGGTTATGATGATAGTGGCCGGGAAGGTAGAGTCGGCTTCTATGCGCGCCCCGCTCACACAGAATGACAGGGGGGACCACGGTATTTAATACGCAACCGCTGAAAGACCTGTCGAGCAGGCCTTCCCCCCTCCACATCGGTTTTCGTTCATCCAGTTGACCCGGGTGTGCGGTCCGTCTCCATCCCTCACTACAGCTACACTCCTCGCATGCTGGCGCCGCATGGTTCTCTCAACACCACAGAAGGAGAAGGTATTGGAGGGCACATCGGCGAGGATGCAACAAGATATACCTTGTGAGTAAATCATAACTGATATTGCAGCCGGTTACTTGTTCATTATGGACAAGTGCCCAATATCCGCGCCATCGTATTCATCTCTGCGATCTCGCGGGCGTCCCCGATCCTAACCTTGAAGAGGACCATGCCTGGACCTCGCCGCGGCGGGCCTTCGTCATCTCCACAAGTCCACTCGTCTACCCATTCTCAAGCCTGTGTGGGTGGGATTTAGGCCCAGGTGGAACGAACAACGCGCTCAGCAAACGCATGGCGGGCATGCCCTTCTAGTTGTCGCCTTCAGTTTCTTTATCTCACCAGCCCCGCTACAGTATAAAGCAACTGGAGCAACTCAGCTCTACCTCAAGTGCTACCACGTCGACGGCTCTTCATCGTTCCTTAACCTCCTTTCGCTTACTGCGTCGCCTCCATCGACCCATCGCGAACAACCTTGTCGACTTGAGGACCTCCACGATCTTTTTCACAACATGCGCCGCCCTCCTGGCAACGATACACGTCAAATCTACGCCGACAACCCACCAAGCCAGCCTCTACGGCGAAGGACCACAACTGCCGGTCGGGACCGCTCAGGTACTGAGTACGCCGCTCATGCTCATATCGGCCAAAACTCGAGTATGCATAAGGTAATGACGTGCTTTTGTCACGGATCCGGCGTTCGGTGTCTGAGCTAATAATGTCCGTCAGCGCAACAACAACAGTGTTCTCCAGCACCATGGACACTCTGAAGACCCGCCCTTCACTCCTCAGCTCCCATCTTCCACCGCTCCGTCGACAGTTCGCGGAAATACTGCAGCCCCCACGCAATTCAAGGACCACCGGCCTGCGTCGTACACGTCGAACCCTGTCACAGAGGATTATGACTCTGAACTGTCTTTCGTTGTCAGTATTATCATTAGCGGCACAAATCGTACAACGACATTTACATGCTGTTTAATCCCGCAGCTCGCACCAACCACACCTCTTCACTATTTCGCCCGTCCTTACGAGACCTTGTCGTGTACGGAAAATGATACAGCTCACAACAATCGCCATCATCAGGTGAGCAGATACGTCAGCGATTCGATACCAGTATTATAAATAGGCTCTACAGAGTGACAGCGTCCACGTCCCAGTGTACTCTGCAAACTCTAATAACTTCGGTGATGGCCAGAATGATACGGCCACCGACACCCATGGGCATGGCACAGCCGAGCGTGTGGGTGGCTCGATCCCATGGCGGCCTCAACATCCGCGACAGGTCTACGCGAATCTACAGACCATTAACGGCATCAGAGTTGGACCCCCCATGCCCGCGAATAACTGGCTCAGCTCGCATGGGTCCGGTGGGTTGCCCCCAGCGAACGCATTCGCCCACGCGATGGCGTTGCCTTCTTCCGTCTACGGAACTCTGCCTGCGGTCGATTTCGAAGTTAGCACCGGCGGCTTCGTCGCGAACCTCGATGCGACCGTGGCTGGGCCGTCGTCTCTTACTCCTCCCCCTCACGTGGACTGCAGTAGCACTGTTCAACCTATTCCGTTGCCGGACACGAACACCACGCATGGTACGCGCCCCTGGGCACCGTCGACAACCTTCCCTGCTGCCGTACACAACGCATACTATCCTCCGTCGGCCCCAAAACCGCTTGCGCCTTCATTCGAAATCGAACCGTCCCGCGAAATTTCCGTAGACTCTCGCCCAGCCGAAAACCTGGTTCATGTCGCCAATGGCCCTGGCTGCGCTGAGAGCGGAGGGGCAAGGTGAGAACATCCCATGCCTCCGCTCCCTCTCTTCTCATAATACTATGGCCAGACTTCAAAGCGCAGGTCATGGCACTGTAACCTCCGCCAAGAAGACCAATATCGGACGTCGATGTCGCGTTTCCCCCTCATGCTCGTATAATGACTGTGGCAACTGTGGCAAGAGCTGTAGGAAATGGCGCCAGCATCTGAAAAGCTGCCTCAAAACCATGTCGCTGCCGAATGTTCCACAAAGCAAAGACCAGTGCCCTTGGTCTGACGGCTCGGGATCCGGTGCTCGAGTTTTATACTGGTCGACAACGACGGTTTGGTGAAGCATATAATGAAGGTGCATCTCAGGCTCTTTGCAGTCGACTGCGACTACTGCGCGGCGACTTCGTCTCCAAAGATTCTCTCATCCGGCATCACGCAACTAGCTGCAAACTCATCCCTACTGATTCGGCGGCGTATGGAAAGGCGTGCATTGCTCTTGAGAGTGAGTCTTTCCGTGCACACCGATTTCCCGTATGAGTCTCTTGTCGATGAGATACAATTGCAACACCAGGACACCGTAGTCCTTTGCACCAGAGCATGAACTCGTCGAACGTCTCTGAATCCCGCTGTTACCTTCAATGTCTACTGTCGTTGCGTGATCCATTTACTGACGCATTGACAGGGAGGGCTTCCCGCAGCATCAAGAACGCGACGTGCCAGTAGTCGAGAGGCTATAATAGTCATGCTCTACGCCTTCTGTAGTAAGCAGTCTCTTACGTCTAGTACGTCTCGCCCGAACTCAACACGGCCTACCGCAGCATCGACTACGTCGCTTGCTATGGTCACCAACCAATCCTGATTTTCGGAGTGCTGGGTCTTCATTAATGCATTGATGAAGTGTCAGTTATCAGGCGGCATATCATACGATGCCGTGCTACCTTTCGTACTCACCCTACTATGTCCGGGAAGACATGCCAGACTCGTGCACGCACGTGGTGTAATTATTTTGAACCCCTTTATTGTCTGCGAGGGCAGAGCCCTATATATACGTTGCGTATCATATATCATGCCATGAATGATGTACATACGTACGGCCGCATCCCAGATTCAGCCGGATTGTTGACTATACGCTATCCCTTGCGCTATCCCATCGGCTCGCCACTGCAAATCCTCAATTGCAGCGGATTTGTTGACTTGAGAGTCATCTGCTGGCGGTGTGATGGCCAGTATCATTTAAGGAGGTTTACAGTATATCTGAACACTAGTCAAGGTTGTAGTCCACGCGGCGCATCACCACGATCGCTCGACACAATCATGTAAATAGAGAGCGCTGTCACGCATGGCGAGCCCTACGGCGCGCGAACGTGCTGACTAAATGGTACCCCCTCCTCCTCCTCCTCCTCCTCAGCGGGGCGGATCATGATACCGCACTTGCACGCTTGCCTGTAGGTATCACCGAAAAGGCATCAACTCCGCCGATCAGTCAGTCGCGTTAATAGTGGTGCCGCACGCATGGTCGGATCCTACGTATCCTCTGCTCAGACGTCCAAAGCAGGAATATATGCTGGATTCCGACATGCCGAACTAATGCCGAACAAGGCTCCCTTGCATGTCAGTATTAAGACAATTTGCGTCCACGCGCCCCGGATGACAGCGTTGTCGACTGTGCGCGTAAATGCAGGCGCAACTCAAGCGTGGCTAGGCGCGAGTGACATGTAGATTGGAAGAGACGACGACAGTCGAGTGAATCTATAAGACATGGTAAAATTTACGTATGATACACATCGCACTATTCGAGACATGTTGAGAGATATGGACGCCACGTCTGGATGCAAGTAAGGACTCACCACCGTGACCGACTCGGGCACCAGTATCATTCGCGCTTCCTCCCTACGTGTCCTCCCAAATTCAGCCACGGCTGAATGCTTTATACTCGTAGAATCAAATGAAACCGTGTGAGTTCGAGGTTGAGAGCGTAGTCAGTGACTGTCGGTCAAGGTGCCCTAGGCGACCGGCAACATGCCAGTGTTCAGCTATTCAGTGTTGGACGATTGCTCGGGTTCTCATGGACGGTCCTACGGCGGAGAGGGCGAGCGGGTATCGCCTCGGTTGTCACCGCGTTGAGTAGCAAGGTACTTAGGTAGTATACTCTGGCCATGTCGGAGTCGGAGTGGAGGTCGCGGACTGAGATCTGAGACATCGTCCGACGTCGGGTGACTGCGCCGGGCCCGCGCCGGGCGACTTGCTCCCAATTTCAGATGCACACCATGTGTGACGTTGTGGGTCCATCGTGATACACCCTTCGTGACGCTGCTCGGTGCGTTCGAGTCAGTATCTGCTGCTGGCTAACTGACGGTCCAGTTTGAGTGTCTTGACCCCTTCCTTCCAAGCCGGTCTTGGTCACACATACCTTCATGCGGACCTCGGGTCCTGTTGTTCTCTGCTTGGTTGCCAGCTTCAACGTGGACATCCACCGATCTCGCAGCGATGCTTTCATAGAAACGAGCATCTGCTTTCATATGGCTGAACTATAGGCGAAGGTTCGATTGCATCTGGCAGAATCGGGCAACTTGGTCAGTCACAGCAGTGATTCTCTGTTTCATACAATACAGTTTACGCCACACTTGCCAACGTACTGCCGCGCGGGCCATTTCCTTGTACGTCGGAGATAGAACTGCAGGTGTCTGTGGCGAAGTCGGATGTTGCATCATGATCAGTATGCGTCCTTCTCAACATCTCACGAATGCTGACCATTCAAATATTCACCTCTAGTCTGCTCGTGTCGCATCAATTTGAACCACTCCTTAAGTGTTTGTATTGGATGAATACATCCTGTTCGTTGCAAACGGCTCATTGATATGCGTGGTGAGCACGCTTTATAGCGGAACAACTTACATTTCAGTTTATCCTGCGTCGCCCGGGCAGTCCGGCCACCCAATCGAATGCTTCATCAATCTGCCGATGCGGATGTTACAGCGATACGAGCATGCCTGAAAGGTCATTGTAACCTCGGTAGGCATGTTTGAGGATGCATAAGTACTGACAGGTAGCGCACTGCGTCGATGACCCTCGGGAACCTTCCGGATGGTCGTTGCACAAAGGCAGCGATGCTCCAACGCCAACGTAGGCAAGTGGTGACGTACTCTTGCATAGCTGTACTTAGAGCTTCTGACAACCGCATCGTAGGAACACACCTAGATCCCCCACCCTGTGGCCCGAGCTTCTGTCTATCTTGGCCCTCATCTCGCCTACGAGGACCGCTCTGCGTGGCGTGGCTCTGATACTTCTATGTCGGGTCGCTTTCCCGCGGCTTGAGATATTGCTACTCAATGCGCCCTTCAAGTTCGAGGATACCTCACAAGAGGTGGTAGTTGTCGCCTGAGTTCCGAGTCCCTCCCCCTGCCTTCAACTGTAACAGTTCTACTGCGCCCGCCGGACTCTGACGTATTGACGTCTTCCCTGTGGGAGAGCACGGCTAGCACGGCTTCCAATACACTTGATCGTAGTCCAGAAAGTACGTGGGCACTTCATGTGGCTGTCCCGGCTGACCCATGTTCTCGAGGGCGTCGCTTGTGCGCCGGCGGAGATGGATGATGTGGTCTACGATGTCTACTCACGGAAGGACTGCAGGACATCGGGTAACGGAGTTCCGCGAACGGTACATGGTGAGGCGTCTAACAGACTTGCATAACGCACATTTACTGACTAAGCCTATGTGGAGCTCCTCCCCAGGTCTGCACGCGGCCAATACATAACTCTTCCACCCGTTCTCCTTTCCCGTTCCCTTCCTCCGCGCGTTCGCTACAGATCACGAAGCATTACCTTTGAAGCTGCAGCTCACGAGGACCGCTCTGATTGGCATGCTTCTTCCCGCGAGCTTTCCACCGACTCGATGGTCACGGCAAGATTGTGGCAAGTTCAATCTCGAACAAGTACAGTCAGTCTCCAGGCCAAGGTGGAAAGGCACCTTGGCGGGGAAGATGAGATTGCGGCGATGAATGGCGTGCCTCGCGACAGAGAAGCTCGGTCGACTGTCCACCAGCCGGTAAGATCATACTGTACCTTCTCACATTGATGCGGTGGCGACGGTTATGAACTGATCTGACTCGTTTTCTTGCACACCGAAACCGCTGGTGGTCGGGATACCATGGTGGAATGTGCTGGTGTACCGCGGAGTTGCAAACATAATCTCAGCAACCTTTCTAACACCTCGGTCGATGGATTACTTAAATGCTCTGCGGTCGACGCGTCAAAACGCCTGTTCTTCACCTGAGGGTCGCACAGGTATCTTAGATCTATCACCAACTGGTACTGGTCTCTCGTCTAGGTACGTATCTTTTTACTGCACACTGTACAATACCTTGACATCGTGTCCCAGTGCGGAGCGGGTATGGATGAGCATCTGATTGGCGACCACAATCGGGGTCCTGCCTCGGTCCCGTACTGGGGAACATTAAGACGACCCGCTGCACCTGCTGGTGCCAGTGAACGGAATGGTGTACCTCAGGTTCCGTTGTCATCCGCGCTCGCCCAAAGCCCCATGCAGGGCATCCAACCTGAAGATCCTGGTCGCTTCTTAAGTGACGCCCGTCACCCTTTCTCCCATGAATCCTACTATCCCACTATCGACCACAGCGACACGCGCTCACCAGTACCTGAGCACCTTGCTCTCCACTCATTTCCTAGTCCGACCCATACGCCAAACTACCACCAATACTTGCCATGGCCTGGTGCTTATTCTGCTGCGGTCAACGACTCGGAAGGGCAAGCATTCCAAGACATATCGATTCCTACAGGTCGGTTTATTTTCCGAACGATTTCAACGCATGTTCACTCCTCCACTCTAAGATTCGACATATGGGCACGGCAACCTGGACCAGCAGCCACATGAACGGCGCGGAATGACCGTTGATGCGGCCAGTGGGTCACCTGTACCTGAAGACCATCTCATTGCGGGCGCGACGGGCGGCGTTCGCTTCTCACAGGTCTCAACGAATGTACGTGCTCACCAAATTGAGTATCCCTCTCGGGGTTTGTAACAATGCACAGCAGCGCACGATTTATGAGTATCATGAACCCTTCAACGTCAAGGCGGAAAGCGATCATCACGGACAGTCTACCAGCCTTCCCGCCATCGCCGACGGCATTACCACGCGAGACAGGTTTGTGGACCTGCGGCGGTTGCCTCGTTACGACTCGTTGTTGACTGCCAGTGATGATATGTGGACAGGCTCCCTGGAGCTACTCGAGCTGACAGCGTCACTGGAACGGCGGGTGATTCCGAACAGGCCTGGGCCGCGCTAGAAGCGATGGTCCGTAGGACCCGATGCAACGTTGGCGGCTCAACTTGCACCGGTTACATCCCCGAAGGTACCGCTGAAGACGTTCAAACACACCTCGAGACGTGCCACGCCGATCAATTGAACAGGGCTCCGAAGGGCGAGAACGGTCGGGTTGAATGCCTACTGCGCGAATGCAGTACGAAGGTAAAAATGGGTCGACTGGGCAAGCACATGGAGGAGAAGCATCTGGGGAGGCGTCGTACCCAATGCGATGGATGCGGCAAATGGTTGTCGCGCCCAGACGCGCTCAAGCGACACAAGAAGAGGTTCCACAAAGGAGTTGAAGCAACAGGTAAGCCTGCTGTAATTTCTTGTATGCGTGCGCTGGATACAGTGTCGCGGTGTCGGTGCATACCTCTCCGGCCAGGTTGTGGACCGATCGCTCCCACTTCATGACTGCGTCGTCAAGCTTCAAGCCCATCGTGTTCTGATATTGTTCGTTACAGAATCGAACAAGCACAGGCAACACGGGTATGTGGCATCTCTTCGGCTCTTTCGCTGACTAGCCGAAACTCATAATAGTACGAACTCGATAGCCTCTCAGGACCTGTCATCCACAACGCTGCATTACCGTCATCCAGCTTTCTTCCGGATAATACAGACAACATGAAGTCTATGATTCTATCCTCGACGTAACATACACCGACTTGTAACTTGTATAACTACGTCATATGGTCCTAAGCACCCGGTCTAGAATACTGATAATGCAAAACACTCTCATGGCCTATGTATATGACCACCGACTTATCCGCTATTGGCAGTCCTCATCACACGAACTGTGGTGTCCATCGCAGAGAAGGGGCAAAGAGGTAACTGAATTGACAATGTAACAGGCGAGTTATTGCACCAGCCTCTACTACACCTCGACAAGACGTCGATGAGAGCAGGACATCGCGCCTTCGATCTTCACTGCCAGTGATTCGTAGCTACTCCTCTGCCGTTGAATTCAGCCTCTAGCTTCAGCCTGGCTCGCTCTCGACACCGGCGACGGGCGTGGAATGGCATCGTTCAAGACCTAAGACCAATAGAATCCGAGTGGCGTTGTGCGTACACAAGCCCGGAATCAGAGGTTGAGCGATGCGAACGTAACTGGAAGGAGCATGGAACTTACTAGCGTTCGAGTGATTTGAAAAGATGCACGGTATAACAGGCAAAGAATGAGTATGTGGTCGTACCTACAGCCCTGGCACTGCCCATCCGACAACTCAGAAACACAGGCCAACATCTGCACTTCGACATCCGCAGCTGGCAAGCTACGGACAGCGAGACAAGGGCGAAGTTCTAGCTGGAGAGCTTCCGTCACCTGGCGTACGGCGAGGGGAGAAGAAGCGTCCACGCCTCGCATCTCCGCGTCCGCGAGCCTCTATGCTCAAAGGAGTGTCGTTTGGTTAGTCACTCGGTTCGGAGCATTGTGATTCGAATCTCACTTGTGAGATAGATGAAATGCAATGGACTGGGCTATGAGCGGTGGAGCAGAGCACTCGGAGTGAAGTGCACCTATATAACCGATCTCGCATCCATGCGCTGGCAGGAAGTCAGTACTGTACCAATTGGTTGGAGAGACATGACACGTACTGTATGGATCCCGACAAGATGTCAGCTACTCCTTTGGATTCCACACGACGCCGACTGCTGATGAAAGCATCGTTCCACCGGGCTATTCTCGCATCGCAGAACCGACTCACCGAACGACCTATTGTTCCCAGCGCCGTCTCGTTCCACCTGTTCCACCAAGAAGTTGAACACGCCGCGATTGACGCCGTTGAAGTTCCACCTGCATGGTGGAACGTGTGGCAGTAAACGCCGCTGCGCGAGCTTCTGTGGAACTGTCATGTGCTGATACACGGGTTCGATAGCGAATTTCGCCCCTGTATTCATGAGAAAGGGCCGAGGACCGCCGGGTACTCGCCCGGCGCCGTAGTACTGACGAGCAGTCCGAGTTAATGTTCGGTGTTCAATATCAATGTTCGGACGACATGGACTTACTCCTTACGATCCTAAGTCTCTGCAGGTTCGAGGCGACATCCTTCGGACCCGTTTGCTCGTGAGATGGTGTGGATCTCTACTTCCCTATGAGTAGTTATGAGCCATAGTAAAGTTTGCGCGCCAGTGTGCCGTAACATGACAGGCGTGTGGCAGCTGTTCTCGACCTGTTTGATATGGTTGATGGGCGCACTGCATAGTCAGTGTTTCAGTGACATACGCCTCGACGGTACTCGGACCGATGGGGGGCACACGATGATCGTTGAGTGTGGGGCAAGGAAAAGTGTTCAGTACTTGGCTGAACTGTAGTCGAGCGCATATCGAAGCAGAGATGGCTATACAGAGCTTTACCTGTGTTGGAGAACTGAATGGATCAGAAGCATCATCGATGAGCATAAGGTTGACCGATGTTGGAGATGTACGGCACATGAGAACAACTTATGCTCAAGCGAGGCATATACGGAGAATGGAAAGCCTGGGATCCATTGAACGTTGTTGGTAACGTGAACTTGCAATCCAATAGAAGAGGATGCGCGAATGGTCGCGGGGACGTATCGTACGAGGTCAAGTGGTCCGACTTGCCTGTGTGGTCTCGATAGCAGACACTCACCGGCAGTCATCCACGTACAGCAGGTAGGAGAAGAGTTGGCCAGCATCCTGAAGGCAGCGAGAGATACTCGTAGACGACGGGATGTATACCACGACGAGCCGAACCATCAGAAGTGGATGGAACATCGAAAACGCAGGAGGGAAGGTGAGGCAGAGTGATTTGGCAGACGCTAAGCCAGAGAGATACCGAAATCCAGGACGTCGGTCAGCAAGTCAAAAGACGACACGTACGATCACACCATGACTGAAAGACGCAGCGTATAAGTGGATATAGAGAGGACCAATGCGATATACATACGTACCTCTTCACAGGCGTACTACGCACCTTGTCGCACTGGAGCCCCTCCCCTTCTACCTCTTCCCTGCAACGATATACTGCACGGCCTCCGTTGTACTCCCGATTGACGAATGCTGTGCTTGCTACGATGGTATCCGGGTCGTTCAAGCGTGCGTCGACACAACCGTTTGCTCACGGCGTGTACCGTCTCGAAGTGCACCACCGCCGCCGGATGACGGTAGCTCAGCCCTGAAGGTGCCGATCGCATGATAGGCATGTTTCCAAGGATATGCCACGCAGTGGGCGCCATGAGTAGGAGGTGAAGGTGGGATGGAGGCTGAGCAGAAGGGGCCGATGAATCCATGAGATCGTGATCGAGCGACGAGGAGGCCGCGCCGGCGAGTGGCGGGTATGACGCCACCGGTGACCGCGCCACGGCCACTGCGCGGCGTGGCCAGCAGGCTTTGTCGCTGACAGATTCGCCCCGGCCTCGTCCGATCCGTACCATCTCGTGGATCGTTGTGGGTCCACCATTCATAGCCCTTGCTGTAAGTTGTTCGCGAAGTCGACATTAGAACAACCTTCTACGTTCAAACAACTTATGCGTACCTTCTCATATGCTGCTTTCCGGTTCTCGTCGTTGGCTCACTTTCACCCACAGAACAGATGTCGCAAATGGCAGGTACTCTCTGTGTCGTGTCCAGTTCCTCACCCCGATGCGTGAGCCCACGTCAACCTACCATGTAACAACCCAGGAGAGGCAGAGTATCCGACGTGGCTACGCCGAAGTCTTCGAGGTGAACCCCTGGATGCATGCTGGTTATTAGCGAGGCATTTACCGGTCAGAGAGTGAACTCTGTTCCTTCTGCGCGTGGAGAATGTGACGCAAAGGTGCTCGGACAGTTGTTCAATACGTGATAGTCCACAAAACCAACCGGTGCGCTTTATCTTGCGTCATCGACTGTGATGGCTTATAGGCTTCTGTATGTGACAGGAGCGTAGATTCCCGTCGCAGATGGTGATCAGCAGTAGCGGTTAACAGACCACCTATGACTGCATTTGCGGGACGTGAGTTGGTTTTCAACGGTAGATACGGTCAGGGATCTTGCCTGCTCTTCGTCCGTTGAAAACCAAGTGTCGAGTCGGTGAGAACGGTATGCAATGTGATGTCCTTGTGAATGGCACATACTGTTGTATTGACTAGCTGCTATCTACAGGCCTGGGCGGAGTTAATTGCGACAAATTATCTTGAGTAGGCAAATATCGTGCATTCTTGCTCAGAATGCCATGACTGACTCATGCCTTGCCCAGGATCTATGGATATCGTAGCAATGGAAAGACAGGCGTTCAGCGGGCTCGATGAAATCCGTGCGTTGTCAGGGCCTGCCAGCTACTCTTGATCGTATCTTCAGAAAACCGGTCGCGCGGTTCAGGTCGCTTGCGATGTGATGAATGTGCATATCGCCAGTGTCCCTGGACATGCCAGACAAGCTTCGCCTTGTCTTCGTGCGGACGTATCTATCTGTTCTGATATGTTCCTACGGGGCACTGTCAGCACAGCATGATTGCGTCTGGGGTGTGCGAGTTTCATGCTGGACGTATATTAGAGCTTCGTATGTTCATGAACTCGGATACTCGCTTACCTGATGAACTACGATGCCGTACCAGCTGTGCGGTGGACCGGGGCAATGCTGGTCATTGTGCCCCTTTGTTCAATGGATGTCGTGAGCGTCCCTGGTTACAGTTGGGAGAGTTGGGAGCTAGAACGCCTTCCATCATTCACAGGGCTGATGGTTCGACCACATCCCCGGTGTACAGCCTCCGTGAAGTACTATAAGCCAGCACGTCCCCTCTCGAGCGCGTTCTACCCTCTGGTCAGTCGACTTGCGCATTCGAACCCCCCTCCCAGTTGTTGCGGTCCCGTTCCTCATGCGGAGGCAATACCGCACCCCAAGCTATGAAGGTGAAGGACAGAAACCCGGCATGGTGCCGTTGTGTCATACTTCGTGCGTATTTCTTCTGTCTCTACTAGTTGCGAGGACGTCGATGAGCTGATCTTGGCATTAGCAGTCGTGCTCATGAAAGCAAGTATGTCTGACGGCGACGGGCAAGGCCGGCGGATCAGTGAGAAGGATGTCCAGAGCGCCGGTGGAACGCGATACTGATCCCTCTGACAATATTGTGAGCAAGTTCCACATCCTCTTTGCGTTCCTTGATGACATGCCTCGTGGGGTGGGCATCGTATCTGTGGTGGACGAGTCGCGCGTGGCCTGCTGACAATCCTGCCGCTATTGCACAGTTCCACCATCACTGGTAGAGGCCCTATTAAAGCTTTGGCGTCAAAACCTGTCTGCTTTGCCGTCCGACCTCTCTCCTTCGTGGCTCGCTTGTTCCCTCACCGTTCCCTCTCTTTTCGCTCGAGTCGCCGCCTCCATTGACGACACGGCCACAATGTCGGACGTTGAAGACACGCTCGACTCCTTTAGCGCCACGGATTTTCCGCTGGGAAATGAGTGGTACCCACCACCCACCACCCACCAGGGCCTCCCGCCCCAGCATCACGACCCGGCCATCAGCTTGGACACACCAGGCGCCATTTCCCCGACCCACTCGTCATCGAAACCGCCTGCGCACGCTAGCGGTGAAGGCCCTTCGGTGGCTTATGTCGAAACGGCCAACGGCATCCAGCCGAGCGTGTACGGATATTACCGCACTGGATTCATCGCAGACCAGACGTTGCCTCCGCCCGTAGCCACCACTGCTACATGGCGGACCGATTTCGCTGACCACGGAACTTCCGCCGCTTCTATACATCCTCAGGATCACTGGTCGCGCCGTGACCATTATCCTGGTTTAGGCAATGGCTATGACCCATCCACCGGTTCCTCTACCGTATGTCTCCATACATGTAGAGCTCGTCTATGCATGATCATATTCTCCCACAGGGTACCTTGAACGGAATGTATTCTGGCAGTATCCAGCCAGCCACCGCATATTTGTATGGGCAGTCCGACCAACGCCAGATTCATCGAGCATCTCGGCCGACCTCTGACGTCAACACATCATACCCTCCTGTACATTCTGCTCGTGCATCTGCATACCCGACTCAAGTCGCCGCACGTGCAGGGCCTTCGTACGGTGGTTTGGCCAACGTCGACTTCGATCACCAGGGTCAGATAGTGAACAGACAGCTCAGGAAAGGGACGCGGTTCAATCCCTATGGTCGAGCTTTCAAGAACGACGTCCCCAGTGGTATACCCGCTGCAACGAATACTGTCGCCTATGACAATCCGATCGATAACGGTCGTGATGTCGGTCGTGATGTCGTCTCACAGTATCCATTCATCTCTAATACGATCCGAGTATCTGCCAGTGTCGCACTGCAGAATGAGGACGGCGCGTCTACGCAGCTGGCCGACGCACCATATCCCGCGAATATTTTCAGTAGCGTTCCGCAGAACCTTGTTGATGCCATGCGATCCTATGGGCGAGTCAGCGAAACCGACGAGTCTGGCGTTTCCGACCTCACCCACCACCTCGGCAGAAGAGACGGGGCTGCCGGCTTCGCTTCCGCCGGCTTCAAAGACTCGCGAGGCATTCATGTTTCTCTGCCGATGGGGGATGTGGACCGTCAGGGCTTCGATGGCTCCCTGATGTACGCGCCCAACCGTGGCAACACGGAGACGGATTTCACGTGTGGTAGCTCGATTCCGGCAGGTTCGTCCCCTGTGACGGCATCTACGCCCGCCTCTGCGTCCAATGGCACTTCGAGTGGGGCCAACACACACGCCGCCCGACATGCGTTCTCGTCCACGCTGTCGACAGCTGGCCTAGTCGCTCCGCGTCCAGTCTGGCCGCATTCCGTTATGCCAGATCCGCCCGCCGTACGCCTGAGCGGACCGCTTCCCGATGCTGCTCTCGGCTCTACTAGTGGTGCTCCAGTTGATGCAAGCTACGCGGCTTACAAGACGCGTGGCCGGGGCATCCGGTACCAAAGTGTGCGCAAACGAGCTCGTCGCCGAAGCTCCGCTCCGCTATCACCGTACGTCTTAGCGCTCGCTCCATGTTCTCTCATGCTCATGCCATCGCAGCGACTCTGGCTTTGCAGAGGGCAGTACGCCTGATACGTTTTTGACGATGGAACAGGCTAATGAGAGGTAAGAAATTTATCACTTCACGAAATCTGGAGATCAACTGTCTCCAGTGACCGCGCCATCTACGCCGAGACGAAGACTATCAATCACTTCTGCTGCATCAACTCTTGCAACCACGACTTTCGCTCAAAAACCTACCATCAGGCCTGCCAGCACCTCAATATGTGCATTGGGTCTTATCTAGCCTGCACAACTGTGAATCCCCATGGACCAGTTCAATGTCCGTGGGAACAGGGTGGAACTCGCTGCCAAACGTGGATCAAAATCGATAATCATGGCGTGAAGAGGCACATTGTAAAGAAGCACTTCAAGAAGTACGAAGTACGATGCCGTCAATGTTCCGCTATCTTCGCCTCCAAGGACTCCTGCGAGCGACATATCAAGCGGGTTTGCAATGTCTCGTACAAACCATCCGTAAGTGGCTAGTGCGTGGAGCATGAGATCGGAGGCCTGAATAGATAGGTACTATTAGCATTGTACTAGTAGTACTGTCAGCCATGCCTCTGCGTAGTGCAGCCTTTATTGGTTTACCTTTCATCTATTATGTATTTATACATTCCCTGCTCCCTTCCCCGCAGCTAAACCCTCCGAGTCGGTCTTGCCCTGTCTTTGAAGGCCTTGAACGGGGCGCCGAGAACGAAGGATCACTGTTGCACCCAGTTGTGTTCTAAGCACCACAGCAAAGATTAAATCAACACCTATTAGTAGCATACCTTGGTGTTCCCACTCTGCGTCCGTGCCACCTGGTATTTTGACTCGCGCCAGTGCGCACTAAGCGCTCAGCGCTCAGCAGTCAGGGTCTGTTATTCTTTCGGCCACGTGGGTGATCGCACCACTCAACTTCTCCGTTGACTGAGTGTAGCATGGGGTGCTCTTTATTTATTCGATGTCGTATACATGTTATGCCAGTGTCGCGGCGTTGCGTGCGTGCGAGTCGCGCGTTGCAATTGGTCCTTCATCGCGACTCAAGTGATCACGTGATCTCGACGGGATCGGCAAAGCGCGACTTACTTAATCAGGTAACTGCACACATCTTCTCCCAAGTCCTCATCCGACTCACGGCCCAATGAGTCACATATGCCTTTCGCGGCCATCTGTTGAGCTCGTTCGTCTGTGTGGCCACCTGGATGTACAGTCGCCCGATTCAGTCCCGTTACCTCGCGCCGTTCGCTGCACCTAGGCTGCACTACCGGTACGTCAAGACTCTAGAAGTCGATCCCAGCGACCCAGTCGTGCAGCTTCACGGAGAAGGATCGGGGCACGTATGGCTGGGCGAGGAAATTCCGGGTAGCCTGCTTGCCGATTGCATTGGATTACAGTAGCGGCCCATGAGGAAGATCTCCATCTACATGGTTTGCGGCTGAATAGCAAAGGACCACTCGAGACAATTGTCTACGTACCTAACATTCTTCTCCACATAATGATGAAAGGCTACCTTCAACGCAGCATACGCGCCAGTGTGGGCACACTGCCTCTCTAACTGCTCTAACGGCTACCGAAACGAGATTTTGTGAGTCGCTGGGATAGCCTGGAATAGCTCGTCAAGATTACTCACGAGTCGTGACCTTTCAGAAACCCTCGTGAGGAACATGCTCTCCCAATAGCCAACGTGGATTGATCTCGATGGGATACTGATTTGAAGGTGCGTCACCTAGCCATGTTTTCAGACCCGGACTAATAATACTTGGCCGTCGTAGATCAACACTAGAGGTCGGACATCCTAGGGATCATCCTAAGCACGGGCGATGAGCTAACAGCGACGCGCGAAAGCTTGTAGATGGCGTGCCGCTCGAGGGCGCTGCCTGAGGCGTGAGTGCTAGTCGGGTGTCGTCTCAGCTTTGTCTCCTCCCTGGACTTGATTCTGAGCCATGTTCATACATCGGCAAGACTGTCTTCGACGTGTCCCTTGTGAAAGAGCATTCTCGACCAGCATCTCATCATTAGGCTTCGGCGTCTGCCGCACAGACATCACGTCGGCCTCAGTATCTCACACAACGGCACCCACCAACCTAGTCATGTGCAGTGAAAGGGGACGGCGAGGACTACCATACGACTTGGTACCTATCATACTGGTTAGGACTTTCCTGAGTGAATGCAGAACATTCTTCAGATTGATGCACGGCAAACAGTGCGTGGTGTTCCGTGCTTGTGTCTGACAGTGCGCATTCACGCTGAGGGGGGCTGATGTCGAGGTTTATCCTTTGTAAAGAGGTCAGTCACTCCGCATCACACGTAGGACCCCCTCGCACTTGTGCGACAATCCCTCTTGTCACGCGGCCGCCGTTCTCATCAGTGTACTAGGATCCCAGCGCCAGTTCAGCAAGATTCTTTGTCGCCGCCGACTCGAGACGCGCACAGGTACTTCGCCACGTACGTGTATCCGTTTTCTCTCGCGCACATGGTGCTGGTTAACGAACGAAATACAGAAAATGGCTTGGGTGGAAATTGACAACAGAACTGATTGTGCGGAGCTTGCTCACCCGGGAATCGTGGTGACGGCGAGGTCATTTTGTCCTTCATTTCCGTCAAGTATTGGTCACAACTTGTGAACCCTCTTGTAGCCAGCTCCGGCGTATCGTGCCGTCTCGTGCCTTCATTAACACAGTCCCTCGGGGGGTTAATAAACCACGATGGCCTCGTCATGTCAGGTCCAGCTCCAATCGCGCTCCCACCTTTCGCAGGACTCTTCCTCGTTGCCCATAATGCAAGTCTCAGACGATGTCGAGATGGCGCATTCTCCCGATGGCGACTTTCTGATGCGCCTGAGCTCGCCTGCGCATTCGCCCACAGGGCAGTCTGTTACTCTTGATGACCATCCGTGCGCTATGGGCCCGGATGCATCACCGACGCCTGTTGACTACGGGGCAAACCACTCGCACGACAATCCCTCCCTCACGCCACACGTCCTATCCAATCATTCCAGCCCCTCCACAAGCCGAACACATCGCGATCAGCATAGCTTTCGTGCTGCCTTGGATGCTTCTACCGATTGGGACGATGCACGCATATCAATTGAGGCTCCTTCACCGCACTACACCCATGCGCAGGATCGCGATGCGTCTATATTGTCGCTTGGTGCTCCTCGCAGTGCTGTCGACGATGATACTGTCTACCCATCGCTCGGAGGTCAGTATGTCACCTAACCGTCTTTATTCGAACCAACGTGCTCACCTCGTCATTCCCAATTTCAGTAAACGCCGGCTTAGAGCGACAAAGTCAAGATGGGCTTGGCTCTCCACCTTCCGACGTTGACTACTCTACTACGGGCCAGCGAGACCGTGGCAGTGACACGAACGGCCCCACGGATGTGCGTATCGTTGATCTAAACTATTATTGAGCGGACAACAGAGACAGATGAAACATAGAACGCAAACCGGAGTTATCACGGCGATGGCAGCGTCAACTTCCCGGTTCAAGGCAATCCGGACGCCCTACCTCCCACCGACTCGGACGCGGTTCCGATCAACGACGCTCGATACCTCACTGAGCAGCGGAGACACCTGGCTCACCAATCCCGTGTGAATGAGGGCTTCAACGACGTCGCCAGTGCCCCTGTGCTTTACGGAACCCGCAGAACTCGATGCGAGATTTGCGGACGTCTTGACGCGATCCCCGAAGGCCCTGATTGGAAGGTCCAAGAACACCTCGAGGTATACCACGCCGACACAATGCGCACGACCCCGGATGACTTTGATCAAATACCTTGCGCGTGGCCTGATTGCGAGTGCTTCGTTGAGCCGCAGGGCATGGGCAAGCACGTCGCAGAGGTGCATTTGCAGAGGGAGCGTGTGCAGTGCACCAGATGTGATCGCTCGTTCGCGCGCCGGGACACGTATAAGCGACATTGCAGAGACGTGCACGAATTTGTTTTGTGAAGCTTGTGAGTATGCCTACGCTTCTTTCTCATATGTTCTGAAGAACTTTCCGTGGCGGATGTAGGGTACTAGCAGCGTATGATAGGCTTCCCTAGAATTTGCCTAGAACTGTCGGAGTATTTTGTCACTCGCGGGGCTGATTTACAGAGTCGACGTGAATCGAAGTGTCTGTCAAGACTCGATAATCCGTAAACACGCCATGCTGATAGGGTGTGCGCAGATGTGCGCCGGTCAAGCGCCATCTCATCTCAAGGGAAGGTGATGATAAGAGCTACTTCTGCTTCGGTTCACAAGCTCTGTTCTACCAATAGTAGTATGTTACAAAGAACCTTTAGGGTTCACGCGCAAGCCTCAGCTCCAGACGACGCACGAGTATTCGTCCATGCCAATACACATTGGACATATGCGGCGCGAGGTTCTGTCCTAGTATGCACTGTGGTCAACACATGTGTTGAGCGAAACGAATCCTAATCACTCACAGCGTGTTCGGGCAATTTCATCAAGAGATGAGAACGCGATAGTGGTCCCATAGCTGAGGAAGATCCGATGCGCATCATGAACAAGCGACACACCTCACGACGCCAGATCACAGAAGTTAGGAATATGAATCTTCGCCGTCGAGTCCACCAGCTATCATTGCTCCATCAAGCGATTCAGGGAGTCTACTGAACTCAAAATGGAATCAGCCGCTCCATCTTGACAGTTGGATTCGACTGTGGGAGACTAAGTCAAAACTCTCTTTTGACGTTCATATCCTCAGTCCCGGGCAGGAGGGTGTGTAACATGTGTGGGTGTCTACAATTTACAAAGACCGACGATACGGCGTTCTTTCATTTGCCAGCTTATCACGATTGAGCGTGCACAACATTCTGCATACGGACAAACACGACATTCACCTCCTGGATCCCCGCGCGCCCGCGTCCAACACTAAGCGCTTGAGTTTGTGTATCTCTTGTTTCAGTTTTCATTCTTGTCGCCAGCATCGTGATCTTGACGATTGGCTCGTAGTATTTGGTAGCTGTACAGAATCGGGACTATAGTACAAGACACGCTTGCGATAACTGGAATCATGTCGATTGAACATGACGGCGAGTCAGCCGTCGATGTTGCACTTCCATGTTCCTAGCAATACCGGATGAGGAATGTGGGACGACAAAGATACAAAGCCAGCCGCACCTCGTATCTCACTTGAATGACTGGAGTACCCTATCATCAAATGGATCGCCGATTTCTAAGGATGAGTGGCGACTGATCAGTACCCGACGAGCACTCCCATGTAGATTATACGACGTACGAGTACGGAGAGTCTCCACCACCTGTGTGTCAACAAGTTCATCCTTCTGCCTCAGGGAAGAACCCTGCTCCCTCTGATCCCATGGGAGCGAAGGTCCACCCCTCCTACCAAGCCCTGTGCCGAAGGAGTCCTCGCGCCTCCTGGTCTTCGTGTCGCGCGAGCTGCCGCCAAATGTCAGCCCGCCACGACGTTTGGAGGAGCCTCCGCCAAAGTGCGCGCCAAGACTCTCGCCAGTGAACTGCGAGAAGAATCCCCTGGACGAGCCTGCTGAGATGGTGCGCTCGATGCCACGCTCATTCGCAGCGGCGGGCGGAGGCGAGTCGTCGGAATCCGAGGAGGACTGTGGATCGAGATCGTCATTCATTGCCGACATGTATGAGGTAGGGGCGACAATATGGGAGGATGGATGTCGACGAGCGGTGCCGTAGACTGTGAGATGGCTGTACTGTCTACTCGGTCGACGTACTGTACACGGTCGACGAGACGCGCATTGGACGCGCAAGTGGCGTTTACGGGCACGTGACTGACGACCCAGCCAGGGCGGGGGCGGGCGCGCCGCTCCACCGCGCGTCGTACCCTCAAAAGACACTGGCACCCTCCTCTCCGCCGTCGTCCCCGCTCTCCTCTTCTGCTTCCCAAATAATCTGCATGAAAGGAGGGGCATCTCTAGCATGTCTGTCATACCCTCCACCAAGCGCGCTGTCCGTATCATCGCGCTGCCGCTCGCAACGCCTTCTGCGCGGAAGAGCCACGGGGTTGTCGAGCATCTCACCTATTATCACTTCGTAACCCCGCCCCCCATGGAAGGCAAGACTCGTAACTGGGCAGCATGGGTGCAGAACAAGGCTGCGGACCTCTGGGCAGGATTGGGCAAGGCACCGGAGGGGAACTGGAGAGTACGTTATGCGGCTCCGTCGTTTCCACGGTCGCTGTGTCTCAATACTGAGATAACTGTGCCATGCAGCGTAAATCCTTTTTGTATGGCGAACGGCTTGTAGACCACCTCGACTTTGAGGAGCTGGCGCTGAAGTCGTTTGACACCTCGCTCGGTCCGAAGCTCCTACACGTTGGAGGGAAGGATACGATCAAGCCCACCGACAATCCTACGGTCAGTCTTTTGAGTCTTTTCTCAAAGACACGTGCCCATCAGTTGACGCAGCACTCTCCCTTATGCTTGAACGATCGACGCGCTACACGATAGATTCCACTCATTTACCCTTCGTCCGCATGCGAGTCCCCAATCCCGCACCTGCGTGCCCTTCTGGAGAAGCGGACACCGCGCCATAAGAAAGGCGCCATCGTCTGGCTCGCAGTTTCCCCTCTGACGGCGCCGTTCATGCTCATCCGTACGTCACGCGTCTCTTCTCCTTACATAACCACGCTGCTCATGCGACGTTTGAAACCCACAGCGATCATCCCCAACTTCCCATTCTTCTTCTGTGCGTGGCGAGCATGGTCACACTACCGCGCCTTCAAGGCGTCGCAGTACCTGGAGTCGTTCGTCGAGCGGGGCGCGGTCCTCCCGCAGCCCTCATCCGAGCTCGACGCCCTCTACGCAGAGTACGCGCCCGTACAACCAGACCCTGAGGCGCCAGAGACGCCGCATCCTGGGTCATCGTACCCGCCGGGGAACGTGAGCGCGAAACGGGGTGGCGATGTAGACGTTGAGGCAAGCGAGACGCCAATGTCCGCCGCAGAGACGCAGAAGAGCTGTCCTGGGGCAGCGGAGACAGGTCGTCCGCATCTCCTCCTGACGCGTGCGGCGGTGCCTGCACTGGAGAAGTTCCTGGGTTTGCCTTCTGGCGGAAGCTTTGCGTCGGACGTGTACCGGGCACTGGAGCAGGCGCGGTTGCGGCTGGAGAGGGAGGGCAGGTAAGGCTGTCGCATTTGGACTGTATCGTGGTTGTGTATGGCATGCTAGAAGGCTATAATAATTCCTCTGTTTCTTGGACGCAAGCTACTGGGCGGTAACATATACATCACACATGATACACTGGTGGTATTGCGAAAAAGCAAGTCAACGTGGCGATGCTAGTTTGACAACACGCGGGATGTCAATACAATACAATACACATTCTCAACACGGCGAGGAATCGGGAGACAGGGGAACTTGGAGGGAGGCATTAATGAGGCCAGAGTCTACACAATATTGATTAAGTAAGTCGATTTTCTGCGTGCGTCTGCGTTTCTCATTGTTTCGATCGTGGTAGCATGGGTTCGTTCATTCATAACGGCGTTCAGGGAATGCTCTCCGACCCTTCACATTGGCCTTTCATGCGTGCATCTCAGCCGTCGACTGGGCTGTGTGGCAGTTACGCCGCATATGCCGATCGAGCGAATCTCGTCGACTGCAGGGGGCGCCGCACTGTGGACAACACACCTGGCTGCTCTTCAGATGCACAGCAGCGATGTGCTTCGTGAGGTTGTGCATCCCCGTGAGCCACTTGTCGCAGTCATCCCATCGACACTGGACCTTCCCCTTGCTGAAAAGCAACTGCGATGGGTGTTCGGCCTCGAGATGTTTTCTGATGCCGCGCGGCGTTACGTCTGCGAGAATGTGCGAGCACTCGGGACCACCGAAGGAGCAGGTGTGTGCGGGGAGGGGTGCGACACCAGCGTCGGGAGAGTTCGCCGGCGAGAGCGCGCGGAGAGCAAACCTGGGTTCACCGGTCAGTGAGTGAAACATCGCATGATATGCACTTGCGACTGACTGAGCCTCTTCTACTGGTTCTCCAGGAATGTCTCCGAGCGCGTCCGTCGTTACAGTGGGAACCCCGGCAGGCTCATACGCCTCGGGGGGCTCTAGAAGATACGTTGACGCATTGCTGCGTGGAAGAAGACTGTGCAAGACAGTCATGTATGTGTTCCTCGCGGATGGCAATGTCTGGGTGGTCATCCACTGGGGCGGCGTCGGGCACGTGCATCTCGGCAGGGAAGTCGAAGCCGTAAAATGGCAGCGCCATGTCCAGCGCAGGTGCGAAGTCTGACTCCTGCACATGGTTGCGGGGTGCCGTGCGCTCGTCGTTACCGACATCGTACTCTTCAAGGGCAGGGATTAGGTCCGACATGTCGGGGAAGGTGAAGTCCGTCGCGGTCTGCGAAGAGTCTGACTCCAGCGGATCTTGAGGCTGTTCAACAACGGCGTTGTTGGGCCCACACCAGGGCCAGCCGCTGTCTCCTACGAGAAGCTGTTGCTCGGTCATAGGAGGTGCAGCGCTAGGAAACGGAGCGTCGCCGTAGGTAGTACCCAGTGGTCCTTCTGCCGCAGAGTTTAATCAGTCCGTCTGGCAGTGACGACTAAGACATACCTTCCCGCTGGCCTAGGAAGACGGGTACGGGATTCTGCACGTGGTCGCCGTGCAGGGCGCCAGGACTACCAATTGGATCTCTCCAAGAGATACAGACGGGCCCACTTGTGAATCGAGGATCCATGCCTTGTATAGCGTGGTGGTACAATTCTATCGCTTGGAAGACGTCGTTGCAAACGATGAAAAGCGGCATTGTGGTTGTGGAGGTAGGCCTTCTTGCTGCATATGGGAGACTAATACTTGCTACTTATACTGCGGATTGTAATTTATAGAATGTGCATCGGTGGATCTCCACGCAGCTTTTGCATCGCCCGTGCATCGCTATATGTTGACTGTGGCCCGCTTGAGCGCCCAGGTGTCATGCCTAATTAGGATCGGAAGCGAGATGGACAAATACCGAAAGTCTCAATATTCCCTGGCCACTGTCCACCTTTGTCCACCTCTCATGGGGAATGAATCATGGATTGGGCTGCCATAGTTCAGATCTGCCCGGTAAGTATGTCCGGCCAACACGATTCGTCTTAATCTGGTTCTCTAAGCGGAAGGCGTGCCCGTCTATGGGAGCTATACTCGCTACGTCGTAGACATAATCGTCTCATTGGTGAGTGCTTCCTTCTTCAAGCTTCACCGCCTGACTCTGCGAACCCGGGCGCTGCGCGAAGTTTGTGTGTAAGTCTTCAATATTCAAGCTCAAGAGTCAATAACAAGCGCGGCAAGTATCGCCACACGTCCTTCCTGTCAACACGTCACGTCCTACGTAGTACTAAGGCGGCATTCATGAATCATGCTGACTCGTATGATACAACAGGTGACATCACATTCCGATCGAGGAGTCTAGTAGTGTCGACGACCGCTTGCGCGCGCGGCTGGCACTCGCCGGTGGCACCCACCCAGCCGTGTCCCTACCCAAACGCGAATCTACAGTCATGGACGCGTGGCTGATTTTGCCATCGTACAGTTACGCTGGATGTGTCGATCGAGTGCGTCTTGCCTACAGAAGGCACCATTACAATACGGACACAGCACCTCTGTAACCCTGAGGTGCACGGTGGCGATGTGCTTGGCGAGGCCGTGCATACCTAAATACCACTTCCCGCATTCTACCCCGGTCCGCCATCGACATTGGACCTTGTCCGTGTTGTAGACCAACTCGGAGACGTGATGTTTTTCGACATGGTCTTTGATTCCCCGTGGCGTCACGTCTATGAGGGGATGTGAACACTCCGCGCCACCGAACATGCAGCGGCGATGCGCAGTAGGTGCATTGCTGACGCCACTGTCTACTGTGTTCCCTGGCACGGACGAAGGCAATCTGCGAAGAATTGGGTAAGCGATCCATTTGAAACTCGTGATGTGCGGCTTACTGAAGCTCGTTGCTGGATGCGTGTTCAGGTACGCTAGCCCCCCGAACGACAGGGCAGCGTCTGGCTCTCCCACAGAAATTGGACTCGTAGCAGATGACAAACCGTCTGGGTGAGTCTCGTTTCTTGCGACCTGCATGCCATCTGTAGCTGGGGTACCTAGCGGTGGAATGTCGAGTAATGGACGAGCGGGAGCGGACCTTTGGTCCACACTATCAAGTGCTCCAGTGAAGTCCTGCCCCGGAATAGCCGCCCCGGCTACATTAGCTTGGGCGGCTCGCTCGCCCATATTCTCGAAGGCAGGAAATCCAATTCTGTCCACGATCCATGGCGGTGCGCCTGCGCCGCCCCCACCGTCTCCGGCCAGCCTCTCCACATCGGTGAAAGGGTCGAAACCCTGGTTTGCGCTGCCATCGCTGATACGAAGGCGCAGACCGTCTTCGCCACTCGGATGGATGAGACCTGCAGCTGGCAAAAAGTCGTTTACCAGTGCCGCGCGCGAAGCGTCTGACGTGGGCAGATGGGCGTCTGCCTGATCCCATCCGCCGGTAATCCCATGATTCCTCGTAACCGTCTCTTGGACGAGATGCGGGGGAGCGGAGGCAGGGCGAGCGGGGGAACCGATGGACCATCCGCCCCACATATCTTGTGTCCCGGTAGCTGGAAGGTGTGACGATGCCGACCGTTAGTCCACTTCTTCAAGTTGCTGTGCTATGTATGTGCAATGTCTCACCTATGTTGTCCAAGTGCACAATAGATTGTGCGCTTTGGGGGAAGTCGTGCGGTACTGATCCATATCCACTATTCGGGGATCCTCTCCAGACGCGTGAAACGTGTCTAGTGGTATCCTGAAGATGGGGGAGTTGGACCAAGCGAGAATGAGGGCACACCGGCAGGATGTGCATCTCCGACGCGTCATCGCTGTTACAGTATACTAGATAGTAGACAGGCATTCTGGTCCGAGGACAGGCGCATCTACCTGGCGGGTTCATTTATATCAGTTCGTGAAGCTCGCTGTCCACCGGCTCCGCGAAAAGGTGGGTTTCCACCTCAGGTTCTGCAGCGAGTCTTCGGTCATCACGCTAGCACGCTTGATATGTATACTGTACGTGTAAAACGAGCCACCTATCCCGCGGCACGGGTGCTTCTGACAAGATGTATGATCGTGGGATCCGATGAAGTGAGCTCCGTCCGACAGTCCCAGGCACGCAGCGCGTGGTGAGAAGTACTGTATACATGTCAGGTGTTCCTGAGCGAAACTTGGCCATTGCATCGACAGTTCCTAGGTTGATTTGGCAGAGACACCAGCCTATGCTTCACGTAGTCGGGTTGAGATAGTCTGCAGAGGAACTACACGTGCCTAAACGGGAGAGATCACGATGAAAATAGTCGCAATAGCAACAAAGGAATGACTGCGGATGAGAGCGGGTGTTGGTGCAGATCATCTCGAGACCGTTATGTTTCGCCCGGTCGTGGTTGAGAATCATCTGAAGTTGGTTCTCGAGACCTAGCTGAGTACTTAGTGCAGTGGAAAGCCACTCGCAGAAGACCCGGAGTCGAGGAATCGGCCCTTGGCGACGTCAGCCTCAGCGCAGAACGGGAATGTGGAATCCTAATGTACCTGACGCCTAAGATCTTCCGAGTCGAATGTCAAAAAGCTCTAGCGCCTCGTCAATGCCCATAGACGGTGTAGGACATGATGCATGTTAAATCCCACCGGATGGTCCCATTCAGTGGCCCTGTCAATGGCATTGACAATTGCTGGCCCAGGGCCCAGTGTTGAGCGCACATTGCGGGCGATTTTCGAGCCTAGGGCACTATGTGCGCAGCGGTATACTGACATCACAGGCTCAGATGGTTCGGCGCTCCATTGCTGTCGGACGTGTGCTGCGGGGAACTTGAAGACGAAGACGTCTTGGCTCCTGACCACCATATCTGACGGCACCAGCAGCACCTACCTAATAAGCATCAATCGACACGAGATCCTGGCTGCCACCAATAGGATGATTGGCATTGCAAACTATTGTCACTGACCTGGGTATTATGAGAGTCCGAGTCCGCGGGACGAGGCATTATGTATTGCCTACATCGCCTTCGTCCGAGGTTCTCTGGCGCTTAGTCAGCTAGACTGTTACTCCCACCTCGACCGTTCACACGTACACTTCGGCTCATGTCACCATCCACCTTGTCGCTCACCAGACCTAGGGCCCGCAAGGCGAACTGTCAATCAAACGATGCAAGCTGCGCAACTTCTAGAAAGACTCCTCACCTGCATATCGGATGACATAGTCCCTCTCACGGCCAGGCGCATCGCGGACGGAAGGGGCAAGGTGTTCGGTGCTGCGATTCTCAGGAAGAGTGACCTATCGCTCGTTATTGCGGAGTGCAACATCGATGTCGAGTGTCCGGTGAGCCTTCGTCTGATGCTGCCTGTATTCTAAAACGGGGGACTGATGAGATCATGGGGAAGCTATGGCACGGAGAGACGTACTGTATCAAGCGTTTCTACGACTTGCCGCCGACCGAGCGCCCTTCCCCGAAGGACTGCTTCTTCCTCACAACCCACGAGCCGTGCTCTCTCTGCCTGAGGTACGTTTTTTGAGTGATGTTTCGCACGATGATGTTCACTCACCTTACCGTGACGATGCTCGTCCTCTGTGCAGCGCGATAACCTGGTCTGGATTCGACAACTTCTACTATTTCTTCACTCATGAAGAGTCGCGCGATAACTTTGACGACCCATACGACATGAAAGTCATCCAGTCTGTCTTCAAGACACCAGTGGAAGGCGAGCCGAACGAAACACGCGAGCGGCACGCGCTGTATAACCGCAAGAACGAGTTCTTCGAGGCCATATCCCTTGATGGATTGCTTGGGGATGTTGAGGATGCGTACAGCAGGGAGAGACTAGCAAAGAAGATGACCGGCTTAAGGGTAGCATACGTTGACCTGGTGGAAAAGCAGAGGAAGAATAAGGCGGGGTTTGCATTGACAAAGACGAGTCTGCATGATGCGGAGCCGGGAAAGTGAAGGATGAATTTGGGGCTGTCAGTGTAGTATTGCCGGGCCAGATCGATGCGGAGGCTCTCGTTGTTGCGAGAGACGGTTCTTGTCGCGACGATGCGCCGCTGAGTTCTGTAATGCTAGCGGTAGCCTTTCGGAGATCGGGGTGACCTGTCACTGGCACAGTGAACGAGGGCGAGTCGGCCTGACTGTGCTCTATCGCTCACCTAACAAGCTACACGGTACGAGACATACCACTTTGATTCATTGATCCATAGCCAGTATCAACGGGAGGCGTACCGCACCCCTGCGGCGCAGAGTGTAAGCATGTGTACCAGATGCAAACAAGATATGGTACCGCGGCGCTGAGTTGATCGTCGATCGGACTCACCCAAATCTGGCCAAGGCCGATCAAGATACAATGCACAGGGACGGCCACGTCATCGACGACCGGGCTTATCGCGCTCCTTGCCTCTTGCCCAATGCCTTCGCCTCGCGTCCGACCACATCTACTTAGTTTGCACTTAGCAGAGGCGCCACGAATAATGCCAGACTCAATTGAAGACGACCATGGCTTGTTCAGATATTGACGGTGAAGTGACCGGCACTCGCAATGGCCCTCACAAAAGAGGAGCACCGCTACCGTCACACAACTTCATGTCGTCGTGCAGTTGCCGAGAGCTTACTTGGGACAATAGCAAAACATTATGTAAGTATCTCCATATGACTCGTTCTCTCCATTGTCTGACAATCATATAAGTACCCAGCGATATCTGGGAGGCCTGCGTTGATCTCCTTCCGCGATGTTCTTCCGCGTGCCCCAAGGTCGGTAGCTCTAGTCTTGCGTCAAGTCCGACCATTCACATTGTCCAGGATATGTAACCTCGAACGGCGAGGAACGCACGAGACCCAATCGCTTGACCGTTCTTGACAGATTAAGAGCAGGTTCGAACAATAAGCCGTGGTATCATGCTCGCTGTCCCGAAGCTGTGGCTAGCGGCTTCAAGCTGTGCTTCATTCACGTCTCCGACTCATGACGGCTTCAGGCATGGCATACACGCACAGGAGGTAGGCGTCTCTTCAAAGCTGTGCCCATTCCTCCGCCGATATATGGCTAAATAAGCATCACCGACAAGTGTACACACATTCGCCTTCTTTGAGGGGGCAACGGGTCTTCCCTTGATCCCCTTGGCTTCTGAATCTTGCCCATTCAGACATTCGGTGAGTCAATTGTCACTTTCAACAAGCTATTCGGATATTAATGCCCACGGCACATCTAGGATGCCGTCGTAGACAAAAGAGGCGGATCAGATGACTGAAAGAGTCTTGGACTGGTCGTGTTCTCAGCGGCCAACTGAGTTGTGCACTATGTCCGCCGGAGGAAGCCGGTCAACGGTATCAGAGCCCAGGGGAGTTCCGAACGGTCGCAATCGATGTTCTCATCGTTATCACCGTGTGTATTGAGGCAGTGACATTGATACCGCCTCATAGGCTACTTCATCCTCCTGTGGACGGGCTATCTGACCACCCCACTGATCCTTGACACATACACTCTCAGCTTGCCTGTCAAATGCTTCGTCCCAGTCTTTACGACGCTGGTGCTCACCGCCACTATACAATCGGGATAGAATGAACCATGTGAGTCTACCTCGCTACCTCTTTGAATTCGCTCTTAGTGACATCGTTGTCCCCTTCATTCTTGCCCTCTCCCATCTCACTCGCTGTGCTCGTTCATCAGTTCTGGAGGTACAGATGGGTGGAAGGGTAGAGAACCATGGGTTATTGTGCACCGGCATCGTCCGGAGGATGCGCATTAGTGCGTTCGTAAGCAGTTTGCTCGAGTTTGCTCCTCATCCACCTTCTCCTAATCCGGCTTTCCCATTTCCACTTCGCCCTGTTTCAGAACTCCGTGAACAGCCTGTCTGCAGAGTAGGGACCCCAGCCTACCTCCAATTGTATGGGTCGAGTACCTCAACCCGTCAAATAGCCGCACGCTGCGAGCCTCGCCCTCGGTAACTCCCTTCCGCTCCACATCCCCGAAGGTCGCCCTCACAGAGTTTATTCGCCTCCTACCCTATTTTGCCGCAGGACGACCAGCACTAGATGGAGCCCATCTATCCCGGAAACTTCGACAGGCGCCGTCGCAATGTCCATGCCGTACCACACCCAAATACCTTCGGGAGAACCTCGCTGGTCACCATGCGCCACGCTTTTGGCGCTTCAGAAGGTGGCCGATACATGTCCCTCGATCGTATGGCTTTCCAAACTGCTCACACGACCCCTTCAGCATGCATTACTCGGGCTCGTTCGAACTCTTCCAGACAACCGAATTCGTCATACGTCGCAGGCAATTCAACGACTCCTGCGGGCGCTGACACGCACACTGGCGGAAATTGCGCACGCCATTCACGATTTGGTCTCGTACACACCGTCTCTCAAGACCCACATTGCGCCACCAACACGATCGGCAATGTGCCGCCGACATCATCGTCAGGCACCCGCATTGACTACGGGCGCTCAACTCACAGTACCGTCCAGTCATTGCGCGAATGGCAGTTGCAGTACGCGTCTGGAACGGAGCAGACGTCGGCTACAAATGCATCGTCGCAAGCACGGTCCGACGTTTACAGCTACGAACATCGGTTTCCCGACCTCGATCGCATTGTCACCGAATCTCGATGGCCACGTGACGATGTTGTCATGCGCCTTGCGCGCCGGACCGCTCTACACCAGGAGAGTCCCGAGCCTAGTGCTACACAAATATCTCAGGCTACAAGGTATATTCATGCGCAATGGGTCATCGACACACCGCTCATTGAGCCGCAAACAGATGGCCGACTCACACGAGTGATACACCACAAATGGTGGCTATGGACATCGACATTAACCATGGCTTCCAACATCGATACCCCGCACAATTTGCGAACGAGCACTATACTTCCGAGAGTCGAGGGTTTGGGACTGCCCCTTGGCATGGCTCTATTGAGGTATGTCCTGTCTAACGTTGTTTCTGGGTATCATAGCTTATCTCACATAACTCGTCAGGGTTTTCGTGGTAACGAATCTCAAGCTGCCGTTCGAAATCCTCTCGACAATGGACAATATTGCGACATAGATACCTTCACATCAAACACCTTCCAAAGCTCCCCCGCGCGGAGATTACCTCCCCCGACTACGATGGTACAACGACCTCTGTTAGCGTCTTAGATTCCTACGGTAACCTCGAGTCAGCAGACTCGAAATCCCTCACGACACGTTCGGAGTGACGGAACAAACTTCCATTTTCACGGACCCGATGCTTCACAGCAACGCGCCCTGCCAGACTACGACTATTGGTCGTACCCGCTGCCCCAAGCGTTCCAACGGAACTGGAACTACCAGAGCTTCGCTCCACGACACGATCAAAACATGCCTACACAAGATGTTCTTTATCCGGCTCTTCGTGCGGAAGTCACGCATGGGGTGGAAGGGGAGGACTATCGCTCTGGCACCTTTTCCCTTCAGATGGGTGATCTCATTGGCAATGCGGGTGGCGATCCTGCTGGTGCCTTCACGCAGATGACTGTTGAGCGTGTGAGTGCAGCGGTTTCGGTCGACATCACTCATTACTGACAGACGTAATATAGCATGACGTCGAGATGGCTACGCAGGAGCACAGGGCGCCGGCCGATGTGAGTGTGGCGTTTCCTTAGCGCAATAATCAGCAGTTGACGGCCACCCTGTAGGGCAATCCTGAACTTGAGGAATCCGTAGCACATCAAGATGATAGACATTGGCAGGCACTGAGCTCAGTCATCGCTCCGAGTGTCCACGCAGCGCCGATGAAGTCAGAGTCGGAAACCCCTGATGCTTACGCTATGGCCGAGGCTGATGACGTGACGAAGCCGGACATAGTAAGCAGGGAGGACGATAGGATTATCGGGCTGCGCGAGGGCGGAAAGTATAGTTTGCACATAGATGCTACTAGTGAATGGTGCGAGATTATCCTTTGCATTTCCCTTTGACAGCTTCGCTGATTCAGAGCCGGCTTAGTTCGAGGTCAATTCCTCGTCGTGACGTGCCTATCATCAGCTCCGGAACCGATGTCGTCGATTCGGACATGACATGTGCTAAGTCTCGCGATCTGCAGCCTGAGTGTGAGACGAAAGTATAGTGAGTGTTCAAGTAGCTTCAGCAGTTAGTGAGCGAAGCTCGAGTATCTGACGCTGCCGTAGTATATTTACTCCAGGTTACACTGGAGGCGACAGCGAATCAACGTCGGGATTCGATGGAGGGTAAGATAGTTCAGTGGTTGTCGGATCATGTTACTCACCTTTCCCTATTCCATCAGAGCTGTCGGTATAGACGACAGTGACTTCGTCCGCAAGGAGAGTCTTCAATGCGGACTTGGCGAGGCATCTCGCTGTAGCCACAAGTTCGATCAAGGAACACCGAGGGAAGTCCAAGAGCACATGATGGCGAAACATAGCACTCTAGCCGAAAAACTTGCGGCCCTAAACCACGATCATGGCAAAATTGCTTGTCCATGGGCAAAACATGATCACTTCGGTTACTCGACAGAATGCAAGAAGAAGATTGCACCGAACGGACTGTACAAACACATCTCGACGGCGCATCTAAAAAGCTCCAAGGAGGCTTGTCCCTACTGTCGGAGACCTTTTTCGCGGATCGACGCTGTTCGCCGCCACATCTGGCAGGTGTGCAAGTCAGCACCGCCCGACGCTCGCGAAGCAGCACGCCCTCAGCGGATTGGGGAGGGAAATCACAGAGGTGAGCTAAATGCGTTTCAAACCAGCGATATCTCCCAACTCCAAGTCGATACGCGTTACTCATCTCATTTTGTTGTTAGGAGCACGTGCTAGAGGCTAAGGACAAGCCCCAGTGGACGACGCGAGTCGTCGTGAAATAGTTGTCAGGAGGAGCGAGCAGCAGTGTAGTGCAACCCGTTGAGGTGAGTCATATTCCAATTCTCTGTTTGAGCTCACATTCAATATCAATCTCCTTGATGCAGTTTTTATTCGAGCCATTCGTTTTTTGTGCCTCCGAAGACGTTCGTTCTCCGTGAGAGGTAGTAATCATTAATGTACGCTTCAAGTTGCCACTGGTGCTGGTACATATCATATACTTGAGTACGGTGTAGTGCAGTGAGGCCTCATCCGAGTCTACAAATGGTGGTGGAGATGACTCGGACTCGAAATCAATGCGTCACGCGTACAATTCAAACTTCTCAGAGACAACGGATCGTATCAACGTATATGAGTTCACAGACAGGCTACAGTAAACTGAGTATTAGTAACGATGTCAGCGCGTTGCGTAAGCAGCTCAACGTCCGCGCACGCCGCCTTCCTCACTTTGGATGTTAGACAAGGATATCCGGAGCCAGCGGAGGTTGAAGGAAGTGTCTGCTCTTCCCACGGGAGACTACTTTGAATCCTCAGTCGCACCTGCAACGCACCTGCCTCCTCATACTTACTCACCCGCGCCCTATCTAGGCTAGTGTCTTCGAGAGCACTGTGGCGGCATCGCATATCAGAACAAGAATATTCTGAGACACGAAGGTGGAGGGTATCGTTGACATCCACATGGGAAGACTAACTATCGATCAACTGCCAGTGTACGTCGTGTAGTCAAACTGCATGCATTGCCAACCGCTGATGCCGGCGTCCGTGCAACTAGCCTCCTCTCGCCACAAAGCGCTGAGGTCACTCGACGCCTTGCATCCCTAGTCGACAGGCTTCCGAATCAAATCAGAGTCGTGGTATGAGAACGATCGGGCCGTCCGGACCCTCCACTTGACCGACAAACCCAGTGCCAACCGCCGTAGGTTTTGATCATCTGTATGAAACCGGGACCCGCGTTTCGACTACCGTGCGTCTTTCCATGCTCTCATCGTCTGTCTTTGGTAGTAGCTAATGTGACCACTGGCAAGATGGAAGCGGGGTGTCGTATCTTCGCAGACGCTTTCCTGCTTCGCGTCGCTGCGATAGGCTAATCGAGGCAAAGAGCGTCTGCTCGTGTTCCCCCAAGTTCAACAGTGTGTCTGCCACCGATCTCCGTGGCCTATGCAGATGACGCGTTGACGGTGGCCGGAAAGCTGGACCACTGCCTTGCACTTACCCCGGATCCCGCCGAGGTCAGCGGTTCTCCTATCTAGCTCTTGTATCACTGGTAAACACTTGCAGCAATGCTCTCGCTAGGCTCCTACTACCTGAAGAGTCCGGGCATACTGACTCGTTAGGCACAGGCAAAGAAGGGGTTTGCGATGATACAAGCGAAGTCGAGCATTCACACATCCTGCATGAAGATCGACCTCGGGCCACACTCGAAGGCGCAGCGCTAGCAAAGATGCAAAGGTTCGACCCGTAGAGATCAATGATGCACTACACGCTGAACCGAGGAACGCAGGACGGAGCTCATCAGCGGTGTGGCCACTACCGGACAGGAACCTGTCTCCTTCCGCGGCCCCAGACGTCGAGCATTACCACAGCTTCTCAACGCACCAGCGCCGGGCACACGTCCCACGGAGACCCGTCAATCGACGAGACGATAATGCTATATGACGGCATTGAGTGCTACAGTAGTACACTGGTTCTCATACATGCAAGAAGCAAGAAGCGCGACACGGAGTGAGAGAGACGAGACGTGATGGGATGGTGCGGTATACAGTGTGACGGACGGCGGACGCGGGTGTGCAGCAGAGTCGGACATTGTACGATGCGGGGAGTAGTTCACATGGAGGATGGCCGGGATGAGATGTTTCTGATCATGAGGGGGAGAGCGATCGAGCAAATGAGAACGTTCAGGACGAGATGACTCTTGAACCAAACCCAGGAAACCGCAACCGGGAGATATAGACGCACTGAAATGAATGGTGGTGTCGTGTGGTGGTGGTACAGCACGAACACCGACGAACCCGAGACCCGAACGAAAGACACCGAGCACGCGTCGCGCGCGTGCTAACTCGCGGCTTCCGCCCCGTGGTGATTTTGGTGGTGGTGGGGGTGGCCCTCCTGGTCCTCGCTGCTCGCGTCGTCCGATCCGCTCCCCGCGAAGTCTGCGTCCACACTCCCACCCTCCTCCGCCTCACCCACATCCTCACCCTCCTCCTCCTCAACCTCCCCAACCTCCTCCTGCTCATACTCGTCCTCCTCCTCATCCCTATACCACTCCATCCTACACGGCTCCTCGGCCTCCCCCTCCTCCCCACCCCCCTCCCCATCCCGCCTCTCCGCCCACGCCCGCCCCTCCGCCTCCACCTCCACCTTCATCCGCTCCATATCTCGGTCGCGGTCCCGCTCCCTCACGTATATCCGCCGGAGCGGCCGCCCCGTCCGCCGCCGCGCGAGGTAATACGCATGCAGCGCCGCCCCCGCCACGCCCGCCACCCTCAGCGTCCCCATCTCCGGCAGGAGCTCCGGGTCCAGCGCCCCCGCCGCCCCATTCCCGTTCCCGTTCCCGTTCACGCTCCTCGGATTCCCGCGCGCCGGCGCGACGCGCGGCCCGTCGTACGGCAGGGTGCCCCTGTACACGCGCGCGGCGTCGTAGAGCGTGACGGCGGGGAACGGCGGGGCCGCCGCGCCCGCGAGGACGTCGAACGTGCCCGCGCCCATCGCGCCGCAGTGGAGCGCGAGCGCGCGCACGCGCGGCGCGGCGCGCAGGAGCGCGTGCCAGCTCGCGAGCGTGCACGTCGCGAGCGACGCGACGGTGAGGTCCTCGAGCTGCGGGAACATCGCGCGCGCCGTCTCCTCCGCCTTCCCCGCGGCGGGCGGCGCGTGGAGCGTGGTGGGGTCGAGCACGGCGGGGCACGCGGCGGGGTCGGGCGCGGCGACGAGCATGTCGACGAGGGGCGTGTAGTCCTGCGGGCTGTCCATGAAGCCGAGCTCGAGGTGGAGCCTGCGGACGGCGGGGGCGACGAAGGTGCGGAGGAGGGCGCAGGCGTAGCTGACGTCGAGGTCTGCGAGCTTGAGGTCGCGGAGGCGGGGGAGGTGGACGGGGCCGTCGGGGAGGCGCCAGGGTGCGGCGGCGAGGCGGGGGCCGGAGTAGTGGAGGCTGAGGCGCTCGAGGGCGGGGGAGCGGGCGAGGACGTCGAGCCAGCGGTCGAAGGGGATGCGGACGTCGTCGGAGTGGACGCCGAGCTCGAGCTCGGTGAGGGCGCGGAGGAAGGGGGACGCGGCCTCGGACCACTGGATGTTGACGCCGATGAGGGAGAGGCGGGTGAGGGCGGGGAGGGCGCCGTTGAAGACGACGACGGGGGGCGGGCCGACGTGGCCCCAGAGGCGCTCGACGTTGCCCCAGTCCTCGATGTGCCAGAGCTCGAGGGCGCGGAGCTGGGGCGCGGGGCCGACGGTGGAGAGGACGGTGCGGGCGTGGCGCTTGCAGTGGATGTCGCGGACGCGGAGGATGAGGGACGCCCAGCGGGCGATGTGGGGCTTGAGGGGCTCGAAGGCGGGGAGGAACTCGTCGCGGAAGATGGAGTGGCTGGGGACGTAGTCGGCCTCGGCAGACGTGTCGAAGAGGATGTGGAAGGGGAGGCGGGCGGAGCGGGCGACGTAGGCACGCGCACGAGGGACGTGGCTGACCTGGGTGAGGGCGATGGAGGTCCAGAGGTGGGGCGTGCGGAGCGCGACGTCGCGCCAGTGGGCGCAGACGTGGGACGCGAGGACCTCGAAGGGCGGGTCGCGGGGGATGGGGGCGGCGGGGGAGGCCACGTCCTGGATGGGGTCGGCGGCGCCGAGGACGAAGATGCGGGCGAGGAGCTCGACAGGGAGGGAGTAGATGGACGCCATGCGCGCGAGCGGGTTCACTGCGAGCGGGGACGCGGACGGGGGAGGGCGAGGAGGGCGTGCGGGGGACGTGGACGGGGAAGGGGTGCCTGGGCCGCGCGCGAGAGGCGGGTCGGTGTCAGAGCATGGCTGGATGTGGCAAGGAAGCATCCGTGAGAGCAGAGCCGTGAGCGGCGGGCTTCGGGGCGTCACGGAGACTCACCTGCACCGTGCTCGTGTCCCGGGCGATCATGCTCTCTGTCTGCCCCTGTCGTACGCACGCTGTGTGTGGAGAGTGGACGCGAGCGAAGAGGCTGATGGGCAGAGGCAGGGAGCGCAGCGGGTGGCCGGCGTGGCCGGCCTTGTTATGTCTCCCCGCACGGCCGCCAGCCACCAGCCGACCGATCGATGTCTTGTGCATTCCAGATCCGCGGCCGATCCCTGACGCTCCTCGCTTCCCCCGCCCCAGTCGGCCTTGCCATTTCCGTTTCTGCCTCCCATGACACGCCTACTCCCCGCCGCCGCCGTTGCCCGCCTGCCGCGTCGCGACTGCCCGCGTCGCCCTCTGCGGCGGCCCCGAGCCCGGCGTACCGTGCCAGCGCCGTGCCCCGTAGCGCACGCACGAGTCACGCCGAATGGCCAGCCCATACGCAGGGACACTGGGCTTGACACGTCCTGCCATCGTCCCGCGGCCACCGTACCGCCCATTATAACGGAACCCCACCCGCTAGTGCGCGCGCCCTGCCCAGCCCCAGAGTCTAGCCGTCTTTGGAGATCCTCCCTCCCAGCACCCCGCCCAGTGCCTGCATCAAACCTTCGGCCACACCGATCGTCTTCACTTCCTCCACTGCCCCGCCGCCCCGCGTCGCGTAAGCCGCATTACCTCCACCCGCCGCCGCTGGGTTGAGGAGGCGATGCGCGGAGGTGCGGTTTGCCTCCGCGTACCTGGGACGGCTAGCGCGATCGATAGCAGCCACCGACGCCTCCGAAGCCGGTCACGGGCGCGCTGACATGCTCACGGCCTCCTCACCTCACTTCCGTTGGCGCGCGAACCGCCGTCGAAGCCTTCGCGACAACCAGGCGCCCAGCCAGACGCGGGCCCGCGCTCGGTGTCAGTGGGTATGATGAGTGCTCGGGTCTCCACGACCGTCCATTTCAACGGGAGAGTTTGTGGAGGAACATGCAGGGTCCTCTCGCATTTTGGCAGCCGCGCTCTCTCCGAGTCTCTCCACTCATCGCGATTCGGAGCCTGTCCACGCGAGTGCGCAAGGACGCGGTACGTGATTCCCGCCTGGTGCCTCTGCGCGGATACCGCGCCCGGTCAGGCGTGCACTACCGGTCGTCTAGCGTCCACGCGATCGCGCACATAGCCTGGTCTGCAGACCGTGCGCGGTGGTTCCTGAGGACGGCATCGCGCGGTGAGTGGCGATATATTGTGCACTAAGTCTCCTACTACCCGAACCGTGCCGGCACTCGTTCAGACTACTGCGTCTTCCAGCACTCCGCTCCGCGGACATCCTATCCAGCGCAGGCCGTCGCGTCCGACAAGCGGGCTGCAGCAGCGACCGTCGTCATGCTAGCTCAGGCTCCGCATGGCTTCGGACTTGGTCGCGGAGCCAACGCTCCGTACTTTCGCGCAAGCACCCCGCAGCCTCTCTTCAACACCCCCGCTGCCATCTAGCTGCGTCGTGCACGGCCCATATGTGAGTCAACCGCCACGTCGCCTAGCCCGCACAGGATTCCACCCCGCCTACTACCTCCATACGCTCTGGCGTCGCCACATTACGAGAACGCCGCCGTCCGTGCTCCAGCACCAACGCTAACGCACGATCCACACTCTTAGCCTCTTGGGATCCTCCGCCGTCGGGAGCTCCCCGCTCTGGCGTTGTCTCAGAGTACGTGCAGTACGACTGACCACTCGATCGCCACCACTGCTTGGCTTGAGCCAGTGCTAGTCGACCGGTCGTCACTGTGATCCCCAGGTACCAACTCCGTACGCGGTGCACCTGACTCGTCCCGCGCGCACCCCACACATCTTTCAGTGTTCGCGTCGCCGTCGCGCTCGACGCGTCTACGGCCTGCCGGAAACCTGCCTCAGGACGGACTCCCCCGTCTGCAAGTGCCCCTCCCGCCCGTCGCTGCGTCGGTCGCCGCCAAGCCATCCGTCCCCGGCCATCGACCGTCGATCAGCGGCCCCCCGCAGCGCAGATCACGATTGCACGATCAGGCGCGATCGGGCGGGGACCCAGATGGCGGTGGCTTGTGTGGGCGCGTTGGTCCATGCACACGAGCGGACGGGGCACCGGTGAAACGTGGATCATCGATGGCATCGATATGGCTGGCCCGGAAGGGTGACGGTGCCCTGTGCTTCGTCGTCCGCTCGTTGCCAGTGCAAGCTCTGGCTTGGAGCTGTTACGTGTTCATATCGGACTGCCGGACGTCGCGAGTCGCCGGACGTCCCGCCTGTGTTTCAGCTGGCGCAGAGTACGTCGTGAAGCGGATTTGTGAGCAGGTGCATAAGTCGGGAGTCCGTTCTTACGACGCGCGCGACGGAGCTGTACGGTTTGCTTTTCGTCGGGCGTAAAAACGATGATTTACTCAGATTCGCCTGGGTACGTGCGTACGGCTCGAAACTCGCTCGCAAGACTTGGTTTCGAGACGCTCTTGGTGAGCGAATCATCCATGTATTCATGTCGACCGACTTGCTGCCTCTCTATTCTCAGGTGTTGTCCTTGTCGTTTCACAGGCGCCACGGCCTCCTCAGCAAAGTGTCAGTCGACGCGCAAAACTCGGTCCGAGTCGCCGCATTACCACACCGACCGTCGTGCATCCCCACTGCGCCTCCCCCCCCCCCCCCCCCCCCTGCGCGGCGGACCCAGCCCACACACACGGAGGAGCGACCCTACATACCTCTCGCCGTCAAACTGCCTCGCCCACACCCGCATCCATCCCCGACAATCCTCCGCCCGAACGACTCCGGGCGCAGTGTGCCCGCGTCTCCACCCCGCCTGTCAATCGCCTGATCGCACTAGGCCGCGGATGGTATGGTCCCCCGAACGTGGGCAATGTGCGTCGAGCGGCCTCCCGCGAGCGTCGGGCGTGTGCCCGGTCCGCCCGGGCAATCTGCCCTTCGGAGGACAAGCGTAACAGTGCCGGTGGTTGGGGAGCGCGATTGACGAGCCTGAGCCGGTGAGTCGGCAACGTGTGCGGTTGTGGCGCCCTATGCATGGTTGACAGGCTCACAGGATATGGCTGCGATCAGCTTTGGCAGGTGTTGATGGATCAGACGTCGCCGTCGCGTACTGAGGGTTGCTTCCGGCGGTGAGTGCTTGCTCGGTGAGTGGCGGATTGGCGCAGTGTCGGCTGAATCGCTGTCGCAGGTTCTCGGGCATTGACGATCGACGTGGGCTCTCGTCCGCTCCGTTACGCTGTTATGAGGATTGATAGCAGTGGATTTCAGTCCCATAAAAGGCACAACGATCCAATTGAGAGCGCAGACGCGGCTCTCCTACGCGCTTCGTGCTCGTCTCGACCAATTTCATATTTGCGGTGCCCTTCTTTGACAGATCCGCTCGTCACCCGGTCCGTTGGAACCTTGTTCGTCTCTTCGCAGACGCGGCGTCCCGACGCTCGCACTCTACGGCCGACTGTGTGCTGATGACGTCGTGCAGACATGGTGGATTCGAGCGCGTTACGGCGAAGATCGCAAAGTGTACCATGGATTCGTGTAAGCTCACACCAGTCACCTCTGACTCGGATCGGTGCTGAAACGCTGACTGGGGATCGGTTTGACGTAGCAACAATGCGACGTCTACATACCTTGAGGCTTGCAGGAAGCGGGTACAGACCACGAAGCCGCGTACGTCGTTCGGTTTCATGAACAGGAGGAGGGTTGCGGTCGCATGCGTTGTACAACCACCCCTACAACCCATGGCCGCCTGGTTAGCTGATGATACCGACCGCCTCATGACCTCATCCTAGCACTTGTCACGGTGAGCGCGCTAGTTGAGTTTGTGGTTTGGCCTTGACTGATGACCCCATCAATCGCAACAGCGGTGGCGTGCTTTAACAAATGGCATGGCTTCAGCGATGAAGCCAGTACTGAGACACCATCCCCGTGCCCGCCCACGGAAACGTGGCGTATACTTTAGAGACTCGTCGGTGCGTCCCTGTGGTACGACCCGTCTGAGGCCGTTGATTGTCTCTGTCGCCTCTTACCGCTTTATCAACTATCTACTCATATTACACTCCTGGGGCATTCGCTATGGAGAAGCTTGAGCATGATGGTAGCAACGTCTATGAATCGGCTGAACAGCTCAGTACCATCCTCGCGTCACTGCCCAAGTCCGAACAGCCATCGACATCATCTCCACAATCAGCGTCAGTGCCTTCGCTGCGTTTGTTGATTCGCAGAAGATTTGCTCATGGGTTCGTCGTAATCCACCCGTTAGGCGAGAGGCCAGAACCGATACAGGAAGGGCCTCAGCTTCGGCGATATATACCGCCTGCGTCTTTAGTCTGTCTGCCCGCCTGTTTTGCACAGGTTTTTCTGTGTGCGTATCTTGTTTCCCTTATGGGTCCACCGTTGCAACACGCTGTCCCCAGGCCTAAACCTAGTGCGTTGTCCTTGTCACATACTTGGTTGTTGCTTGCAGATTATTGTCGGTGGGCACGCATTTCGCATCTATACTGAAGCCAATGCCCCGCAGAGCGCAAGCGGTCGCGTATTCGAGCCTGAGCCCCGGCCAGCAGGCGTTGCAGTACTACCAGGAAAATGCGAGGGCTAGAATGGTGTGCAGATTATGTGTTTTGATCCAGTAGTGAGACTCAAGTGAGACTAGCAAGAGCAGAATCAACACAGCCTGATGCGGCTCTCGAGTTATGAAGTGTTTGATGGGATCGTGTCACGTACGATGGTGTGGGACGAGGTTGAAGTTGGTGAGACCGCGAGTGGACTCTTTTGTGAGTTGCTCACCGAACACAGAGTAGGTTTGTCATAACCGGTTTCACGATACTACAGGTCCCACAATAGTGCAGGTTCCACGTTGCTAGAGGCTACGGATTCCACAATACTACAGGAATGAGTGAGCTTACGTGCTATACAGTGGAAAATGGCATCAAAACTGAGGACGTTCGATAGAGCTAAGGCTGCGCCTTCGTATCTGATGCGTACTTAATTGAATTTGATGCGTACCTGATTGACAGTATCTGTCACGACCCATCGAAGTACCGCAAAACGCTTAGCCATGTTATAAATTGTGTCGAGCTTCGTCGGCGTACCTCAGCTCATTCCTCTTTCGAGCTCACCCACAGGCGAAGGTGCTGGTTAGTGAGTAAACTTCAGGTTGTTTCAACGCAGTTATACCCTCAGACTGACCGGACCGTTGCCCCCAGCCTTCCCTTTTTTGACGACTTCGCTTTCCTTCTTTTACGCCGTTCTTACGCCCTGCCACGTCAAGCATGCGCTACCCCGCCGTTATATCTGCTGTATTCATCGCAGCAGCCGCGGCACCTGCACTAGCCGCCCCTTCGGGACTGTGAGTCTTCTCCTCTTCCTCGTTACTAGCCTCCACTCACGGTACATACCAGCGGCGTCCGTGCGGTGGAAGAAGATGCACTCGTACAGCGTAGCTTCGACGACGAGCTCTACGCTCGGGACCTGATCTTCGGACGGGCAGACAAGCCCGACAAATCGCATCGACACTATGGCAGTCTCCCCGTGCTACACCTACCCCGACCCCCGCCCAGGGGGAAGTCTCCGAGTAAGGATCTGGGGCACCCTAAGCCCGTGCCCAGTGCGAAGGCTTCCGCTCCGCCGAAGCAGAGGGAGGCTCGAGACCTGTGAGTCTCTTCCTCTTCCTCGTGACTAGCCCCTACTCACGGTACATACCAGCGGCGTCCGTGCGGTGGAAGAAGATGCACTCGCACAGCGTAGCTTCGACGACGAGCTCTACGCTCGGGACCTGATCTTCGGACGGACAGAAAGGCCCGTCAGACCGAAGCTACAACGTGGTGTCCCTTACACAGGCTCCCCAGCCCAACGCCCACCCAAATGGAAGGCTTCGAGTGAACTGCCGCGCCCACCACCCAATAAGCCTCCCGGGCCCGCTAAGAAGGGCTTGAAGGCGCAGCTGGAGCGGAGGGAGCTTGACGAGCTCTACGTTCGGGGACTGATGGCCCGAGGGAGAAACGGCCCGGGTCCGTCTAGAGACCCTCGTAGGCCCATCGACCCGCATCCGGCCCACAGCAAGCCCCCTCCTCACCCACGCCAACGGCGTCCGAGTGACACTCCCGCTCACCCGCCGAAGCTCCCTGTCACCGGCGGTGATGCTAAGGCGAATCCGAGAAGGCCGGAAAAGCCGAGGGAGCTAGACGAGCTCTACGCTCGGGACCTGATGGGCGAGCTGTTCGCGCGCGCATTGGAGGACGTGGTCTTCGCCAGGATGGACGCGGATGACTTGGACTAGCGCAGGCTACTATGTCGCCCACAGGATATTGGTTGCCTTCCCAGTCCGTGATAAGTAGTGGAATGGAATCGTTGAGTCGTGAAAGCCCGGTTGTGCCTCTGATGTCGCCCGTGATGAGATGTGTGCTCATATTTCTGACTCACCTGAATACTTCTCATAGTGCGAGAACTTATCGGGGTGCCATGGATGATGTCAGGAAATGTCTTCGGAAGATCGCAATGTGCAAATATTCATGGCATAGTCTCGTGTTGGACGTCGTCCGTGTACAAAACCTGTAGCCGATACATTCGCAACACTGTACGATAATGAACCCAGTTTACCATGAAATCGTTGACCGGCCGTGGCAATTCGTGATGAATGAAACAGCAAAATGAATTCAACACCTAGGTTCGCCATCATCAGCTGTAGCTGCGTCACATTTGAACAGATGAATACCTTCAGATAGATCCGCGACTAGTGCGACGAGCTCCCGATAGGACGTCCACGCATGACATGGTTGGGTATACCGTTCAAATGGGCCAGAGCGACATGATGGCTGAGATGATGCTCGTCATTGACTTCCTCGCCACACACATCGGTCTCGCAGTCACCGACGTGCCACTGGCAACAATTCGGGGGCTCGCTGGCGTGATGCGAGTGAAGATGGCCTTGTATACCGCTGGAAGAGATGTCGCTGATGAGGACACCGCAGGATTCGGCACCCCATTTGCATAGAATCCTCGGTAGGGTTTGCTTAGCCGGGCGCTTCACGCGCGGGGCGTGGCGCGCCGGACCGCGCGAGGCCAGAGGCTCGTGCGCACCGTGTCTGAAACGTACCGTCAATGAGTGCAGCGATGAAGACGAACAGATAATGCATACACGGCGCCACCATTCATGTGAATCGTTTCATCGTTACTCGCCGTTGTTACAGGACCTGGCGAGGGGGTGCGCCCGCAATCGTGGAATGGAACGATGTCTGGCATCTTCTCATTCACAACGTCTTGATATTCAAGTCCGTCCGCTGCGATAATGCAGCTATCACTGAGCAAAGAAGACTCGAGGCCGATGCCGATGCGCTCTGTAGATGACCGATTCGTGCTTGCGAGGAAAGGTTGTGATACCATGTCCCCGATGTAAGACGGTGGTGCAGCTACTGCGTCTGATCGCTGAGAAGCAATTCTGCGTCGAGCTAGGTGCGTCTCGCTCTGTCTTTACATGAGCTCGGGTCCTTCTAGCCGCGCTGTGCCACTCACCGAGATCGTGCCCCGGAGGCGTTTAACCTCGTTGCACAGCCGCTGAAGCTTGAATGACAGGCCACAACACACAGCCTTCAGCTCTTGGCAAACCGAATGCAGGCCGTGCGTCTGGCTGCGCAGTTCATACGCTTCTTCCTCCATCCTGCGATCTCTCAGATGAGGGTGTAGCGAGAGCTACGAGGGAGCACTTACCCTTCCAACTCATCCCGCATTTCAGTCCAACGAGGCGCAGAGTTCTCAAAGAAGCCACCTTCAAGGGCTTTCTCCATCATCGAGCGTGTATCGCGGAGTGTCTGGTCGAGCTCCTGCAGCAAACGAGAGGGGAGAAGTACCGCAGAATAGCGAGCAGAAGCTGGATGATTGATATGAGGCCGAGGCCTCCCGTGATGAGACCGAAGAGGTTGGAGTTGAATACCATACTCGATGCAGAGGGCGGGTAGGTGATGGACACAAGCCGACTCAGGCTCGAATGAAAGAGAGGAATGAAGGAGAGGGGTCATAACGGTGAGAGTATTGATGTGCATGGTCCTGTTTTCGCGGCGCTAGTGTGGTTCAGAGCTGCATGTTGGCTACATGGCAGTGCCCACCAACATCAGGACGCCCCTGCATAGAAGACACGGTAGCGCCGGGCTATGAGGAGTCGGCAACGTACAGAAATGTGCATATGCTGGGAAATACCTGATGTATTACTGCCGTGTACATAATGAGGGCACATTAGCACGGTAGCAAGTCACGGTGTAGGAGGAGGAGTCGGAGGCGGGGATTCGTGCGGTGGTCCCAAGATCGCGTCAGTCACGGCGTGACAAGACGCGACCGTGACTTCCATCACACATCCTCCTCCTCTCACCGTCACCGCGAGGTTACTTGTCCCAAGTTGATCCCGAGAGGTGCGCGCAATCCCTCACAACGCTGGGGTGGATCTCCAACAAATGTGAGGCCACAACGTTGACCAGCAATCCTTCCAGAGGCCTTTCGAGTCCGAGTCCATCAACCCACGCGTCTTCGACAGCGGCGAGACTAGGAAGAGATCATGCCAGAGGTCAATTCTCCCGCTCAACTGCTCAATGCATTTCTCGAGTGCATGAGCAACGAGATCATTCCTCGCACGACGCGAGGTGTTGCGGAGGGCAACAAAGTCTTCGGCGCAGCAATACTACGGAAAGATGATCTCTCCATGGTCATTGCGGAGACGAACAACGAGAAGGAGTGCCCAGTGTGTACTTCGTACGGTTCAGAGTCCTCTCTGTTGGCTGACGATGCGAGCCCAGCTATATCATGGCGAGGTGCACACGATCAAGCGTTTCTACGAGATACCGGATCAGCAACGCCCGTCTCCCAAGGATTGCCTCTTCCTCACCACCCACGAACCATGCTCACTTTGCCTCAGGTACGCACTGCCGTAATCGTCCCACATCGCTGCTGACCTGTGTTAGCGCAATCACTTGGTCTGGCTTTGACAACTTCTACTACCTCTTCACGTATGAAGACACTCGTGATGCCTTCAGCATCCCATACGACATCGACATCATCCAGGAGGTCTTCCAGACCCCCGTTGAGGGTGAACCTACAGAGTCCCGAGTTAGTCGCTCGCTGTACAATCGCAAAAACAAGTTCTTCGAGGCAACGTCCCTAGCCATGCTCCTGGAGAAGATCGAAGACGATGCAGATAGAGCTGTCTTGGCTGCGAAGATCGCAGATGTCAAGCGGCAGTACGCTGCTCTGTCGGAAACATATCAGAGCCAGAAAGGTGCCGCGGATGCTATTGTCTTCAAATAGACCGACGTGTACCCCTTAGGCGGCGATGAGTGTGCGTCAGGCGCTCTCTCCGTCTCGTTCTCACTGACTGGGGGCTCTTTCGTTTGGTGCTCGATATTGCTAGAGTGCAGAACAGAGTGGCCCTACGACGCGGCAACTCGTGATGATGTAATGTTCAGGGACCAGGGACCTTCTTACTCTGGTAAGGAATCCTCAAACGACCTTTTGTATCAGTAGACCGACCACCGTGAAAGTTAAGCGAGGTCTGTTCGCTACTTGAACGCGAGCACATGGACACGCGCCAATGACAATCGTCGAGATCCTCGGCCAACGGAGCGCTCTTCTATGAACATCCACTTTCCCTTCGGCCTTCATTCCCGCTGGTTCAGGAACCACAGCGGATCGGACCCCTTCCATGAACCCTCTTCGACCAGCATCGTCAGGATGAGGGCATGCAAACGCTGCGATGAATTCGCTCGCAATGCCATGTTGAGAATACTCTGCTGTTCGACAGGCTGCCCCTGGTGCGAGTCCCGTTCAAACGTCGCATCGATCTGTGACGAGTCTTACTGTCCAACAGACCACTTGACGAATTGGTGCCGGCGACAAACCATATATGCGTGTATACTTATGTGCAAAGACTAAGTAAGTACCAACCTGATCGGATTGTCGGACACTTCAGGTCTGTATACGTCATCTGGTCGTACACAAGACGCGGTCTGGTGACGAAGTATCTTCTAAGACCGTCTGGGCGCCGATTATACACGGGATGTTCATGCAGACTGACGTACAGTTCGGGTACAGTTAGCTCGTAAAGTGTCTCAGGTTGACAGAGTCCGCGCCCCGGTGCCGTGGAATGCGGTAATGACGCGCGACCTTGTGGATGCGGCGGCTTCGGCGTACAGTCTCACCGCGGAGCACGCAGACCGTTCATCGCGAGACCACTTGGGACGTCGAACGTGTATAAATACTGGGCGCACGAGAACAAATTGATGCTGTAGGGAAGACCACGGTACCCGTGTCTGCCCCACTTCGTCGCGACCAACCCGAGTCCTCTGCCTGAGTCCGATCTTTTGCGCCATGAGACTCCTCCCTCTCATCACCTTCGCCGCATCGCTCATTGCTTTGGCATCGGCGCAGGGCATCGACATCGGCGCGCCCCTCGCGGGTTCCACCATCTCACCGGGGCAGAACATCACAGTCGAGGTTGATCGTCCCGTGAGTCCCCTTGATCCACGTCGCAAACCTCGCTCACGACTTCTCTCTTCGCATTACAGAACTCCCTGACCGGCTCCGAGGAGGTCGCCATCGTCATCTCGATGGTCCCATGTGAGACTAGTACCTGCAACTCGCCAAACCAAGACCTCAGCTCGGAGCTCGGTTACGTACTCTACAACGGGCCCTACAGCCCTCAGTACGACAGCATCACGCCGCCGGACCACAAGCCACCCTACCAGAACTTCTCAGTCCAGGTTCCGAGCTGGTACACGAGCGGCGAGCATATCGCGTTGGCTGTGACGCATGTCAGCCTCGTTGGTGTGAGTGCGACATTCTTCGTCGGGTTATCGAAGGGAATGCTGAAATGGGTTTGACGTCGTCTAGGCTGGACCTTGGGTCTTGTTGGAGTTCAAGAACGTGTCTCTGGTCGTGGACTAAGCGCTCGTGCAATGTCATGCACAGGACTTTGGTGACGGACTGTACGGACTTCTCAAAGGGTGGAGACCATGGACTCAGACGTTCACTGTAGTTGAAATCTCTTACAACGACGATCGATGTTCGTAGTTGACCTGATGTCCAATTCCCAATCACGAGGGTGAAATGTCATGTAGCAAGAGGCCCGGGTCACGAGCGTGAAGCGATGGATAGTATGGTTCAAGCGTACCTGCGAGTCGAAGAAGAAATCAAACAGAGTGTGTCCAATGGGTCGCAATCGAATACAATTAGGCAGGTATGATCGAAGAGAGAAGACACAAGTACTTGCTACAATTGCGAACCACGACAATAGAGCGCCAGATGTCGCGCCAGCGAGTCCGCCCTCGACAGCGTGCGCTCGCAACGCGGACATGCGACGCCAGAACTTTTGAGATGCACGACTGCTACATGCTTGGGGAGCATGTCGCAATACACCTCCTTCCCGCACGCGCCGTTGGACATCCACCACTGGCAGCGCGTACGCGCCCGACCCTGGCATGTCGATGTCTGCAGTATGGAACTGGAGAAGATGCTGCTTGATGCCGGAGGGTGATGTGTTGGTGAGTGAAACGGCGCAAGGTGAGCCGAACCAACATAGGACGTTCTGAGCGCCCCCGACTCGAAGGGGCTTGGAAGGTTCGAAAGGGATGACACTGTGAGGTCGCGGTGTCGCTATTGACATGCAAGGAAGTGGGAGATAACTTGGTCGCAGATGACTTTCCGGAGCCCGCCGCACAGGAGTCCATCTATTTGGGCCGAGACATTAGGAAAAACATGAATGACGTTGAGATACTGTTTCCTCACCCGTAGGCGCCCTGAACGATAGAGCTTGGGTTCGCTGGGTAGGTAGTCACATTTGCATGTTCAGGAATGGAATGCGATGGCCGGAAACTGACGGACCTGTTCAGATACTTCGGGGAGTATGACTGGCTGGACTCACTGATGCAGACTCCAGTCGGGGCTTGGACGATTTACCACTTGAATGGAGTCAGTTGTCAAGGTCACTGCACCCTGGAGCACAGGCCGATGGAGTCCGCGGACTGTAGATCGAGAGAATGCGGAGTATTGCATGTTCCTCGTGCTGGGTTCGATGGACTTCAGCTACAGGGGCTGCATCTCTAAAAGGTCGGCGTGTCCAGCGGATGGATACTAGATCTACATAGCATAGCACCAAGGCAGAGTTGGCGCCAGCCGTCGCCGTGTGTACACGTACATCTGGAAATGTGATCCTTGGGGCGGAGCGGATGTCCTTATTCCAAATAAGCTAACAAGCGAACACAGGTGTAGGTCTCTGTCGGCCGAGTTTTGAGCAAGCTGAGTCCTACATGACCATTACAGACGCACCTCTGCTGATCATGCCACGCAGCACGTTCAAGGCTGTTCAGGCTGAGATACGCACTTGTACCCATCACTCGGGTTCCGCGTATGCGTACGCCAGAGCATAGGCAGACGTGATCGTGTAGCTTACCTGGCAGACAGGACACGCCTACCACCCAAGCTGACGCTGCCACATAGCCAGTCGGCCGATGATGAACGATCAGTATAGGTGGCCTGTGTATACGTTGGCTTCGGCACGGACTGTGCAAGGCTTCTCCCTGGCAGCTGCATGGGCGCGTGTCGAGAATGCTGTGGGTATTAAGAGGCGCTGAAGAGTGATAACATAGCAATCGCCGAAATGAATTAATGACGAGTGAGCGTACGCAGCTTCGGCACGATCATATCTCCCCACAATATGTCAAGCCCAAAGGTCGAATATGACACCAGGAGAAGGTTATCTTGGTACACATTAAGCGTCAAGTCTGGGAAACAGTCCGACAGCGGAACGACCTGGAACGACTCGTACCAATAGGTCGCTCCGCCGATTCGGGAAGAACAGTTGCGGGTCATGACACGATGAACAAATCTAAGCAAACAAACCTTTCAGCCACTAGGCGAAAACGAGTCGAAGATGCCCGATCATGCACATGTGGCATCTGTGAGGGATACCGTGTGTATGTACACGAGCTCAGCCTCGTAACGTACTGCGATAGCGATGAGGCCACTATCATACAGCCGATGGACAGGAACTTTGGATGGATCAGACTCGAGAAGTAGCTTGGTGGCTCGACAGGCTCTAGGCTCTAGCTTGGGATCGTCCGAACTCTGCAGCCCGGAGGACACGATGTCACCCGTGTCTCGCAATGCCTTCATCTTCGAGTCGCGCGGAGCCGACACGAGCTCCCAGACGTTCATCGCTCGCACGTCTGACAACCAATTGCTGGAGTGACAAGTCTGGGCCGCGTTGACTCTTGGCAGCATGCTGGTCCAGGTCCCAGGACCCAACCGATGGCCCAGGAGTCACTGCACAGTGCAGAGATAGACGAGGCAATTTCTCCTCACCGGGTCAAGTAGACTCGGAGTGGGCGGGTTCGAGGGAGTCATGGCGATCAAGCTTTCAAGGCGTCGGCTTCGAGGCATTCGAGGAGGAACAGATGAAGGGTGGTCGAGATCCTCTTCGCCGAAGCTGCATTAGGTAAGCACTGCTTTTAGACGGCGAACGGATTCCTCGACGAAGACTGGAGCGATCTCGTCGCGCACAGAGGCAAACGTGAGTCTCTTTCTCTGTGCGCCTCCGCGCACTCGAGAGACTCTGTTATTCTGAACCACGACGACAGTCCTAGTGTAGTGAGTCGACAATGTCACTTCACCTAGCTCTGCATCCATGATTGGTACTGTCTGCACGCATACTAATCGCGAAGCACGCTGGTGCAAGTACTGTTCAAATTGACTTGTATGATCCGATATGCCACTGATACGTAGTGGACAATATATGTGTGCTCCTGCAGCTGACTCTAGTAAGCCGAGTCCCGACCCGAGCCTCATCTGCCTGTGAGCGATCATTGTTGTAATCCTGTAGTCGACTTAACTGTTCAGTACCAGTATATTCGGTGTCTATCGGTATCATCCTCGTGACCATTGACATGGGCGCCGTCCCACGGAGTCACGCTGGCAGGCCGCAGTCAGACACTCTGTACTCCTTCTTGGCTCCTTCCCTCTTGCTACTACGTGAGTTGAAGTCGACTTTCGCACTGCTGGCTGACATCTGACGAGGACAGTGATGACATTCAACTACAACGTTTTTGGTGCAATCACAGGCGGCATAGGCCTCTTGGCCGTTGTTCAATACCTCTTACCTGTGTCGTTTCGTCCAAAGCGTGCGCTGAAGGGTCTTGAAGAGAGCCTCGCTGCATTACAAACCGTGTTGATCGACGTCCGCGACGACGGCCTTCCAGATGCCAACTTTCCACTCGGCTGGGACGGTGCGCAGGAGAAACTTGATGGGTGAGTCACGTCGACATTGATCACTGTGAGTCTAAGGCGAATAGATATAGCGTACTGAGTCGATTCACAGATACAAGAAACAAGCTCAGATGCTCCGAAGCGAAGTCAATAGTCTCACTTCGGTTACCTCTGAGGTCAAGGCGATCATGGGCGGACTGACTAACCAACTGAATCAACTCCGTGGGAAAGTCAAAGTGCTGCTGGCGCAAGTCTCTGTAGGTATCCGAGGCGAAGCATCATCCATTGAGGTCGTTTTTGAGGTCTGTAACAGGCGGCTGAGCTCCGCGAACGAAAGAGACTGCAAGAGCACGAATTGGACATCCAACATCCAATGTATGGATCTGGCGATGTGCCCACCGCGAAGACCCAAAACCATGCTGGGATGTCAGACGAAACCATGGAACCAATGGTGACTACCAGTACACTGTACGTCACTCCCTTGTTCTATCGGAGCCTAACTCGTACCACGACTGGATACTGCTGTTGATGCGCATTGCTCAAACAGACACGGCAGCCAGACCCTTTCTCATACAAGCGCAGCAATTACCACCGTATCTCCTTCGACGAGCAAATCTCTGAGGCACATTCGAACCTCTACCCCGAGTTCTGACTCAGGACCCAATGGCGGTAGCAGACAGCCTTCTGTGCTACCTCCATCGCGTCCCGAGTCAGACGTAGAGCTCTCTGGATCGCCTCCGCTCCGTGTTTCATTCCTATCACCCAACGCCGCCGAAGCTCAAATCCTACTTCCATCCCCTCCTACTACCTTTCCCAATGCCCGACCATATCGCTCTCGCCGTCCTCGAGCACCCAAACCTATTACAGACCCCCCTGCCATCCGTGATCACTCAAAGCACGCCAGGTATGTAGGAATCCTATAAGTGTGATGACAACCATGCAATTCTCACGCTATGCACGTACATAGATCATCCACTACCCGTCGACCGGCGCACTCGACTGGCAGAGTAGCTGAGACGCTCCCACACCCATCGGACAGACCCGGCTTCGCCGGTGGAAAGAAGCATATGCCACGGCACAGCCCACGTATACCTATCACACCATCTTCCTGTTTATCATCAGGCGCAGAAGTGGGTGTGCCGTTCATAGAGTCGGGAAACCAATGGACCACCCGCTGGCTTCCGTCCGGGTTCGAACCAATCAGTCCTTCAAAGTTCGAAGCCTATTCTTCAACGTTCGCAACCTATCCTTCAATAATCGATACCAGTCCTTCAATGTTCGAAACCGATCCTTCAATGTCCGAAACCGGTCCTTCGATCGATCCATTCGAAATCGGTGATTCTATAAGTTACGATCCAATAGTCAGTTGAACCTCCTGTACCGGTGACGTCTCGAGCCACAACCCACTTCTCACAGGCTCATTTTTGAATCTCTGGAACCCGTCGCGTACATTACCTTGCGCGACTGACCAAGACTGTAGGGATGCGGAACCAATGGTCCGACTCGGAAGCCCATCCGCAAACAGCCCCACCTTCCGCCTGAGCGCGGTTATGCCTACGGTGTAGGCACAGGCTACCGCCCCGTGCATGTAGCCATGTCCCGATCAACGTTCAACCCGTCATAGACCATGCGTTTTGCGCGAAACGCATGGTCTGTGACATGCTGGCGTTTCATGCAAGTACAGCACCCCGCTCCTACCCTACCTTCCACTCGCTGACAATTGCCTAGGTCCGAACTCCACCGCGTACACACTCATACCAATGGCAAGACGGCCCATCTACGGCATGCAGGCATCCGTCGAGCCACACTACTTATTCACGCGCCAGCCTCGAGTCGCTGTGTCCGAAGCGTATGCACATTATTGTACATTGCAATGTGTCCGAGTCGATACTACCATCACGTAAACACGTAGACGGAGGTTGTACGCTGCTCATTAACGCGTCAGTGTGCGTGATAGGTGTGTGTGTGGTACAGTAAAAGAGTCTGGGGATGGAGGTAGGATGGTGTGCTGAGCAAAGCGACGGCAGCGACAGGTATAGGTAGACGGGCAGAGTCAGTCCGGGAGTTAGGGTGTGCAGTAATATACAACAACAGTCCGTGCCGGGCGAGTGTCAGGGTTCGAAAGTCAGAGTTCGTGAGGCAAGGTCCGTCAGGTGCGTCGTGCGCGTGGGCCGTTTTGCGTTTCAGATCGGGGGGCGTTGGGGTGGTGCGGCTACGCGACGGTGATCGTCTGGTTGACCGTCTCCGTGTCCGCGTATGGACCCGCCTACATAACATAACACAGGCCCACATCAGCAAGCCACGTGGATCACCAGACGACGGAACACTCACCCCGACTAGCACCAGGTGCGTCGCGCTCAGGATCGCCTGCCCGCTCTGGAAGCTCTCCGGGATCGTGACGGTGAAGTTCTGGTACGGGTACCACTCGTCGAGGAGTAGGTCGGCGCCCAGGACGAGGTGAGGAGAATGCTGCCGAGCGCCTGGGTGATGTCGATGACGTCGCACCCGCCGGTGTAGCCCGTGCAGGACTTGAGGCCGATCGCGATGCCGACTTCGGTCGAGCCGGTGAGGGAGTTCTGTGAGAGAGGTGAGTGGCGGTTGGAGGGACGGAGCGTAGAACAGAAAGGGACAGCAGACGCGGAAGGAGGTCGGACCGGAGGAACAAAGAAGAGAGAGGGGGTATGAGACAGGAGAGAGACACGTACCGGCTTTTCGACCTGCACAGTGACGTTGTCGCCGGGGTTGACAGACGTCAACGCCGTGGGCAGAGCGATGTTGATGTTCTGCGCGGCGGCGGCGAGGGCGAGGGCACCACAGACGAGGAGCGTCTTCACAGAGGCGAACATGCTGAGAATAAGAGTGGCGGTGAGGGAGAGGGGCGCGGATTAGAGGGAGGGATGGATGACCCGAATGAAAAGGCGGATGGAGAGCGGTCGGAGGGGATGGGGGCGTTATATAGCATTTTGGCGGGTCGGCGAGGCTCCCTGAACCGAGTTGCCGCGCCGTGGCTGAGACCGATCGGGCGAGTCGCTGCGTCCATCATCATCATCACGTCCTCATTTCATTCCGCCGCCGTGACAATTTCGTGGATGATGCGGACAGCTGCTGACTTGCATAGCCGCCGCGGTGGGGCTACGAGGCGGTGCTGGAGCGACTCTGGTGCAAGACTCCTATGCAGGCCGTGGGGTGCGGGTCAGCGCAGGTCGCGGTTTCGGACGAAGGCGTCGACGGCGCGTCTGGAACGGGCCGAGTGAGCGCACGAACGAGGCTCACGACACGCGCTGGCCAATCCGGGACTGTTGGCACGTCATACGGCGTGCATGGCTGCGGTATTTCCGGGGCATCTCGAGCTCTCTGGAGACGAACAGACGCACGCAGCTGCAGCGAGATGAACGCGTTTGCCTGCACCGCACCCGGGCATGAACTCCTCCGTGGCATCCCCCTTCTCTCTTCGGGCTGCTGGTGCAAACCGAAGACGTGCACGGGTGAACAGTCCGACGGTCTGGCGGTCGGGAGGAGACGACGAGTCGGATGACGCTCGGAGGAGGAGACGACTGTCCGCTGACCGAGCGCACAGCTTTGTGCGGGGCAGATCCGGCCTGCGTCCCCCGCTAAACCCTTTTCGGCGCCGACGCGGTCCTCGACTCCCAATTGGGCCTTGAAGGGCCTGCACGTGATGCGAGACGCGTCGGTGGGAACGCGACGCGCAGCGTGTCCAGCGACTGACCGTTGCTGCGCAGCGCGTCGCTCGACGTCCACGCCTGTCGACCAGCCTCTTCAGTGGACATCCACCATCTCTGCCAAGGCCACTAGCCCGCCCGGGCCCCCTCGTACATCCTCCTTTACCGTCAAGCAATCTGCGCTCTCGAAATGTCGGGCTTCTTCGCCGTACTCTTCATGTCCGTCCTGCTCGCCGTAGCCTCTTTCGGCATCGGCGTCCTCCCCCTCTCCTTTGCATTTTCAAGTGAGCCATCTCTCGCGCTCTAGTGCCATGCTGACGTGCCGACGCGCTCTTACCACAGAACCTGCCCTGCTAAGCTCTCCGCCCTCGGCACAGGCCTCCTCCTCGGTGCAGCCCTCGGCGTCATCATCCCCGAGTAAGCCGTCGTTCATTTCGCCATTCCAACGACATCGCTCACCGTGCCCATTCTGCTACTCAGAGGCATCGAGGCCCTCGTTGAATCTCCCTCCCCGTCCACGTCCAATACTCCCTCAGGCCATGCAGAGCTGCCCACGACTACCATCGCGCTCTCCCTCCTCGGTGGCTTCACCTTCATGCTCCTCATCGAGCAGCTCCTCTCCCCGCACTCCCATTCCGCCCCGCCCGCGCTCCCCGCCTCCCCACCACACACGCGCAAGCCTTCCGGCCGAGCACGGTCGAGTTCGACGCCGAGCTCGAGCTCTCCCAGCTCGAGCGCGCAGAGGGTATCGCCTTCCACTCGGGCGACCCCCGTGCGGCACCGGCGCGGAAGCAGCACAGGCGGAGCAACAGCACCTCCGGCGACGCAGAGGGCAAGGCCCGCGCAGTGCCGCTCACGCTTGGCCTCGTTATGCACGCGCTCGCGGACGGCCTCGCGCTCGGCTCCTCTGCGCTCTCTGGGGCGGGCGAGAACGGCGGCGGAACAGGGTCGGAGGGCGCGGGGTCGATGATCCCTTCGGGGTTGTCGATTGTGGTGTTCTTCGCGCTGGTGATCCATAAAGGTCAGCATCCGTTCATTTCGGGGCACGGCTGTGCTGGTAGGTGAAATCGCACGCTGATTCAAGCTTCATTCGTACCTGTGATATGCTATCTGTCCGCCACCATCACCGCCCACCGCCACCCCTTCATCTCGCACAATGTCGCCATCCCGCAAACCGTACACACACACGCACCCATCAAACCCCCCTCGCACCCCGGCAACCCCCCTCTCCACTTTTTCCGTTCCACACACAGCACCGACCGCCCTCGCGCTCACGACCTCCCTCCTCTCCACGTCCCTCTCGCGCGCGGACTGCAAGAAACACATCGCGGTCTTAGCCTCTCCACCCCGCTCGGCGCGCTCGCGTCGTACGCCCTCCTCGCCTGGTTCGACCCTAGCGCGGGGTGGGGCCGCGTCCCGGGCGCCGCCATGCTCCTCTCGGTGAGTCCCGTCCCGCGTGCAGACAGGCTGGGGGCGCGTCGCTGATCCCGTGTGGGGGCGCTAGGGCGGGACCTTCCTGTACGTCGCGACGGTGCTCCGGCCCGTTTCGGGCCACGGGCACGCGGAGGACGGGGATATCGGGCGGAAGACGAGGATGCTCTTTACGCTGGTGGGGATGTTCGTGCCTGTCGCGGTCGGCACTGTTGTCGGGCATGACCACGGGCACGGTGCGTAGCCTGCGGGTACTGCGTGCGTGCCAAGCGTTGGCATACTGCGTGCGCGAGCGGTGGCATAACGCGGATTTGGCGCTCGTGAGGTGTTAGGTATTTTTGGTCATTTTGGACGTGCTGTTTGACGGGTCCCCAGCGAAGCCCGACAATCCGTGTTGGACGTTTGGTCCGGGAAAGTGCTTTTCGCGCTCCTTGTGTTGACTTTCCCCCCATGCAATAGTCGGCTCAGTGTTCGTCAAGAGGCACGGCGGGCGCTCTCTTTCCAGGATTGGTTCAACGCACGGACCGCCTGGACCAGTTCCATGACCGTTGATGCGTTTATTCAGACGCGCTGGCCGTCGGCCACTAGAAATATCCGGTGATGGCCCGTTGGGCATGGCTATTAATCCCATACCCTTCCCCACACTGTTCTTGTACTACAACCGCGCTCAATACTAGTGGGACGACGTGCCCCGACACGTCCGTTAGAGGCGTTGTCTCTGCATGCTCGGCGGGTCCGAGATGATTCACATTTGACTATGCGTGACGGGCCCTCGGCGTCGACGTCCGTCGCGCGCCGTGCAGTCCTCGGATCGCATTCGGCGCGGATGATCGTGTGTTATAAAGGACCAAGGATCCCAGACTGGCATGACTCCCTACAAGCAAAAAGTTGCACTCCTGCGAACAGGCGGGAAGCCCAGTCGAGCGATTCCGGTTCGCTGCAGCATGTATGCGGGCAGTCAGATACTTCAAACGGCGGACGTGGTGATGGGAATCGCGACTGATGGGCCACCCCTGAGTCGGTTTTCGACTTGTGCCGACTCTGCGCTGTCGAACTGTACGCAGCGGACGCATATACCTGCAGGTAAATTTGCGAACATCGACCCGAATAACATGCCTGTCAGGTGCCCTCCGAACATGCGGCCGCCATGATGCTCACGCGCTCCATGGGTTATCATGTCTCGTACGTTTGTCGCTCTGCCAACGTTCCAGGGTTTTGTCTACCTCGGGATACTGTGCTGACATTTTTTGGCGACGCCGACTATGGACTCAACGGCGTAGCGCCCTCCATTACGATAATCGTGAAAATCGTTCGGGCGCATCCATGGGGCACGTCAACGCGCCGACATGCTCCAAGGGCTCCGTTGCTCTCGCGGGCAAGGTCAGTGCGATATTGAGATGAGAAGTCGCTCCTCGCCCTGCGTCCTGCGTGAGTGCGCAGACACTCTTCGCGTCTTCATCTCTCAGCTGATGTCGTCCGACCAAAACCGTAGGTGCCCCGACAAGTTGCTCACTCGACATTCCGACCCGCATCGGAGGTGCGGGTCCAGACGGAAACACGCCGCACTCGATGGAGGGTATATAAGCCCGTGCGGGCTCTACCAGCAGACTCAGCAACCAGCCCGCACATCCAGCTTTCGAGCAGACACCCGCCCTCGCACGAGCATCTCAGCAACGATGTCTACTCAGCTCCGCTACGTCCTCTGGGCCCCCGACTGCACCGACGCTGACGTCTCCAAGCGCCGCATCTCCCTCGCCGAAGCGCACGTCACGTGGCTCGACGGCCAGGTCTCTGCAGGTGTCATCCGTACGTTCTTCTCCGCCCCCAACGTCGCTGCCGGACGATGCTGACCTCACACGCTGGTGTTTTTGAACGCAGACCTCAACGGCGCGATCCTCGCGGCCGACGAGGCCCCGCCCGCGAACACGATGCCCGACTCGCGCGGCTCGCTGATGATCATCAAGGCGGGGAACTCGCCGCGGCCAAGGCCGTCGTCGAGTCGAGCCCGTACTTCACCGGGAACGTCGTACGTAGCGCGGCACGCTCTGTACACCGCTCGGAACGCTGATGAACATCTGTCTTTGCCTGAGTGTAGTGGGACAAGGCCAAGCTCACGGTTGGCCCCCTACTCTCCAGGGCTTAGATATTGGGGGTTGGCATCAGACGGCGGATTGGTGCCTTGTGTGCCTTGTGGTTGACGCAACGATTTTTTGGGATCTCTCCGCGGGAACAGGTCTGGGCTTTGTGACGATGTAGGTTCGACGAACTTGTTATGAGCAACGATCTAGCCTTGCCGTGTCTGCGGCATCGAATCGAGCCTGAGTGCAATCGCCGTGTGCACCACCTTCGTATGATGAACCAAGCGCTGCTCCCCACATAACTGACTTGACCTACCTAGACCGGGCGCAGAGAGCGGGACATCTTGATCATCATGATCGTGAGCATCACCCCACTCAATAACATTGCCATTGGACAGATGCTACGCGACTCATAGCTTCTGCCAGTGGATAAGATCTGTTGAGTGCGCAGACAAAGGGCCTCATATTTGCTTCCATGCGCGACGAGATCACTCGATTGTCGAATCCGAACCGTTGGTACGTCCTTTCTGGTTCGACCCGCCTTAGCTCGTTGAATTTCTCTGTCACCCTCCTAGCATTTCGCCAACCGTCTACTTATTTCACATTCCTGACCATCGCTATGGAGAAGCTCGCCATTCCTCAGTATGATGGTAGTTGGCAACGTGAATGAGTCGGCTGAGCAGCTCAGTGGTTATACCTGCGCCACTGTCCAAGCTCAAGTCCGAAGCAGTCATCGGCATCAATCCCCAGCATCAGCGCCAGTGCCTTCGCTACATTTGCTGATTCGCGGAAGCTTTTCTCATGGATGCATCGTGATTCGGCCGTTACCGCGAGAGGCCAGCATCGATGCACGAAGGGCCTCGGCTTGGGCAGTACCAACTGCGTCATTTGTCTATCTATCTGACTGTTTTGCCGTGTGCGATCGTTTCCCGCGTGGGTCGTCGCACGGCTGTAACGCGCTGTCCCCCGATATATAGCTTATGTGTTGCAGATTATCGTCCGCAGAGCACAAGCGGTCGCGCATTTGTGTCCCGGCCAGCAGAGCTTACAATACTACCGGGAGAATGCGTTGGAGACTTGCATGTTGTGTAGTATATGTGGCTTGATCCAGCAATGAGACGGAATTGACACAGGCTGATGCGGCTCCTTTCATAATTTACGAAGTGTTTGTGATCCCATATCAAACCCGCTGGACTCCGCCTATGTGTGTTTGAAAGGCGCGGGGCCCAACGAAATGGACCTAGCTGTGATGTGATCGACATACAATGATGTAGGACGAGGTTCAAGTTGAAATTAGTACTGTATGTGAGATCGCGAGTGAAAACTTTCTGGGTTGCTCATTGCCGGACCACAGAGCAGTTCAAGTATAGCCAGTTCCACGATACTACGGGAATGAGTGAGCGCGAAAGTGAGCCTACATACTATTCAGTGAAAATGGCATCAGTATTGAGGGTGTTCGATGGAGCTAAGGCTGTGCCTTCGTATCTAATGGTACTTGATTGACAGTATCTGTCACGATCCATCGAAGGACCGCAAAGCGCTTAGAAACGTTATAAAATGTGTCGAGCTTCGTGGACGTACCTCAGCTCATTCCTACTTTCGAGCTCACCTACAGGCGAGGTTGCTGGTTAGTGAGTAGCCTTCAGGATGTTTTGACGCGATGATACTCAGACTGACCGGACTGTTGCCCCTAGCCTTCGCTTTTTGACGACTTCGATTTCCTCCTTCACGCATTTTTACGCCCTGCCACGTTGAATATGCGCTACCCCGCCGTTATATCCGCTGTGCTCATCGCGGTCACTGCAGCACCTGCACTAGCCGCCCCTTCGGGACTGTTAGTCTCGTCTTTCTCGTGACTAGCCTCCACTCACGGTACGTGACAGCGACCTCCGTGCGGTGAAAGATGATGCGCTCGCACAGCGCAGCTTCGACGACGTGCTCTATGCTCGGGACCTGTTGGCCAGAGGAAACGCCGATCCGAGTCGTCCACAACGGTCACGGTCCCCCACTCCCACCCGGACGCCGCTCCATCCCAAACCTGGCCCCAGAAAGCCACGTCCCGGGCCTCCGTATGGTGGTCCCCAGCATGGTCCTCCACCATCTGCCCCAAAGCCAATACGGGTGAGGTCGCTTGACGAGTATTTGCTTGCGAGGGCAAGTGAGGAGGACGAGCTGTTCGCGCGCGCATGGGAGGACGCAGTGTTCGCTAGAACGCTCAGCTAGGATGGACATGGATGACCTGGACTACTAGTATGCAGGCTACGTCGCCCACAGCAGATTACTTGACGTCACAGTACGTGATAGACAGTGGAATGGAATTGTTGAGTTGTGAAAGCCCCGTCCGCCTCTGATGTCTCCCGTGAGGGGATGTGCTCGGAACTTCTAACTCACCTACTTCCCATAATGCAACTCTTGGGTCAATCGTTCAAATGAGCCTGAGCGACATGATTGCTGAGATCGTGCTCGCCATGGACTTCCTTGCCAAACATGGCATATGATCGGTCGCGTAGTCACCGACGTGCCATAGGTAACAAGACCTAGAGCAACTTGAGCAAATGATGAGCCAAATGACCAAACCGTCCTCGTCTTGCAGTCACGACGGATACATAATCCTTCACCTTTTTTGTCAATGCCGCGGAGCTCGTGGTCTGATCGGACGCGCGGTGTTCACGCTCGATCTCCAGATTGTGTCATTCCGGACAATTGCGAGACGACCACTGCGCCCGCACAACAATGTGCACAAACGGAAGACGTCGCGGTCTTGACTCCAGATGATTCACGCCATCTGCCGTTCGACCTCAGCCACTGCCCGTCACCGTCTGGCTAGCCCTCGACACTGCCGTGCTCGATGGTGAGCACCGGGACCGACATACTCCACTTTAGTGCGAGCCTGAACATAGGGGCCTATCAATTTGTAAACCAGCGCTGGCTGCAAATGCCAAAGGCTGACCTGGCCATGGGTGTACGATGTCTAGAACAGTGAAATCTGGCACGGCGAGATGCTTGCTTATGATCGTCAGGCATCACTATACTAGGACTGTCGCCGTGGTTCAGGATATAATCATAATGTCGAGCGGTCCCGTCGGGACTGTAAATCTAATCATCATCAGCGCTACAACTTGGCTACATCTATCGAGTGCGAAGAGGTGTGCAGAGAAAGGGACTCAGTGAAGGAGGAGGTCTGGACTCGCCGTACAAAAATAGTAATGGTTTTTCGAGGTCCGCTCGGCGGTAGCCGTAACGCTATACCGTCTGGATCGAGACTAGTCAATACTCGGGTTTGGAACGGTTGATTTAATGTATAGAGCCGTCGAACCCAAGTCGAACCACATCAAAGCCTTACGGATAGTCACCCTCTGATTCACGGGGAAGTTTCGCTCACCGTGACGGATGAGTCGTGATCGGCGCGAGTGGCAGTGCCAGCGCAAGAAGGTGCGAGATGCACCGATACGCGAAGGACCTCGGCTTGGGCGATACTATCTGCGTCTTGTGTCTACCTGAGTTACTTGGGCTGGTGTTGCCGTGTGCGATATTGTCTCCCGGTGGGTCCACGACTGTCACGGTAGCGCGCTGTCCACCGACATATAGCTCATGTGTCACCGTCGCATACATTGATTATTTCTTGCAAATTATCGTCGGCAGAGCACAAAGCGGTCGCATACTTGAGTGCGACGTCGGTATGTAGGCAAGTGCTTCGCCGATCTATGCTTAGGCCAATGCCCCACAGAGCACAAGCGGTCGCGTATTGGTGCCTGAGCCCCGGCCAGTACTAGAGTAGGCGTTACAGTACTACCGGGATAAGCCTATGTGCAGATTAAGTGGCTTGCTCTAGCAACGAGATCGGGAATCAAATGAGACTGTCAAGAGCAGAATCAATCCCGATGCAGGGGGCTCTTTTCACGATTTATGACAGTGGAATGGGATCGACATAGCCTACGATGACGTATGTGAGACCGCGAGTGGAACTTTTGAGTTGCTCGCCAGACACAGGGTAGTTCTGCAATACAGTCATGCTAGCACAAAAACGAGTGAGCGCGGAAGGGAAAGCAAGCCTACGCGCTATTGAGTGAACACCGGCATAAAAACGAGGACGTTCGATAGATCTAAGGCTGTGCCAGCTTTGTTGACGGATGGTGACGCCATCCTCACTGTGTGCTTCACTGCTTGATTGGATCTGTCAAAACGGACTTGATTGACAGTAGTAATTGTCGCGACACGTCCAGGGAAGTACTAGGAAGCGCTTAGACATTGCCTAGACACGATATAAATTGTGTCGACTCCTCCGTCGGCATACCTCAGCTCATTCCTTCTTTCGAGCTCACCTACAGGCGAAGGTGCTGGTTAGTGAGTAGCCTTCAGGTTGTTTCGACGCGGTTTTACTCACTGACCGGACCGTTGCCCCCAGCCTTCCCTTTTTTACGACTTCGCTTCCCTTCGTTCACACCTTTCTTACGTCCTGCCACGTCGAACATGTACTACCCCGCCGTTATATCTGCTGTGCTCTTCGCTGTCACCGCGGCACCTGCACTAGCCGCCCCTTCGGGACTGTGAGTCTTCTCCCCTTCTTCCCCGTGACTAGCCTCCACTCACGATACATACCAGCGGCCTGCGTGCATTCGAAGAGGATGCGCTTGCACAGCGCAGCTTCGACAACGAGCTCTACGCTCGGGACCTGATCTTCCGACGGGCAGGAGAACGCGCCAAACGGCCCGCACCGCCTCGGCCTCCGCGCCGTCAACATGCATTGCGACCGCTACAACCACCTCCCGGTTCGAAAAGGCCGGGTCAACAGTGGCTCCCTGAGAAGAGTCCTGTTCATGATCCGCAGGAGTTGAGGCCCGGGCCGAAGCTGAGGGCGCTTGACGACTCAGACGAGTATTTGCTTGCGAGGGCAATCGAGGAGGACGAGCTGTTCGCGCGCGCATGGGAGGATGCGGTGTTCGCTAGGCTGGACATGGATGACTTGAATTAGTGCAGGCTACGCAACGGATTACTTGATGTCCCAGTACGTGATAGACAGTGGAATGGAATTGTTGAGTCGTGAAAGCACGGTGTGCCTCTGATGTCGCCGGTGGTGAGATGTGTGCTCGGAATCTCTGACTCACCTGTTCCCCATAATGCGACTCCTGGGTAAACCGTTCAAATGGGCCTGAGCGACTTGCCACACACATATGATCGGTCGCGCAGTCACCGACGTGTCGCAGACAACAAAACCTAGAGCAGGTGAACGATAAGCCAAATGACCAAACCGTCGTCGTCTTGAAGTCACGACGGGCACAGAATCCTTCACTTATTCACCTCTATTCTCAATGCCGCGGAGCTCGTGGTGTAATCGGACGCGCGGCGTTCGTGCTCGATCTCCAGATTGTGTCACTTCGGACAATTGCGAGACGACCGCTGCGCTCGCATAACAATGTGCACAAACGGAAGACGTCGCGGTCTTGACTCCAGGTGATCCGCGCCATTTGCCATTCGACCAGTGCACCCGCCATGGTCTGCCAGTGGCTAGCCCTCGGCACTGCCGTGTTCGATGGTGAGCACCGAGACCGACCTCCTCCGCTTCGGTGCGAGTCCGGACATAGGGGCCTATAAGTCTGGAAATAACGCTAGCTGCTGAAGGCTGACCTGGCCATGGGTGTACGATGCCTAGAGCAGTGCTGGCGCGGCGAATCACTTGCTTGTGATCGTCGGCACTATGCTAGAACTGCCGTCGTGGTTCAGAATAAGCCTCACGTATCAAGCTCAAGTGCGCAGAGTTGCGCAGAGAAAGAGACTCACTTTTGCCTCTATGTACGACGAGATCGCTCGAGTCTTCGTGGGGGGATCGGTCGGCCCCTCTGGACTCGGTGTCTCAAAGTAGTAATGAGGCGGGTGCTTATCTAATGCAGCTTCGGCGAACCGCGATGCCAGCGTTTAGTACACACGATCCTCCTCTCAACCATCCCACATTTGTTGCTTCTCGAATGCCTCGACTTCGACGCCTGGGACCGCCATGATTCCCTCAAACCCGCTCACTATACTTGACCCGATAAGGGAAAAATACCTCATCTATATCTGCGCCTAATGGACCGTGACTGGGCCGCATCGGTTGGGTCCAGCATGCTGCCAGCGCGGTCCAGATATGTCACCTCAGCCATTGGTTGTCAGACGGGCGAGCGATGAACGCCTGGGAGCTCGGTGTCGGCTTCGCACAACTCGAGGCATCTCGAAGTCGAAGGCATTACGAGACACTGGTGACATCGTGTCCTCCGGGCTGCAGTTCGGACGATCCCAAGCTACAGGTCGAGCCACTGGATGCCACCAAACTACTTCTCGAGTCTGATCCATCCATTCCTGTCCATCGGCTGTACGACAGTGACCTCATGGCTATCGCAGTACGTTACGAGGCCAGACTCGTGCACATACACAGGTCCGAGTGGGGATACGCTACGTGTAGGTATCCCCACCGGGACGTGAGCGCAGTACGCCGATGTGTCTGGTACATCCGTGCTCGCGCATGACGAAATGCAGGACGAAGAACCCGGTCATTCTTAATGATCGCGCATGGGCTTTCCAATAGAGTGAGGCCGCCCAGGGTCAGATGACACGGTCAGCAAACCCACGGCTGCCCACCTGCGATGTTGGAATGCAGTTCGGGGCATCCAGCGCCCGTCAGAAGAGCTATCACCTGGTTCTTTGCGGTGGTAGCCCCGAGGGGCGCCCTGACTGCGGCGGGGCCCCGCACTCACTGCTCGCACAGTGGATGCGTGCCGCCACCTTCCTGGGCAGGCGGGCCGAGTGCCATCTCAGCCTCGCCAAAACCACATAAATGACGCACACCAGGCCACACATCCGGGCGTGCACTGGGTGAGTAGCCTCCGCCCGCGACAGACCCCGGCTTGTAACAGACAGTACTAGTGAGTACCAGACCGAGGAGTGATGTTGCGCACCTCGACGAACTGGCTCGCTCTAGGGCGTGCGCAGATCCGATCTCGACACAGTCCCTCTATCCCCTCCCGGTCTCTTCTCGGTCGCGGCCCCTCTCTCCAGCCCGTGAGTAGCCATCTATCTTCCGCACCCACGCAGCTCACATCCGGCCCGCAGACCCTTTCCTCAGCTCACGCCGTTCATAAGACCTGCCCCTGCTGCGTCTCTGCCTCCCCATCTCGCAATTTCAACACATCTCATCCACACAGCTTCGCAGCTACCCCTCCCAAAGACATGCCCAACCCTAACAAGGTTACTGAGCGGCTCTTCCAGTCCCCGTCCAAGTACATTCAGGGGCCCTCTGCCATCCAGAACGCGGGCAAGTACTTGTCTGCGTTCGGCAAGGCCCCGCTCCTCCTCTCCGATGAGCTCGTGTACGGCCTTGGTGAGTGTCGCGTAATGTACTGTCGCTGGGTCTGACATCGCGCAGCCGGCAAGGACCTCACCGGTGCGCTCGAAACCTCCGGCTTCAAAGTGACGCGCGGCATCTTCGGCGGCGAGGCCTCCAGAGAGGAGGTCGCCCGCGTCGGCGCCCTCGCGAAGGACAACTCCGTCGACTTCATCGTCGCCCTCGGCGGCGGCAAGACTATCGACACCGCCAAGGCGATCGCGGACGACCTCGGCCTCCAGATCGCCGTCCTGCCCACGACCGCCTCGACGGACGCGCCCTGCTCCGCGCTCTCCGTCATCTACAAGCCGAACGGCGAGTTCGAGAGCTACCGCTTCTACTCCGGCAACCCCCACACCGTCCTCGTCGACACGAGCGTCGTCGTCAAGGCCCCCGCGCGCTTCCTCTCCGCGGGCATCGGCGACGCGCTCGCGACGAACCTCGAGGCCAAGGCCGCGAAGAACAGCCCCAACTTTGGTGGGGGCCTCCCGACGGAGGTCGCCACGGCGATCGGCGCGAAGTGCGAGGAGATCCTGTTCAAGTATGGGCGCCAGGCGGTCCAGGCGAACAAGGCGAAGGCGGTCACGCCCGCGTTCGAAGCTGTCGTCGAGGCGAACACGCTCCTGTCGGGCTTGGGCTTCGAGTCGGGTGGTCTCGCCGCCGCACATGCTGTGAGCACCTTTCGCCGCTGCTATTGTACTGTATCGTTACTGACAGGCGTGTCTAGATCCACAACGGCCTCACCGCCATCGACAACCACACCCTCCACACGAAGATGCACGGCGAGAAGGGTAAGCGCCGCCATCGCGCTCTTGCTCCGCCTCTACTCACCCATCACCCACAGTCGCCTTCGGCACCATCTGCCAGCTCGTCCTCGACGGGGCGCCCACCTCTGAGTCTGACCGTTACATCGCCCTGATGGTCTCCGTCGGGCTGCCGGTGACGCTCGCGGACCTGGGGATCGGCGCGGCGACGGACGAGGAGCTGATCCGCGTCGCGCGACTTGCGTGCGCGCCGAACGAGACGATCTGGAACATGGACAGGCTCATCACGGAGGAGATCGTCTTCGCGGCGATCAAGGGCGCGGACGCAGCGGGGAGGGATTGGAAGGTAAGGAACGGAGTCAAGGCCTGAGTCCTGGGATGTTCGTGATGGTAGAATTGGATGTGTATTGTTGTAAACGTTTCATTGCTCTGCTGTCGTCTCTGAACAGTGTATAATAGGGCGTTCTCGGTGTAGCATCGTGTATGTAGGTTCACCAATAATCGATCGGGCATTCCCTCTCTTGTGACGGTGAACACTGCCGACACGAGACTGTTGCTTGGTTGAGAGAGTCAAGACTGGATACTTACCAACCCGGTCCCAGCACGACCTTGCTCGAGTTTATATGTTACGGACGTTCACTTTGGGTGCGAAAATATGGCCATTGTTAGCTCAGCCGTCGCGGCGCATCACTGGTACCACCTGCTGAAGTTTGCCATCTGGCTATGCCCCGCGTGGCTCGTCGTGCGATATTGTTCAGAGGTGACAATCCAAATAATGGAGTCGCCGAATGTTTGCACGGATGCTGGTGGGCAACATGCAGGGAGGGAACCAAGAGGAGGTATCGTGAGTGACTGCTCAGCGCTGTCCAACCACGTCTCGGACACGAGCCCTCTGGCTGTTAGATAATAAGTACGACGTGAGGGGCCAGTACTTCAAGTGACTTGAACGTTTGACAGTCTAAGGAACAGCTAGCTGGCCATGGCTGTAGTGCACGCTGACGTCATGCTAACTCGTCGTAACATTTCCGAAAGCGGAAGCGCCGGCGTCCCAAAGCGGAACCACTCTCCTTCACTATACTTACAAGATTCGATGTTCGGCCCGACGTCTCCCAGCCACCACACCGCCGTCGTGTCGTCGAGCGATTCCGTCTCACCACAGCATACAAGCGTGCACTCAAACACTTCAAACGGCGGATGGGGCGATGGACAGCGACTAATGCCTCCGAGTCGGATTTCAGTGACTCGAGCTCGTGCCGACCGTAAGTACACCACTTTCGACATGTCACTCTGTGGGATGTATGGTCCCCTACGATTTACGCTGCAGAGCCTATCTGGCACGACTCCTTCCCCTGGCTTATTTGGCCCATCCAACCTGGCTCTGCGCGGTCAGACTGCGCGTAGCGGACGCATACTCCTGCAGCCTGAGGCGAATTTACCAACGTATCCGGATAACATACCTGTCAGGTATCTCCCAATTGAAAGAGTGGTCACGATATTCGTGCGCCCAATGGGCTGTTATGTCCTGTACTTCTGTTGCTCTGCCAACGTTCCAGGGTGTTGTCTACCCCGGGATACTCTGTCAATGCGGCGCTGACATGCTCCGGCTCCGCTAGTACTCGTACAGGCAAGGCCAGTGTGCCGTTGAGACGAGACGTTGCTTCTCGTCTCACGCCGTGTGTGAATGTGCGGACACTACTATCGCGTCTTCGTCTCTCAGCTGATCATGTTGTTTTGGCAGAAAATGCAGATGCTCCGTCCAGTCACTCGCATTGGAGGTGCACTCGATAGAGGGGGTCTACATAGGGCTTCGCCCTCATATGCCAATAACCGGGATTTACACGCGCTCGATGGGGGATATATAAGCCCGTGCAGGCTCTACCAGCAGATTCAACTTCAGCCAGCCCGCACATCCGGCTTTCGAGTGACGACCCTCGCATCCTAGTTATCATGTTCGCTACGTTCACCGGGCCCCGACTGTACCAACGCCGATGTCTCCAAGCGCCATATCTCCTTCCCCGACGCGGTCAAGTGGATCGACGGTCAAGTCTCTGCAGGTGTCATCCGTGCGTTCTTCTCCGGGTCCCCTGTCCCTGCGTCGGCTGTTACTGATCACAGACCTCAATGCTCACACCATAGAGCAAGCTATCTCCTACACTCTTGGCAATCGCTCTAGAGAAGCTCGCCACCCATCAGCATGATGGTCACAACATGAACGAGTCCGCTGACTGCACCAAAGGCACCACTGCCGATGCCCGAAATCGCCATCGCCATCAATCCCCAAAATCAGTGTCAGTGTACCTTCGTTAGGATTTCTGATTCGCGGAGGCTTTGTGAATGGGTGCGTCGTGATCCAGTCGTTAGGCGAGAGGCCAGCACCGATGTACGAAGGGCTTCAGCTTCGGTGATATATACCATCTGCGTCTCCGTCTGTCTGTCTGCGTGTTTTGCTCAAGTTTTGCCGTGTGCGTATCTTGTTTCCCTTATGGGTCCACCGCTGCAACACGTTGTCCCCCCGGCATATTTGTGCGTTTTTATCGCCGCATACATAGTTGTTTCTTGCAAATTATTGTCGGTGGACACGCGATTCGCATCTGTACTGAGGCCAATGCCTCGCAGAGCACAAGTTGTCGCGTATTTGAGCATGAGATCCGGCCAGCAGGCGTTAGTACAGTGCCAGCGGGAAAACGCGAAGGTTAGTAGGGTGCACAGAATATGTGATTTGATCCAGCAGTGAGACTCAAGTGAGACTAGCAAGAGCAGAATCGACACAGTCTGATCATGATGCCGCTCTTTCACGATTAATGGAGTGTTTGATGGGATCGTGTCGCATATGATGGTGGGGACGAGGTTGAAGTGAGTGAGACCGCGAGTGGACTCTTTTGAGTGGCTCATCGGACACAGAGTAGTTTTGTAAAAACCGGTTTCACGATACTACAGGTCCCACAATAGTACAGGTTCCACGTTACTAGAGGCTACGGGTTCCACGGTACTACAGGAATGAGTGAGCGCGAATTCGAAAGTGAGCCTACGTGCTATTCAGCGAGAAATGACATCAAAACCGAGGGTGTTCGATAGAGCTAAGGCTGCGCCTTTGTATCTGATGCGTACTTAATTGAATATGATGCGTACTTGATTGACAGTATCTGTCACGGCCCCATCGAAGTGCGGGGAAGCGTTTAGACATGATATAAGTTGCGTCGAGCTTCGTCAGCGTACCTCAGCTCATTCCTCTTTCGAGCTCACCCACAGGCGAAGGTGCTGGTTAGTGAGTAGCCTTCAGGTTGTTTCGACGCGTTATACCCTCAGACTAACCGGACCATCGCCCCCAGCCTTCCCTTTTTTGACGACTTCAATTTCCTTCTTTCACGCCTTTCTTACGCCCTGCCACGTCGATCATGCACTACTCCGCCGTTATATCCGCTGTGCTCATCGCAGCCGCCGCGGCACCTGCACTAGCCGCCCCATCGGGACTGTGAGTCTCCTCCCCTTCGTTCTCATGACTAGCGTCCACTCACGATACATCGCAGCGGTCTCCGTGCTGTCGAAGAGGATGCGCTCGCACAGCGCAGCTTTGACGACGAGCTCTACGCCCGGGACCTGATCTTCCGACGGGCAGAAAAGCACGTCAAACCGCCCGCCAAACCGAAGCCGCGCCGTCAAAACGCTTTGCTGATACGCCCACGCCCAGGTTCGAAGACTCGGAATCCAAATGAATTGTCGTTCCCTGAGAAGAACCCGGTTCATGATCCGCACAACTCGGAATCGAAGTCCCGGCCGAAGCTGAGGGCGCTTGACGACTCGGACGAGTATTTGCTTGCGAGGGCAACCGAGGAGGACAAGCTGTTCGCGCGCGCATGGGAGGATGCGGTGTTCGCTAGGCTGGACATGGATGACTTGAATTAGTGCAGGCTACCAAACGGACTACTTGACGTCCCAGTATGTGATAGACAGTGGAATGGAATTATTGAGTCGTGAAAGCACGGTGCCAGTGTGCCTCTGATGCCGCCGGTGATGAGATGTGTGCTCAGGATTTCTCACTCACCTACTTCCCATAATGCGACCCCTGGGTGAACTGTTCAAATGGGCCTGAACGACTTGCCACACACATATGATCGGTCGCACAGTCACCGGCGTGCTGCAGGCAACAAGACCTACAGCAGGCAAATGATGAGCCAAATGACCAAACCGTCTTCGTCTTGAAGTCACGACGGGCACAGAATCCTTCAATTATTCACCTCTATTCTCAATGCCGCGTAGCTCGCGGTTTAATCGGACGCGCGGCGTTCATCCTCGATCTCCAGATTGTGTCACTCCGGACATTGCGAGACGACCGCTGCGCTCGCATAACAATGTGTACAAACGGAAGACGTCGCGGTCTTTACTCCAGGTAATCCGCTTCGTCTGCCGTTCGACCAGTGCACCCGCCATGGTCTGACTAGCCCTCGACATTGCCGTGTTCGATGGTGAGTACCGAGACCGACCTCCTCCGCTTCGGTGCAAGTCCGGACATACTATAAGTTTGGAAACCGCGCTAGCTGCTGAAGGCTGACCCAGTGGCCATGGGTGTACGATGCCTACTAGTAGAGCAGTGCTGGCGCGGCAAATCGCTTGCTTGAGATCGTCAGCACTATGCTAGGACTTTCGTCGTGGTTCAGAATAACACGTATCGAGTGCGCAGAGGTGCGCAGAGAAACTTGAGACTCACTTTTGCCTCTGTCGAGATCGCTCAGGCTCGAGTCGTGGAGGGATCGGTCTGGACTCGGTGTCTCAAAGTAGTAATCACATGAGGCGGGTGCTTATCTAATGCTGGTTCGGCGATGAGCGATGCCAGCGTTTGGTACTTACATACTTAACTTACGCACGATCAAGCACGATCCTCTTCTCAACCACCCTTCATCTGTTCCTCCTCAAATGCCTCGACTTCGACGCCTGGGCCGCCATGATTCCCTCAAACCCGCTCACTGAGTCTCTCTACAGAAGCTCGCCACCCATCAGCATGATGGTGACAATACTGTACTTTTTCGACCATAGGTTCGGTCATAGGTCGCACCCCCCTCGAACTAGGGTTTCAGTTCACATGTCACAGGTCACAGAGGGGTCTGAACCAAGGATTCCCGTAGGCGGTCACAGGTATACGAAAGCATTTTCGGGCCTGCGGCGCAGTGCTACTAGTAGCAAAGGCGGTCGCCCGCCGCCTGCCCGGCCACCTGTGAACTATCCAAGTTCTGTGGTCACAGGTCACCAGACACTGTGAACTAGGAATTTTGCAAGTTCGTTGGTCACGGGTCACACCCCGCGAACCCATGGTCGAAATAGTACAATATGAACGACTCCGCTGAACATCACTCAGTTGCGTCGGAGGCGCCACTGCCCGAGCTCGGTATCGCCATCAGCATCAATTCCCAAAATCAGGGTCAGTGCCTTCGTTAGGATTACTGATTCGCGGAAGCTTTGTTGTGCGTCGTGATCCAGCCGTTAGGCGAGAGGCCAGCACCGCTACACGAAGAGCCTCAGCTTCGGCGATATTTCCCTTATGAGTCCTCCGCTGCAACACCGTCTGTCCCCCCGGGATATAGCTTATACATGGTTGTTTCTTGCAGACTATTGCCGTCGGTGGGCACACGTGGAGCATCTGTACTGAGGCCAATGCCTCGCAGAGCACAAGCTGTCGCGTTTTTGAGCATAAGCCCCCGCCAGCAGGCGTTACAGTGCTAACTGGAACGCGAAGGCTTGGATGGTGTGTAGAATATGTGATTTGATCCAGCAGTGAGACTCAAGTGAGACTAGCAAGAGCAAAATCGACACAACCTGATGCCGCTCTTTCAACGTTTATGAAGTGTTTGATGGGATCGTGTTGCGTACGATGGTGTGGGACCGCGAGTGGAAACTTGTGAGTTGCTCACCGGACACAGAGTAGTTCTGTAATAACCGGTTCCACGATACTCAGGCTACAGATTCCACGATACTACAGGTTCCACGATACTAGAGGCTACGGGTTCCACAGTACTATAGGAATGAGTGAGCGCGAATTCGAAAGTGAGCCTACGTGCTATTAAGCGAGAAATGACATCAAAACCGAGGGTGTTCGATAGAGCTAAGACTGCGCCTTTGTATCTGATGCGTACTTGATTGAATATGATGCCCACTTGATTGACAGTATCTGTCACGGCCCCATCGAAGTGCGGGGAAGCGTTTAGACATGATATAAATTGCATCGAGCTTCGTCGGCGTACCTCAGCTCATTCCTCTTTCGAGCTCACCCACAGGCGAAGGTGCTGGTTAGTGAGTAGCCTTCAGGTTGTTTCGACGCGTTATACCCTCAGACTGACCGGACCATTGCCCCCAGCCTTCCCTTTTTTGACGACTTCAATTTCCTTCTTTCACGCCTTTCTTACGCCCTGCCACGTCAAACATGCACTACTCCGCCGTTATATCCGCTGTGCTCATCGCAGCCGCGGCGGCACCTGCACTAGCCGCCCCATCTGGACTGTGAGTCTCCTCCCCTTCGTTCTCATGACTAGCGTCCACTCACGATACATCGCAGCGGTCTCCGTGCTGTCGAAGAGGATGCGCTCGCACAGCGCAGCTTTGACGACGAGCTCTACGCTCGGGACCTGATCTTCCGACGGGCAGAACAGCACGTCAAACCGCCCGCCAAACCGAAGCCGCGCCGTCAAAACGCTTTGCCACCGCTACACCCACCGCCAGGTTCGAAGAAGTCGGGTAAGCCGCCCGTCAAACCGAAAGCGCACCGTCAAAACGCTTTGCCACCGCTACACCCACCGCCAGGTTCGAAGGAGTCGGGTGAAGCGGGGCTCTCTGAGATGAGTCCGGATCATAAGCCGCAGCCGTCGAAGCGGAGGCAGCTTGACGAGCTCTACGCTCGGGACCTAATGGCCCGAGGGAGAGAAGGTCGTTCATCGAACAAAACACCATGGAAGCCTCCACGCGACCCGTCTCCGCATCCTAAGAAGGGCCGAATACCGAAACAACCATTTCCAAGTCAGGCACCTCGGAACCCTAATGGTCACAAGATTCCTTCCATTGTTGTCACTAAGCATCGGAGGGGGGTTGACGAGCATTTGCTTGCGAGGGCAACCGAGGAGGACGAGTTGTTCGCGCGCGCATGGGAGGATGTGGTATTCGCCAGGACGGACGTGGACGACTTGGACTAGTGCAGGCTAGTACGTCGCCCGCAACATATTACTTGACGTCGCAGTACGTGATAGAAAGTGGAATGGAATTGTTGAGTCGTGAAAACCCGGTGTGCATCTGACTCGGATGTCGCCCGTGATGAAATGTGTGCTCGGAACTTCTGACTCACCTGAATGGTTCCCGTAAAGCGACTCTCGGGTACACCGTTCAAATGGGCCTGAGTGATATGATTGCTGAGATGGTGCTCGCCATAGACGTCCTTGCCACATGCAGTCGCCGACGTACCACAGGCAACAAGCGCCAGAGCAGGTAAATGATGAACCGAATGGCCAAATCGTGTCTTGGAGTCACGACGGGCAATTCCTTTGCTTAGTCACCTTTATATGTATCTCTCGAGTGAGCAAACAAAGGGACTCACACTCGGTTCCGTGCGCGACGAGATCGCTCGAGCCTCCGTCGAGTCTGACAGTGAACGGCTGTCTATAAGGTGCTTACCTATTACTGAAGCCTCGACGAATGAGCACTTGTACAGCTGGTGTAGCTGTCAGTGCGCTCTAACATGCTCCCGCCGCGGTACGCACAGGCCCCGCGGCCTCCAGCGCACCGCAGGAAGCAGTTTGCCGTCTTACCGTGTGTATTCCATGTCCGCCCCGATGTCTCCTGGCTACCACACCGTCGCCTTGTCATGAGCAAATTCATGAATCAGAACGCTATGAGCTATGGGCTGTCGCATAATGATGAAGCATACGCCATAAAATCTGGAATTCCCTCCATATCAGATTCCGCGCAGGCCAGCCGTCTCGCCTCTCCTGCTCTAAGACATACGTCGCCAGAGCGGACCTCAGCCTCTCCACGAGTGCGTCCTTCAGCGCGTCCAAGACCGCGGACGGCAGACCTGGTGGCAGCGCCCAGGGGTATACGGTACCCTGGGATCGTGCGACGTCCCTCCTCAACGCCTGGTGCGGGTCCATGTGCCGAGCGAGATGCTCTGCGAGCCAGGCCCAGCACTAGCAACACTTCTTTGCGGCGCCGATGACGCCCGTAGTTCCCTGAGTAGTGGCGGGAATGTCTTTAATCGCGGAAACAGAGAGGTCGCGTGTGCAAGGAACTCGTCTGGAGCGCGCCACCCAACTCGTGAACGTCAGGGTTGGAGTTGAATACCGGCGATCCTTCGCTCCCGTCCTCGTCCCGTGCGGCATAAATCAAGGACATCAGCGCCCAGTCGGCGCCGCTTCTGGATGTACCGCACCCTGCCCTGCTCTGAAATCCTAAACTCAGTCAGAACCTCGTTTGCCTTCGTCCAGGCGTCCGCCTCGTGGCCCTTTAGCGCGGCGCGAAGGTACCCTCACCCGCCCGTCTCTTTCTCGGATTGCCTCGGCTTCAATGCCTCGATCGCCATGTTTCGAGTCGGGGGTCTCGTCGCCGCACATGCTGTGAGCACCTCTCGCCATCGCTCCTCCATCGTGCTATACGCTAAGCCGGTGCTCGGCTACGTCCATAATGGCCTCACAGCCATCGACCACCGTGACCACACCCTCCACACGAAGATGCACGGCGCGCAGGGAATGCACCACTGTCACTCCTCCCTCCGCTTCACTTATACTCACCCGTCACGTCACCCACAGTCGCCTTCGGTACCGCCTGCCAACTCGTCCTCGACGAACGCGCTCACCTCTGAGTCGGACCGCCACATCGCCCTGATGGTCCGCCGGCGACGCTCGCGGACCTGGGGATCGTCGCCGCGCCGGTCGAGCTGTTCCGCGTCGCGCAGCCCGCATGCGCGCCGAGCGAGACGATCTGGAACACGGACAGGCTCAGCACGGAGATCGTCTTCGCGGCCGGGAGGGATTGGAAGGTCCTGGTGAGGAACGGAGTCAAGGCCTGAGATCTTGCCTCTGCAGCGTCGCGGCATCACTGCCCAAGCCGCATCGCTGTTTATCAATCCCGAAACGAGTGTCAGTAAGTACTCAGTGCCCTCGCGGTGACGTTGTCTGATTCGCGCGGATGTTTTGCTCACCGTGACGGATGGGTCGTGATCGGCGCGAGTGGCAGTGCCAGGGCAAGAAGGTACGAGATGCACCGATACGCGATCCTCCTCGGGCTTCGGCGATACCATCTGCGTCCTTCATTGACATCTGCCTGTCCTGGGGGCCGTGCTTGTGTGGGCCTCCCGTGTGGGTCCACGGCTGCAGCGCGCTGCCCCCCGACATAGCTCATGCCTTCAAGTCACCGTCGCATACATGGATTCTTTCTGGCATGCCAAATATCGTCCGCAGAGTACAAGGCGGTCGCATACTTGAGTGCGACGTCGGCAGGGAAGTGCCTCGCCGATCTATGCTTAGGCCAATGATGCCCCGCAGCGCACCTTGAAGCGGTCGCGTATTGGAGCCTGAGCCTCCGCCAGAACTAGAGTAGGTGTTACAGTACTACCCGGGAAAATAGAAGCCTAGCATGGTGTGCAGATTAAGTGGTTTGCTCTAACGACGAGATCGTGAATCAAATGAGGCTGTCAAGAGCAGAGCCAATCCCGATGCGGCTCTTTTCATGATTTATGACAGTGTAATGGGGTCGACATACGATGGCGTAGTAGGTCGAAGTTATGCGAGACCGCGAGTGGAAATTCTGAGTTGCTCACCAGACACAGCAGGCTACGTGCGATTGAGGAAAAAGGGCAGCAAAAACGAGGGCCTCGCTAGATCTACGGCTGTGCCATGTGAACTTGATTGGATCTGTCAAAGCGGGCTTGATTGACAGTTGTAAGTAGCCGGAAGCGCTTAGACGTGATATAAATTGTGTCGAGCTTCGTCAGAGCCCTCAGCTCATTCCTCTTTCGAGCTCACCTACAGGCGAGGGTGCTGGTTAGTGAGTGGCCCTTCAGGTTGTTTCGACGCGTTATACTCGCAGACTGACCGGACCTTGCCCCCAGCCTTCCCCTTTTTGACGACTTCACTTTCCTTCTTTCACGCCTTTCCTACGCACTGCCACGTCGAATATGCGTTACCCCGCCGTTTTATCTGCTGTGTTCATCGCCGTCGCTGCGGCACCTGCACTAGCCGCCCCCTCGGGACTGTGAGTCTTCTCCTCCTCTTCCTCATGACTAGCCTCCGCTCACGCTACACACCAGCGGCGTCCGTGCGCTCGAAGAGGATGCGCTCGCACAGCGCAGCTTCGACGACGAGCTCTACGCTCGGGACCTGATCTTCGGACGGGCGGACACGCCCGCCAGGCCGGGACTACACCGCAGTAACGCTGTTCGCAGACCCCACCGCCACGCCCAGCACCCACCCCAACGGGACGCTTCGAAACGGCTCCCGTCGTCCCCCAAGCCCGCGGCTCCCAATCCGCAACAGCGGAGGGAGCTTGACGAGCTCTATGCTCGGGACCCGATGGACCGCGGGAGACCATCGGGGCGTGTACTTTACCGCGGACCGCCTTCCCGTCCACCTCAGACTAGACTGCGCCCATCAGGCCCAGTTCCGGTACCTCAGAGGCCTCGGAGGCCTCACGGTGCCAACAATCTTCCGACTATTACTCTTACTTCACCGCAGAATCATCAGAGGGACCTTGACGAGCATTTGTTTGCGAGGGCAACCGAGGAGGACGAGCTGTTCGCGCGCGCATGGGAGGATGCGGTGTTCGCCAGGATGGACGTGGACGACTTGGACTAGTGCAGGCTACGTCGCCCACAGCAGATCACTTGACGTTGTAGTGCGTGTTAGGTAGTGGAATGAGATTGTTGAGTCGTGAAAGCTCGGTGTGCCTCTGATGTCGCCCGTGATGAGATATGTGCTCGAAACTCCTAACTCACCTGGACAAGTACCTCCCATCAAGCGGATCTTGGGTACGTGTTCAAATGGGTCAGAGCGACATGATTGTTAAGGTCGTTGGACCAAATGACCAAATCATGTCTTGGGGTCACGACGGACACAAAATGCATTACTCGGTTACGTTTATTTCCATCTGTCGAGTGGGCAGACAAAGGGATCCATGTGAAGAATGCTCTGCGAGCCAGACGCAGCGCCAGCAACACTTTCGTGCGGCGCCGATGACGCCCGTAGTTTCCTGAGTGGTGGCGGGAACGTCTTCAATCGCGGGAACAGAGAGGTCGTGCGTGAACGGAACCCACCTGCAGCGCGTCCTCCAACTCGTGAACGTCGGACTCTGGCAGAGCTGGACACCGACGGTGCTTCGTCCCTGTCCCTGTCCTGTGTGAGATAGATCAACGCCCTGCTCCGGAAACCAAACCTCCTTCAGAACGTCGTCTGCCTTCGTCCGAGCGTCAGTCTCGTGCCCCTCCAGTGCGGCGCGAAGGCTGCTTGTAAGCACATCGAGCATCGACACCGACTCAGCCACAGAAGACGGCGGCACGCCCAGCACGTGGATCGTCGCCGGCATCCACGCCACGACGGACAGCATACATAGGGCGGAGCGCGAGCGTCACTGCGTTCCGGGCGTCTTCGACCGCCAGCTGTCGAGGGCCCGGGCCTGAGCGCTACAGTGCTGCTGTAGATAATTTCCATAACAGGAAACCGCCGCAGACCAACCACTCACCGCCCGCAAGAGCGCACGCACCTCCCACCCCGAGAACGCGCCATCGCCGTCTATCATATACGTCTGTCATTACCAAAAGCAGCGACGTTCACATGCATGTGCACAGGCAGCAACCAAGGCAAAACTGCGGACGAGACAAGCGAGCGTATAGTCCGTCAATTACGTTAATGCGAGTAAGTAAAGCAGGCGAGAAAAGGGAGCACGAGTCTCGCGGAACCCGGGGAGTCCCGGGCGCTGCGTACGTAGGTGCGGGGGAACGTCGTGGCGTAGCGTACAGAGGTCGTCTCGTCGATGCATGTATCATATGGTGTGGAGTGGAATTGGGTTGGGTGGTGCGGGCCCGGTCGTATCCTCGTTGCGCCGTCTAGAATTTTGCGGCGAGGAAAGGTTCGAGGCGACAACGTCGGACGGCCGAGGCCCCACCTTGCGTTAGAATAAACACGACTGAAGAAACGCAGTCCGTCTATCGTCTGCAGCGCACGCCGTCAGCCGTCTGCACGGACCACACACGAAAGGCGACTCACGAAAAGGCACAGAGAGCCCACGCTCAGGCATCCCGGTGGATCTGGTCATACCGCGGGGGCACCTCGCTCAACACGTTCTCCTCCTCCTCGTGCCCCTCCGGCACGCGGCCCCCGTCCTGGTGCTGCACGACCTCACCCGGGTTCGCGAGCTGCATCCCCGAGCGCCGCATCATCGCCTCGCGCTCCTTCGCGCTCTGGAGCGTCCCCGGCGCCAGGAACGGCGCGCCGCTGCCCGACCCGGAGTGCGTCGGCGACGTCGGCGAGACGCTCGAGTACGCCATGCTCGGCCCGGGCGACGGCTGGCGGTACGCGCCGGGCGCGTTGTGGTTCGATCCTACGCCTGCGCCCGCGCCCGGCTGCTGCGCGTACTGGCTGTAGGCGCTGTAGTCGGGGTACTGCGACGGGTCGGACGACGAGGGCGCGTAGTGCGACTGCGAGTAGTGCGACGGCGCGGAGGCGACGGGGGGAGACGATGACCCGGAACGGTGCGCGGCGGCAGCGCCGGCGCCGGCTCCTGCGCCTGCGAGGCCGCCCGCGAGGAAGGCGGGGACGTTCGAGTGCTGGCGCATGCCGTCGTCGGCGGCGGGCGCGCCGGTGCCGTTGGGCCCGGCGGGGTTGTACGTGTACGGTGTCACGTCTTCCGCGCCGCCGAGGTCGAAATTGGGGAGGGTGGCGCCGTTGCGTCCTGAGATGCCGACGACGCGGTCGGGGTCGAAGTTGCCGTCAAAGTCGTCGCGCTTCCTGCGCTTGCAGAGGAAGAAGAGAAGCGCGAGAAGGACGGCGAGCCCACCGATGCCGCCTACGACACCACCGACGATGGCGCCGGTATGGCTTGAGGAGCGGGTGGAGGTGTCGGTTGAGCCAGCGGCGGCGGTGGAGGTGACATACTGGAGGGAGGTTACGGTAGTGGGGGCGCCCTGTGCATTGGTCGTGCTGTGCGGGGGACACGAGGTGAGATAAGGAAGAAGCGCGGAAGCCAGGCGAGGAAAACTTACACGAAGACCGAGGTGCTCGTCTGCGTATGCGTCGAATAGGACGTGGACGTGGCACTCGAGCTGGACGCGGACGCGGAAGACGAGCCGCCACTAGACGAGGAGCTGCCAGATTGGGATGCACTGGAGGAGCCGCTGGACGACGAGGACCCGCCAGCCGGGGTGGTGGTGGAGGACGAGGAGGGAGTGGTGGAGCTCGAGGACGAGGACGGGGTTGTGGTGGACGAGCTCGAGGAGGTTGTGGAGGAGGAGGAAGAAGAGGAAGAGGATGAAGAACTAGCCGGGTCGGTTGTACCTGAAGAAGAGGCAGCAGGGTTAGTATTCGTAGGAGAGGAGGTAGTAGAGGATGCGGAGCTGGAAGAGGAGGAGGATGCAGTACTTGAGCCAGCAGCAGAAGACGTGGAGGACGCGGACGTCGCGCGGGATGAGCCTGTTGGCAGGCCAGACAGCGGGAAGGACGTCGCGGACGCGGAGGACATGGACGGCGAAGATGGGCAGCGAGCAGAGGAAGGAGACGAGACGAGTTAGGTCAGGCACATCGGGGAGGGGAGGAGTCGAATGGACGCAGGCAGAGCGTCATCCAAGCCCCGCTGCGCACAGGCGCATTCCCTTATGAGCCTCCACCCGGCTCGGCTACCCTCGCCGACCCTCCGCCTTATCACTCGCATAATAGGCTAACGTGAAACGCGCCACTCACCCGACGTGCTCGCCACATGCGCGGGCAGCGAGTTCGACGGCTGCGACGACGCGGACATTATCTGGACGGGGTCGAGGCAAGAAAAAGGATGGCGGTGTGCGCGGCGGGGACCCCTTTATGGCCAGCGGTGGCCGTCCCCGTCACATGTCTCTTTTTTCGCCGAGGCCGTCTGCACAGGCGCCCGCTTATTCCTTCCCGAATTGGGCTCCACCCCGACGCCCTCTCCTCTGCCGTGCCTGCCTTGCCTTCGCCTCGGCGTCGACCCTCTCCGAGTCGCGCTCGCCGACGCTTCCTTCTCCCCGCCCGCCGCCGCCCGCGATGCCGCTGACCCGGGTGGCGGCCATGCGTCCCCGTCGAGGCGTGTGACCTCGGTCTTTCTCGCTGCATAGCTTCCATCCTCCGCGTGTTCTACTCCTCTTTCGGCCGCGCACGCTCGCCTTGTGGACGCGTCTGTATCGATGTTGTCGCGCAAAGCTTCCTATCTCAGACGGTGAGTGGCCCCAGATCCGTTCGTGACAGAGCACGGAGCATCCTCTGACATTCTTCTTGTTCGTGTCCACCGAGCGTCCACTGCTCCTGCCCATCCTTCTCGGCTTGGGGCGACAGCTACAACGTCCCCGTCCTTATTGGCGTATAGAGCACGCTTCCCCGCTTTCCGGGTGGATGCAGAGTCCGAGCTGCGTGAGCCACATTCCAGCATCGATTAACCGTCTTCACGAATACACCCCCCTAATCTCCGACGTCCAACCTATTTCCGTCCAGTCTGCTCCACAACGCCCAACCCATTACAACACAGTAACCGCTGCGCACCCGTGCGACCCCCACGCCGCCTTCGCGTGCGACGCCGCGGACGCGCGTGTCCCCCGGCCTTCTTCCACGCCTCGCTTGACAGGTCGAAGTGTCGTGTCCTCGGACGAAAGTCGCGAGCTGCACTGCGGGACGCGTTTGATTCCCGGCCGCTCTCGAGGCGGCCTCTGCGTGGCTTGGCTGCGGCATAGCGATCGCCAATGCCGGGCGTGTCGGTGCGCACTGCGTAGTGCAAGCGGCGGCGGTCTCATGCTGGGTCAACGCGCTATATCTGCGCGCCATCTCCCGATCGTGCGTCGGGCATGCCAGCAGCTGCCATGGCTGTCGACTTGCTCACTTCCTGATATGGTGTAACATCGACATCTTCACGCGATGGGACTGCTGTCCCGACACACACGGTTTTCCGCGGGACATGTTCGCCTGTGTGCGGTGGTGGTCAGGCCTTCAGGTTTGCAGTGGCTGGCCGGTCGCAAGTCTTGTGCGCTGACACTGGTCCGGACTCGAGAACGCCCACGAACCATTGATCGCACGACGGGTTGTGGTTCGTGGCCGCAAGCACCTGTGCATGCTATTATAATATGACTTTGTTCGCGAAATCGATTGTGTCATCACTCACCATACGACCCGGCGACGACTGTCGTGCGACGCGATGAGTATCATCCATGTCTGCTCTTCGACCTCTGATCAGCGTGGATGGAGGTTGGGTGAACATGCGAGAAGTGACCCGCTGTCACCACGACCCGTAAGTACACACCTGTGCAGATGAGGCTTGTCCATGTTGACGTTACACGCATGTCCACAGAGGAATTCATCAGCTCAGAGGCATACATATCGTCTACTAGCCAGAAGCGGTGGTATGCCCGTATAACCGTGACCCACAGTGTTGCTTGAGCTTCAACGCGAGCTGCTGCTTCGTTGCTTGGCTCTTCTCACTCCGAGTTTATGCCGACGTACGTCTTGACGGGTTCGTTCGGGGTCGGACAACAACTGCTCATCATCATCGAATCCCACCAATCGATCGCCACTCACTAGCACTTCTGAGCTCTTCGTGCCGGTTACCTGAGTTTGTGACATGGGTCTGTATCTCCGGCGCCGACGCCCCGCCTCATCAAGCATTGCATCGGTCGCATCCCGGCCCATCCGGTCTCCCAGAGAGACGGGACGTGGGACGGTGCTCCTCGAGCTTAACCTTGCGAGTCTAGAGGGTGAAGACGGCCGCGGAGGGTCTTCTTGGCTGGGTCGCGTCTCGGCTCGGCGCAACGTCGTAGAGTGGAACGTGCAGGTTCGGGTTCGCTGATGGTGGCGGTGGACAGGAAGGAAACGCAGCTGCGCACACTGTTCCTCGGTGGGCGAGTTGGACAGCTGAGTGTGCTCGCCCGGGGCTGCTGTGGGCGTGCATGATAGCGCGTGATGATCCCACCGATGGAAGACCTTACTTAACGAAGCAGGGTAGGACCTACAAATCGTAATGAATGTCTTCAGTACGCCCTCCCCCACCTATGTCTGTCATCTTCCAAACTCACCCATCGTCCACCCTCCTAGCCCACTTGTACCTTACGACTCTTCTCCTGCCCACCCTCCTCTCCACTTCGTCCACCTCGCCCTGGCCGTGATCACGACCTCCTCGGTCGGGCAGATCTTCACACCCTCGGACTACGCCGCGCTGAAGGACGGCCCGGTGCGGAAGATGGGGCGACAGGGGCTATACCACATAAGCAGGTACCGGTATACGGTGTTTGCAGCGGAGTTGGCTAGGAACTACGGAGAGGAGGTAGTGTCGATCCCGTGGACCCCGGTGAGCGCGCAATCGACCTTCCCGCATTTTCCGTCCGCTACGGCGATGCATTATCAGGGGTCGACATACCAAGGGATCGGTTAACCACCGGGCAATGAACAACTGCTCGGAGTTGAACCGGAACGCTGGGATAGTCCGGAAATGTTCACTCCCATGTAGACTGCCCTCGATGGTCAGGATTGATACGCACCGTGTCCACCAGAGACTGCTATTCTACCCGACCGAGAACGGCGCGCTCACGCAGTACACGTCGAAGGCTCTGGAAGCGGGGGAAATGAATGGCGAGGTACATCACCTCACCTTGCGTTGAATGAGACATGCGAGACATTGGCGGGTGGACCATACCTGATCCCATTCACGCGAGGGGGTGCGGTGGACTCCGCGACAGGCGAGCGGCTGTGGGAGTGCATAGAAGAGCAGGTGAACGATGTTTGGATGTCGAGGTGACGCAACGAACATAGTCACTGTACCACTGCATGTGCGAAGTGTAGGTACCAGCTGGGCATTTACGATCGCATTATTTAGTGTTTGTGAGGACTACAACGCTGAGCAAGAGCGGCGCTGCTGCCGGTGGGTGCTCCTCCTCGCGAGCGTGGTTGAAGGAAGTGGAATGACATGACCCGGTAAATCTTTCGCCGAACAGGCGGTGGATCTCTGGCTGGGTTTGATAGCGAGTGTGATGGGATGGATGGTGGAAGGGCAGGACAAGGAGGAGCTGCCCGTTTTGGGCAGCGAGCTGTGGCGATCGATCGGGCTGCGTATAGCGGCATGCTTACGCGTGCAGCCACCGGCGACCTCACCTTGTTCAAGTACTCGTTCGAGTCGCCTGCTTGCCCTCACTGCAACATCTCCCCGCCATGATCCCTCTGTTTGGCGAAGACGACATTAGACGGCGCAGAGAAATCAACCTCGGCGGCACGCGCTCTGCCTCCTACTCCGACATCCTCCAGCAGCAAAGGCCCAGCGCTCCCAGCGCCATGACCTCAAGCGCAAGCAGGACAGCGCGACCAAGATCCAGGCCTGGTGGCGCGGTGTCTCGCGCAAGCACAGACAAGGCGCGAGCTCAAGAATGTCTTTGCGGGCGACGTTGCGGGGCTGACTGGTCTCCGCTGTCTCGTCCTCCTCGGGGTGGACCAGGAGGCGCTAGGGATGTGGTCCAGTGCCGTCGTGAGTGGAAGTCAAGGTGTGTGATGATTTCGCTTGCCATTGACAGTAAGCTCACGGAGAGCAGATGTCCTGGTGCACAGTGAGGAGAATTGGCGTGTCCTCCTCCGTAAAACCTCCGTACTCTTGCTGCAAGCAATAGCCGCGGCACCAGAGTACGTAACCGTCCTCGAGATATGTCTAGCCCGCTCTGATCCCTTGTAGATCCCAGTATGCGCCCCTGCATCTCAATGTTATACAGCTCCTACTATCCTCGGAAGCAGCACCTGAGTACACGCAGTATGTGCTTGCTCGCGGATTCTATAGCCTCCTCGGAGAGGCCATTCGACGAATAGTACGTTCAATCTCTACTTCTGCAGTCTTCTGCTAATTACCACAGCCGCTTGAATCCAAAACATCGCCCACTCTGCCCCGCTCATTACTCTCCTCATCACACCGCTCTCACAAGCCTCTCTACATGCCCAAACTCTCCCGCATGTCCTCACGCACATTCTCTCCATCCCCCTACTCCCCAACCGTCTCCCCTCTCAGCCCTCACCACGCTCTCAGCACGCCTCCCCCTCAGCTCTTTCCATCTCGTATCCCCCTTCATCCCCTCCATCCTGGCCGACCCAGCCCTCGTCGAGCCCGAGCCAAAGTCCACCTCGTCGCCAACCTCGTCGTGCTCACCCCGCCGCGCTACAGCAAACTCCCCGCGAAGGCGCTCGAGGCCTACCTCGAGCTCCTCGCCGCGCTCATGAACGCGCTCCCCACGCACGCGCTCGAGCCGCCCGAGCGCAACACCCGCGACGCCACGCGCACCTGGGCAGACGGTGATGTCATGGACGTCGACGAGGACGACGAGGACGACGAGCGCGCTCCGCAGGTGACCGTCGTGGCGTCGTTCGAGCCCCCGCCGCGCCTGCCCGAGCTGGACAAGCGCACGCGTACCCGGCTCCAAACACTCCCGAGCAGCGCGCACCTCAACAGTTTGCTCGGCGCGGCGCAGAACCACCCCTCGAGGCAGAGCCTGATCGCGTTCTGTTTCGCGCTGACGACGGTGTGGCCGACGAGGAGGGACAAGGTGCTCGGCACGGTCGTCGCGTTCAACGGCGGCGGGCTCGTGCGCGAGATCTACAGGTTGTACGTCCGGAGCTCGCCCCTCGGGCGCGAGGACACGCTCACCTCGCTAACCGGTGCGTTCGCCCCTTCCTTCTCTCCGTCTCATTTCCCGGCACCGCTGACGACCCACACAGATCCCGAGTACGCCGCCGCCTGGCCCCCTCTGCTCTTCCTCGTCGACCTCTACATCCAGGCCCTCCTCACGATGGGCGACGACGAGTTCTTCGGCCGGGCCGGGCCCGCGACGCACCGCAACCCGCTCACGCTCGACGAGCTCACGTCGTTCTCGCGCCAATTGCTCAACGTCGCGTTTACGCTTTATTGGCGGGACGACCTCCGCGCGGGCGCGGCGGGGAGGGCGTGCCGGGGGTGGTTTCGCTGAAGTGGGAGGCGTGAGGGACAAGCTGACGAGGTGTCTGCAGGCGATACATGCGAGGGAGTGCGTGATTCGCGACTTTTTGTGACCGTGCGCTGGCATGCTGACCGGCGTGTCTGTGATGTAGCTCTCGACGTCCGTTCACGCCGCCCGACCACTGGCTCGTCACTTCGCAAGTCGACATGGTGCCATTCATACAAGCCGCTGTGTACGTCCCTTGACTCGATTCCATCCCAAGTACTGACCCACACCTCACAGCCTCGAAGAGCAGAACCTAGAACAACCCTCCAACGCACGCACGCTCACAAAGCGGCAGGTCGCGTACATGAGCCCGCGCCTCGGCGTGCTCAACAACATCCCCTTCGCGATCCCGTTCGAAGTGCGCGTGTCCATCTTCCGCCAGTTCGTCGCCTCGGACCTCGTCGCCCGCGGGCTGCTCTCGAGCTCGGGCGCGCTCTTCCGGCAGACGCTCTACCCGAAGACGCGCGTGACCGTCCGCCGGGGGAGCGTCGCGCAGGACGGCTTCGACCGCCTCGGCGACGCGGACCTGCACGCGCCCGTCGCGATCACGTTCGTGGACCAGTTCGGGAACGAGGAGGCGGGCATCGACGGCGGCGGGGTGTTCAAGGAGTTCTTGACCAGCCTGTGTAAGGAGGTGTTCGATTCGGATCGCGGGCTGTGGTTGGCGAATAAGAAGAACGAGCTGTATCCGAACCCGCATTCGTATGCGACGGAGGGTGAGTGCCTGAGCTGTCTTGGCCGGAACTGCACGGGGACGCTGACTGGTTCGTATTCAGCGCATAGTCTCAATTGGTATCGCTTCATTGGGCGAATACTGGGGAAAGCGTTGTACGATGGCATCCTCGTCGACGTGGCGTTTGCAGGGTTCTTCCTCGCAAAGGTATGCACTAGTCTCAGTTTCGATTCGTTTTGAAACCCACGGATCATTCTCCAGTGGCTCGGCAAGCAGTCCTTCCTAGACGACCTCGCCTCGCTCGACCCCGACCTCTACCAAGGGCTCATCTTCCTTAAACACTACACAGGCGACCCTGAGGATCTCTCGCTGAACTTCACCGTCGCGGAGGAAGAGTTCGGCGTCGCGCGCACAGTCGATCTCATCCCGGACGGGAGCAACATCGCCATCACGCGCGAGAACAGGCTGCAGTACATCTATCTCGTCAGCCACTATCGCCTCACGAAGCAGATCAAGAAGCAGAGCGAGGCGTTCTTTGAGGGTTTGTCGGAGATGATCAAACCACGGTGGCTTCGGTACGTGCCCGTTTCCCACCCGGAACGTGTCCCGCTGACGCATTGTGCAGGATGTTCAACCAGCAGGAGCTCCAGATTCTCCTAGGAGGCGTGAACTCTCCGATCGACCTGGACGACCTCCGGCAGAACACGAACTACGGTGGGCTGTACGACGACCACGAGTCAACCATCCAGCTGTTTTGGAGGATTGTCAACTCGTTCGACCAGGAGCAGCGCCGGAAGCTCCTCCGGTTCGCCACGAGCTGCAGTCGTCCGCCTTTGCTGTACGTATATGCTTGTTCTTCTACTGCTTTAGGCCGCTCACGTGCTCGCGAATGTTCGCAGAGGCTTCAAAGAGCTCGTGCCCAACTTCGCCATCCGAGACGCCGGCTCGGACGAAAACCGCCTCCCAACGGCAAGTACGTGCGTCAATCTCCTGAAGGTGAGCGTTTCCCGGCTGCTCACCGGGTCGTCGCGGTGGCTGACATTGACGCTGTGGGATTGTAGCTCCCGCGGTATCAGAACGAGAAGGTGCTCAGGGAAAAGCTCCTGCAGGCTATCAACTCGAATGCAGGGTTCGATCTCTCGTAGAGTGAGCGGCGTGCGTGTTGCGCTTTTACGTCGCAATGCATGTGGCAAGGTAGATTCTTAGATTCTGGCAGTTGTACATTACATTGCAGCAACGTACTGTATTCTCACTGTACACGGTGTATAGATAATCTATGGATTGTATCACGATTGGGAGGCACTGTGCATCTTCGACAGTAGTCACTGCAAAAGCGGAACGTCAGCAACGCACACAGGAACGTGCTCTCGTTCTGGAAGAACATCGCTTTGGGAACCCGGTGCAATTCAGTCCGTGCTCTGTAAACGCCGCCACGAGGCGACTCGCTTTCTCCCGCGTCGAGAGCCTGAAAGCCTGCGAAGAAGACTTCGCAATAGAGAGGATGTGACTGACCCGCAGAGGAAGTCCTGTCTCCGTGTGAATTATCCCCCGCGGGCGCAGACAAACGGGGGATAGTGCGTATGTCCTGATAACCTCGCGTGTCTGCAGAGCGACGGGTGCAAACGTTCGATCTAGGAGAAGTGAGATTATATGAAGAGCTTCGACCAATGTGGTCTTCGCAGTTTGTGCGGCCACCGTCTTCTTACATTCATCGCCCGGTGCGAGTGAACTACAGTAGGTTATGAGACCAGATTTCGCACTGTACGCAAGTCAGTGGTCCATGGGGAACATATCATAGTTTATGTCCGACGACCTACAACCCCAAATCGAAGGCGAGCGCGATTGGCGTCCGTGAAGCATCTCTAGTGTTTCCATACTAGGAGTTTATTGCTTTGCAGGATAAACACCCCGGGCTGAGTAGAACTAAGGCCACTCGCCGTCATTGGGAAGGCGTACGCACCTACATGCGGCAATTTCTTGAGAGTCCTGCGTCTGCTTCCATGCAATTCGCTGACGGCGACTGTCGGTTCAATACCCCGCATCCACCGGCGTAAACGCAGTCAGGGATCAAGTAAGCTTTGACTCCGAACTGACTCGCAAACGGTCGCTGAGGACTCAAATGCCTGCGCAGCTGGTCGGCCGATTCAGCTGTGACTCGTTTGAATCGTCACGAGATAGAAAAGCCAATGGGGAGCCTTAGAGCAACACATGTAAGTCTTCAAGGCTTGGTCATACGGCACGGCGAAGCCTCTGCTTACCTCGGGAGCGTGCACTGGCACAGCGTTGGATTAAATCCTACAACGGTGGTCGAGTAATCTCCCTACTAGCTCAATGAAGTCGTGAGCTGGATATGCAAAATATGTAGTGCTGGATACCAGTAAGAGCGCGTGCTTCGCTCCGTCATTTGCTGTCATGGTCTCTGAGGTGAGCAGCGCGGCACATGGCAGGGTAAATTCGTGTTATTCTGCAAGACTTGAAGCATGAAGCGATCACGGAGTTGCCAGTGCTCGAAGTTCGGTACCGCCTCTAGCCGAGATGAAGGAGTCGTTCCTTGTGCTTAAATGACCTCGGTTCCGAGGCCGATCTGCGACGGAAGGCGAGCCGAGAGACCACGACGGTGGGCGGAGTGCCGACGGTCCGCTACTAGTACGAATCAAAAGGGCCGACAGCACAGAGAGTCCAAAGTTTGCTTGCCTGCCTAGGAGCTCATGCTATTGCCACTCAACGCTCAGATTAATCAACATACCGCCGTACTACGCTAGACTCATCGAGTCGGAAGGGATTATGCTGTTAGGCATCCTGTTCAACTTGACGGTTCGTCGAGCCATGTAGCTAAAATCAACTACCTCGCATTATCTTCGGAACCTTGCCGTACTCACTTGATGTATCCCAACGTCGTCCCACGCTGCGTAAGGCAGCGCCGCTGGCCCGATGAGGTTCCGATGCGCGCGGGAGTGTGATGTAGAAGTGCATTACACGTCTATTGAGCTCCCCGAGTCCGGTCAGCGTCTAGAAGACTGTATCGGGGGCAAGCGTACTCACCAAAACTGCTCGAACGCACACGCACTTGAAGTTTTTCTGCGGGCGGTCGTATCATACACCTTTGTAATCGACAGAACTATAAGCTTTCTCTCTGAGGCGGATTGTGGACAATTCATCCGATGAGAAGGAAAAGGGTCCCCTTGAGATTGCCTGTTCGAAGAAGGACGTGCGGCCGTTGAGCGGGGGTTAGTAGCGAACGTGGAGAACACTGATTGTCCGACAGAAAAAGTATACTGAAGAACTTGATATTGATGCAGGATGCAACATCGTAATCGGTGAGCAGAAACGACGTGGCTTGGCTGAGTGGCCCTATCTTGAGTGAGCTGTTTGTGTGTTCTGGCCTCCTGAATACGGCGCTCGTCGTTGCTGCTGTACTGGGACTCGCTCACGGTGCTTTACGCTGTTCGCACCGGTAATTCGGCCTGTACTCCGGAATTTTCGCGGCTTTCCTTGCGTATCACAGGAGGAAGGAGATGGTGAGTGATCCAGGAGTACACCCATACGAACGCTGCGACGGTATGCTGCCGGTTCCGTAAGGTATCTCTGTCACTTGAAAGTCAGTGGGTATGACACACAGTCCATCCGCCGTAGCGGATATACTCTGATAATTATCGCGCCTGCATGTGACAAACGTACTGACCAGTAAGTCTAGTCATGCCGCGAGGCGGAGAAGACACTTGTACGGCATCGTCGCGTTCGCGGGCTTTGATGAGCGATTGCGCGAAACATGAGGACGCAGTGACGGCATGTCGATTCAATGGCACACCATTGCGCGGGTCCATATTCCTTGTCGGAGATGAGGAAGCGGAGTGAATGGCTGCGACGAGCATGTCCCTGTTTCGCATATAGGTCAGTTGACGAAATCACGGACTAAGCAATTCCCCTACTGCTAAGCCTGTCGTAAGGATGTTACTCAGAATATACGCACGAGGTTCATCGTATGAGTAACATTCTGCTCAGGCTATCATGACGCATCTCGAGTGTGATCAACTGTACAGTATGCTTCCGTCCATCGATGGACTATAACTGGCTTGACTGACTTGCGGCCGCCGCCTATGCAGAGGGGTTTTGTCGTGGCTGGAAAGACCGATAGTCAGTGCGCAAAAGTGATATTTTTGACGACGACAGGGTTGCACGTTCTGTCGGTACTAGAAGTTGAGTAAACGTACCAGCAGCTCCGAGTCGGAGGGCTGAAAATTAGATGAGAGACGTCAGAAGGTTATGGGGAAATGAAACTCAGCTGGGAGTGTGGAGCACGATTTCATTTTGGGGAAGCGGAAGTATATGAACGTCCGCAGCCTCGAGGCTTTCTTCGTTATGGATGAGAAGGTTCATGATAGCGGGGTGAGAACGTTTATGGTCAAATCCGCCATTGCCCATGAACGGCTTTCGTAATTTGTCCTATTGAGGAATAGCATCCCCTCGTCCCGTGGTGCGCTACAGGGGAGTAGTTCAGGAAATACCGTCTTGAGCCCTGGAAGTGGGAAGAGTTCGCATGCGAGCCGTAACGGACAGGCTGATCAATGTCAACTCTCTCGGTTCATGATACCGACCTCGAGGCAAAGAACGTGAGAGCACGCACTATCATCAGAATAGATTCGCAATACACGTACCCTCTGAGCTCTGCTTGGCGACGATGGTGGACTCCGGAAAGGTGAACGTCCCTTAATGTGGCTTGGGCGCTTCTCTGCACTGCTCGACCAAAAAGGCAGCCGAGTAAGAACAAAGTTCAAGATGAGGCGGAGTATTCCCGTACCCACAAAATTGCGATCACATCATCCCAATAACATCACTACGTTGTACTGCCCGCTCGTTGGTATCACTGAGATGCCGGTAAGGACGTGGCTCAAGTGCGCCACTGTTCGCCACAGCGGTGTCACTAGTCGCTGGTTTGTCGCTGGTTGCCGTAATGCAGTCTGTACGTGCCAACACGAGGAGCACGCATGGCCAACTCGGAGATAAGCGTTCGCCATCAGATCTCTTCGGCCGAAGTTGGTGAGTGGATGCCATCTTTATACTATTTCGTGCACTAAGGAAGGTCTACTAGACTCGTCCCATATCCACGGGATTCACGAGCATGAAGATCATCATCACATTTGGAATGAATGGAACATCTTTCGGACGAACGGTACGGCAAGGGGGGGGAAGACAGGAATCTTCCGTCATATGTGTAGCGCGAGAACAACATGCAAAGAAATGTCATGTCCCGGCGCGTTCAAGCCGAGACCTTACCTAGGGGCGTCTTTGCCATGACGCTCAGAACCTCATACAGAACCTAGTTATCGAGTGCTCATCAGACGTGCCAGAGGAAGTAAGCGCAGATCGCTTACGTCGGCAGCCGCCATGGTCGTAAGCTCAGCGTTCGTGTCATACGCCGGGGCGACTTCGACGATGTCAGCAGACACGATGTGCAAGCCGTCTAGACCCCTCAGGATCTCGCGCAACTCGCGTGTCGACCACCCGCCGGTCTCAGGTGTACCCGTCGCAGGCGCGAAGGCAGGGTCAATGGAGTCAATCTAGACCGGCGGTCAGCGATTGCCGTTGACTTCCGAGACTAAGGACGGACACATACATCAATGGAGAGATAGACTGGCAGGTCGCCCACGGTCTCGCGGATCTTTTTCACGATACCAGCAGTACCTAGATGCACAGATGTTAGCACGCCAAGCTATCGCGGAAAAATGAAGAACGTGCTACACACCTAAGGTATCGATTTCGCGCGCTTCGATGCGCTGGAAACCCGCGTCATCGTCATTGTCATAGTCCGCAGGACCGGAGAGGGTGGTGCGAATGGCGCCGTGCTGTAAAGGAAAGCTCAACTAGGATCGAGCAATTTACGGCGAAGAAAGGTATAAACGAGATTAGGAAACAGGATACTTGCAATTGATGAGCCGTTCTTGATCAGGCCCTCCTGGCTCGCCCAGTAAAAGTACGTGCCATGGTTTATCGCCGCCTGGTCGGAGGGCGCACCGCCGAAAACTTGAGGCTTCCATGTGTCGAGGTGGCTGTCGAAGTGGATAACTGAGATGGCGCCGTAGACACTGTAGATAGAACGCAGGAGGGGGAGGACGATCGTGTGATCACCGCCCAGAGTGATGACGCGGGGGTGGGTCTTGCCATCAAGAGAGAGTGGTTGCAGCGGTTCACCGGTGAGCGAATCATTTCCAAGCGGAGAGTAGGCCGGACGGTGCAAGAGCGCCTTGTGGCCGTCTTCAATCTGCTTGATGGCGTACCTGTTGTCGTACGGCGTGACGGGGATATCACCACAGTCGACGATCTTCAGGCCAGACCGGAACGGGTTGACCGCCAAGGGGACGTTGTACCCGCCGTACAGCGTGAGGCGACGCGAACCGGCACGGATACCTGCTGGCCCAAAACGGGCCCCGGGACGATAAGATGTACCGGTGTCCTATAGAGTTGAGAGTTGGCGAAGGCGTATGTCAGCGGGAACGTGGTACGTACGAAAGGCGCTCCGAGGAATGCGACGTCAAACGGAACGTCCTTTTCCTTGCCCAGGCACTGAACCCAGGGAAGCCTGGCGAACGTGGTAATACCAGAGAAGATAGAGTCGGCGGTTACTGTGTGGTCAGGAGGTCAGCGTGGCGTGAACGATATATCGGGAGCAGCCACTGACCTTCGTTATCCCCGGGGTAGGCGGCCTGGTAGGGGAAGCGGACATAGTCAAGGGGCATCTGGGTGTCATGATCATGACCTTCATGCGCAATGACGCAAGCGGCCAGAGAGACGAGTGCGAAGAGACGGGTGAAGGTCTGCATGACGTGCTCTGAGTCGAGGTGAGTGGGCGACGAAGAGTTGCGTCGGAAATTGGAGAAGGACACAGCTTTTAAATGGATCGAGTACGGCAGAGGACGAGGCGTGGCCCCAGTCACGAAGAACGCTCGCGATAGCGCATGTTCTGCCCCATGACCGGGAGCAGAACGCAGCCAGGGCGCTACAGTGCAGAGATTGGGGAAAACAAAGAGGCAAACAGAAAGTTTACGATATCGTAAGTCCGGAGTGTATTGAAGGCACAGGAGGTCTTATCTTCCGTGTTGGAAGCTGATGCCAGAGTGCCGGGATGGCGTTTCATTCAGCAGCTACATATGGAGATTCCGACCGAACAATCGATGGGGCCAACGGGCTGGGCTGTGGCCTGCAATCTGACTGGGCGGTCTAAAGTTGCGATAGATGACGAGGACGCGGGGGCATAGGACCGGACCAGTGTTTGGACGAGTGGACATGAGGAGAGCCACGAGTCTGGCCGAGTAGAAAAGGGCGCACAGGGTTCGCGAAGTTACGGAATCCCAGCTTCCCGTGTGTCCCCCCTCGAGATGAGCAGCATCAGAACGACCCAAGACCCTGATGAAACAAGCCCTCTGCTTCGCTACCGCGAGCGCGACGTCGGGCTCTCGTCGTCGTCGTCGAACGGGTCGACGAGAGTGGGAGACTCCCCCAGCCTCGCCGCCACAGAGCTGCCCGATCCGGAAATTCCCGCCCCGCCATTCGGTCCGCTCTTCGCGTCTCTCGCGGTCGACTCCCTTCCCGGTGAGCGTCTAACCCTCCCGCTCGCTCCCCTCCGGCCTCTCCTCGTCGTCCCGCTGCGCGTGCTCGCTGACCACCTCACGCCAGTCATCCTCTCGTATGTCCTCCAGAACTCCATCCAGACCGTCTCCGTCCTCGTCGCCGGCAGACTCGGTCCCGATGAGCTATCGGCTGCTGCCTTCGCGCTCATGCTGGCTATGGTCGGTGCGTACCTTCCTTCGCTCCTGCCCCGTGTCCGGTCTCCTGAGACTCTGCACCGCATTGACCTCTACAGCAGGCTGGTGTGTCGCCCTCGGTGGTACCACTGCGCTCGACACACTCGGCTCTCAGGCGTTCACCGGCGGAGAGCGCAGCACGGTGTCGATCCACTTCCAACGCTGCCTCGTCCTGCTGTGGCTGCTCTTCATCCCGGTCGCTTTCTTGTGGGCATTCATCGAGCCCGTCCTGCTCGCTCTTGGCCAGGAAGAGAGGCTCAGCTATGACGTGCAGCGCTTCCTGCGCGTCTTGATTGTAGGCGCACCAGGCTACATCGGCTTCGAGAGCGTCAAGAAGTACCTCCAGTGCCAGGGTACGCCTTCGCCTTCCATGCTGCTCCGGAGAATACGCACTTACCCCAACAGGCATCATGAGGGCCTCGACATATGTCCTCCTGATGGTCGCTCCTGTCAACTTGGCGCTCAACGTCTACTGCATCCACCACACACCGCTCGGTTTGCTCGGATCACCAGTTGCTATATCCATCACCTACTGGCTCTGTTTCTCCCTGTTGTGTCTCTATACATACCTGTCGCCCACCCATCGCCGCAATCAGACCTGGATCGGGATCCGTCTCGCCACCGTCTTCGACATCAAGAGCTGTGCCTTCTTCCTCAAACTCGCGATCCCCGGCATTTTTATGGTAGGAACAGAATGGCAAGTCGATCGATGCATCGCGATTCGCCGTGAATCTTGGTCCGATTGACTTGTCGCAGGGCTGCGTTTGAAATCGTCGCACTAGCGGCTGGGCGGCTCAGTTCCCTATCGCTCGCCGCGCAGTCTGTGATCATGACCACCGACCAAAGTCCGTTTATCTTTTACGTCTGCGCTGCTCCCACCCGATTGACACTCTCACCAGTCCTCAACACAATCCCGTTCGGGATAGGTTCGTCGCGTGCATCTGCGCCCGCTCGCTTCTAGTCCAATCGCGCTGACCGATGAAATAGGCGTGGCTGCCTCCGCACGAGTCGGGAATCTGATCGGGGCACGAGACGCAGCGGGTGCGAAACGCGCGAGCCATGCCTCTGCGTTCCTCAGCGTCGTCGTGGGATGTGTCGTCATGACCGTCATGATTGCGACACGGAACGTGAGCGCATTCTCCCATGTCCCGGTCATCTGCCGCCTCATCCGTTCCGCAGGTCTTCGGTTTCCTGTTCAGCGACGATACAGACGTGGTGGCGCTCGTGAGCAGGGTTATGCCCTTCGTGGCTTCCTTCCAGGTACGTCATCCGCCGATTTCAGGGACCTATTCAAACGTTTTCGTCTGCAGATCGCGGATGGTCTAGCGGGTTCGTGTGGCGGCGTCCTTCGGGGGCAAGGTAAGCAGTCCGCGTCTCAATCAATAAGCCGCCAGCCTAACGCTATTCGTCTGCCAGGGCGTCAGCACCTTGGGGCCATGTTCAACCTCGTGGCGTACTACGTCCTTGCCCTGCCCCTCGGAATCACTCTGGCGTTCCACCAGCGGACACACATGGGCTTGCAGGGACTCTGGCTGGGTATGACATACCAACTCCGTTCATTTCAGTTGATTGAGCTTATGGGCTCGTTTCTCCTTTAGGCCAAGTGGTGGCGTTGTTTATCGTCGGCCTCGGCGAGTACGCCGTCGTCTGGTTAGGCACCGACTGGGACAAAGAGATCCAGTATAGCATCGAGCGCAACCGAGAAGAAGCGAAGCGCCGCCAGTTCCACGAAGATGCCGAAGAGCTGTAACGTCCCGGGCGGAAATTTCTCATATATCAAACATCTCATATGTTATTGGCTAACAATTATGCGTCCCTTGCTTCGCAGATACGATCCCCGATGTAGCAGCTACATGATAAACACGAAATGTATCCCTTTCATCTTACGCCTTACAGTCAAGATGGCCTATTCACGAGCGCGAGGTTGCTGGCGTCCGGTGAACAGCGGCAAACGTGGAAAAGTGTATCAACCACAGTACCAGTGCTCTCAAGTTTCCGGTCATGACTCGACCCAGAAGATGTGGGCGTCTCCTACTTTCGGTAAACAATTGAAAGGCATATCGGAATACCGCCATTCAGTCGGTCTGAAATCTCCAATCGCCCGTCGCTCTGTTCTGACTTGAGCTGCAGACCCGCAAGCTACTAGGTACGGTCGGCGTCGACGTTTAGCTAATGCGGTGCAGAGACTCCGCAAAGCCCGCGGATCGGAAGTTGGCTGACCTCGGATTAGGCGCGTACAAGGACGGTGTGCCCCTCTAGAACTAAACTCAAGAATTTCGACCTTCCGATCGTCAGCACTACACTACACTGCATGGCGCTTCTAGAGCAGCATGGACTCTTGGGAATACGGGTCGTCCAGTGCGTGCTCCGACTTGGTCGACTCAAGCAATCGCTCTCAGAATGACTGCGAGCGTTCCTTCGGGAAGATTTTACTATTAGCGTACCTGTCAACGCGACGGTGATCCACTGTTCTGTGCGGATATGTCGGCGGCAGCGAGCTGGGTCTAGTCCACGAAAGGCTGTGATAGCGGTCTACTCGGAGATTCCTGCGCGCCCCCAGGGTATTTATGTTATCACCAAAATGGGCGGAGCATGGACGCTAGCCATCTTGTCTTGCGCTGTATATCTTACTGCTTATGTCTTCCGCCAACGCAGACGAGACGCAACCTCTGCTCAGCGTAGGGAGTTCACAGAATGCCTTCGCAGATCTACCGTCTTCGAACAGCTCCGTGACGCTGCTTACACAACCGGAAGCCGGCCCGCCGTTGTCTGTAAACAGGGAAGGGCCTCTCGCGCGAGTCGTACCGCTTCTCAAGTCATTGTTGGTCGACTCTGTACCTGGTGAGTCGCAATTCACCTGTGCAGTCTTCAAAGGCAACTCAGCGTATCCTTGTAATCCAGTGACATTATCATACGTCCTGCAGAATTCTATTCAGACTGTGTCGGTCTTGATCGTGGGACGTCTGGGGCCTCATGAGCTTTCCGTGGCAGCGTTCTCATTCATGTTGGCCACGATAGGTGAGCATACTCAATTGGTTGCTATTGACAACTGACAATATGTGCTACTTTAGGATGGTGCGTCGCCCTAGGAGGTACCACAGCTCTTGACACCCTTGGCTCGCAAGCGTTCGCCGGAGGAGACCCGAAGTCCCTGTCTGTTCATTTCCAGCGCTGCTTGGTTCTTCTATGGCTTCTGTTCATCCCCGTCGGCTTTTTGTGGGCCAATCTAGAACCAGTCCTGTTACTACTTGGTCAACAGCCTGACCTGAGTCGCGACGTGCAGCGATTCATGACCGTGTTAATACTTGGGGCACCAGGATACATCGGCTTCGAGAGCCTTAAGAAGTATCTTCAATGTCAAGGTGCTTCACTGCGCTGATTCCTCTGTGGCTGAGCGACCACTGATTCGATTGATGCTACAGGAATTATGCGCGCCTCGACCGTCGTCCTCATCCTGGTTTCCCCTGTAAACCTCGGGCTCAATGTCTTCTTCGTCCACTATACGTCCCTTGGCTTTCTGGGTTCACCGGTTGCTATATCCGCGACATTCACTCTTTGCTTCCTCATCCTAGGAACTTTCACATACTTCTCGCCCGCTCATCGTGCGAACGAAGCTTGGATCACTGCAAATGTCGCTACTGTGTTCGATCTGAGGAGTTGCGTGCAGTGCCTTAGTTTGGCAATACCTGGAATCTTGATGGTTGGGACCGAGTGGTATGTCACACGACTTCACGGACATGTCCATGAGACGACTCAGATATCTCATGGAATACCGTTCGGCAGGGCTGCTTTTGAGATAGTCGCACTCGCTGCAGGCCATTTAGGCGCCCTACCCCTCGCTGCACAGTCAGTCATAATGACCGCCGATCAAGGTCGGTCGTTTGTTCCCGTTTATTGCAGCTACTGAAAAATTCCAGTCTTGAACAACATACCCTTCGGAATTGGTGAGTCTGGCGCTGCGCATGCAATGTGATAGTGCATTGACTGTTCCATAGGTGTCGCTGCTTCTACGCGTGTTGGTCGTCTGATCGGCGGTCAACACGCGCAAGGGGCCAAGCGAGCCAGTCATGCATCCGCATTGTTGAGCGCGATCGTAGGAGTCGTCATTATGACGACCTTGCTGGCCTGCAAAAACGTATGCCTTGCTCTCCCAGGCACAATGCCATCGAACTTATGATCTATCTGCAAACAGGTTTTCGGCTATGCAATCAGTGAAGACAGGAACGTGGTTCAGCTAGTGAGCAAGATCATGCCGCTGGTTGCCTCGTTTCAGGTACGTTCCCATGGTGTAATTCGAAACCGACAACTTGTAAACATGCGTCCTCAGATATGCGATTGTCTCGCTGGTTCATGTGGTGGTGTTTTACGTGGACTGGGTGTGTTGACCGCTGCTCTGCCGCACTTTAAGCTCCTAAATATATTATTCCGTAGGACGTCAACACCTGGGCGCGATATTCAATCTCGTCGCATACTATGTCCTTGCGCTACCGATGGGAATCGCGCTCGCCTTCCTTCCCCAAACGCAACTCGGGCTCCAGGGTCTGTGGATAGGTCAGTTAGCATCTCTTGCAATGCCCGAACACAAGTTACATTGACCCTCTCATTATATTATAGGACAAGTCGTCGCCCTCACCATTATTGCTCTGGGCGAATATGCTGTCGTCTGGCTCGCCATAGACTGGGAAAGAGAGGTCCAACTTAGCATCGAACGTAATGAAGCGGAAGCAAAACGGCTGCACCTGCACGAACACGCAGATCAATTCAACTAGACCGGGTGCAATCGAGGGTGCAGTTGAGCTAGTCGGACATCAATCGTGTGTTATCCCAGAGACCCCACCTCCGACTCCGTCATGTCGCTTGGTCGAGCCAATCGGCGTACAAGCGACGGGCGCTGCTAGTTTCAACAGACGACTTTAACAGAATAGTATGTACGTATACAGTAGACTCGTGCACGGATGGAGCGATGCAGTGATAAATGCCCAAGCGCCATATGCAGATGCGATAGCCGGCGGATGGGCAGCACCTGCCTTGCACGGCACATTGCAGGACTCTCTACGAGTTAGGAATTCCCGCTGGCATAGCTCGGAGACTGGAGCTCGTGCCTTTCATTTTCGTGCGCTTCTGTGTCCTGTGCCCCATATCGTAAGTGTCCCTGAACTTGTCATGCACGCGAGCTGCCATGCTGCTGTGGCTTCCAAGTAGTACGGATCCCCCCATCCTTCTTTCCGATAGTTGGCACCGGCGAGTGGGCCACTGACCTACGAGTCGCCTTCTGACACTCATTTAGTCTGTCTGCACCGCCCGTGCTCGTCATAGCGTATTCCGGGTATCTTGTTCAGCCGGTGTACAGACTAGCACTGTCCACCTCGGACCAGGAGGACCAGCCTAGCAAACCATCGAGAATGTCGTAAGTCGTCGTTCTAAGCCAAGTCGTGCTGTGCCTCGTGCACTGTATCAACTTACGGCCTCCCTTCGCACGCGGTCATATGCGGCGGTATCTCATTTCAACAACTCCACCGTACGTCGCTCAGGGCAAGCCCAGGGCATCCCCGGCCGAGTCACCCATTACATTCAAGCGGTCCGATTCTGTCAACACTCGGTGTCCCGCACTAAATGATAGTCGTGAATGTTGACGTTGATCTTCCAGCTACTGGAACAAAGGGGAGTTGACGTGAAAGTGTCCGCCCGTGCTTCTCACTTCCCTTCGATGATGTCGCTCCTATGCAGCCGCAAGTACACTGTGCGCTACGTTGCTGCATTCTGAACGTCGAAGTCAGGCAGGTGGAGTAAGTAACCCGGGTTCGTAAGGCTTCGAGGACATCTCTGTATAGTTCCATCACGGCGACTCGGGCTGACTGAATAGACACGCACCTGGCCGACATTCGCTATAGGGGCTACCTATACGTCGTACAATCAAGAATGGGCATGTGCAAATGCAAGCGCCCGGTGAGTCCGCTCGCACTGGGTGAACTGATATATGCCATTGACTCCTTGCTTCTTCCGGCTGGGACCGTGAGCGAGTGTTCCAATACGGACGACCGAAGCTGCAGGAGCCGCTGTAGAGTCTTGGCTGTAGCTCCCAAATGGGCACTACTGTCCTATCACTCGCGAAGACCAGTTACCGTCTTGATGGTCGGATTTGACCTCCGAGTGAGGAGTACTACTCTCTTGTTATAACCTTTCATGTCTTCGAAGAAGCATTGGAATTTGCAACGACGACGAGTTGTGCGGAACATTGCATGTGTAGTACTACCGACTCTGAAACAGCCGACACGCAACAGTGGTAGATTTGTTCAGTACAACTAGCTTGCGCTCGTCGGACAATCTCGAAGATCAACTCACTGTGTACCATGTCAGGTGCACCAGGCCGCAGGGGGCTTTGAATTTGCACTCGCACAGCGGTCTGTCGCCCCACGAGGCACAGGGGCATGCATCCTACGGGAGAACATCCACGTTGGCGACCATCGTATATTTGAGTTGATGAGATACTCACTGGTAAATCACTAGTAGCCTCACATGTACAAATCAGCGAGCGTCGATCGCCCTTTGTCGACGACAGCGATGCGGGTACACTGCACGGGAATGTGAGTTTTAGAAGACATTCCGAGCTCCTCAGACTCGGCGCGTGCGTACCTTGAATGTTGACAATGTGACTATACATTCAGAGGACCGGTGGCATCCAGCCTGAGGGAGGTCGCTGCTATACCCCTCGTGAAGAATGGACTGCAATGCGAGAATCAGCTCGCCGTGTCTGGCGACACTGAGGTGTTCGCATGCAGTGACGCATCTTCGAGTCGCGCACCTGAATGCGGGGCAAGTGGTAGAGCAGGAAGCACACAGCGGCGACAACAGGGAAGCAAGAAGAGCAGTCGCCCCCCGATGTGTATCACGGCCAAGCGTCCATGCGAGTCGAAAAGTAGTCCGGGATAGTTGTTTATACACTATAGATATCAGCATCGGCAACCAGTAAAAATCCGCGACGGAAGATGTGTAGTGATGTCCGGAGGGGTAAGCAATGAACAGCTGTGAAGTATAGTGCATAGTGCAGAGAGAGCGGTCGTGATCCGTATCCGTCGTGAAGAAAATTACCTAGTCCGATTCAAAGAACAGGTCGTATGTTACGATAAGTGATGTTAAGGGAATGGTCCGATAAGGCACGAAGTGGCCTTCTCAACTTACAACGCCTCGCCCATAGGTTCACCCTCCGTAGACAGCGGCTGGCGCAGCTCAGCCTCGCTTGACAGATGTTTGCTCGCTCCGAGAGGCGGAGACTGTTGTGAGTAGATGGACGGCGCCTCGGAGCCCATATTCGTAACAAAGAGCGGTGTGCGCCGGGTCGGCGTCTGGGGGCTTGCAGGAGGGAGCAAGGTCGTCTGCGACGGAGTCTTGCCGTGTCTCCCCCCAGCAACTGGCATATCCGGCACGGAGTCCAGCGACGTGGTGCTCTCGTGCCCCCCCGAAGCCGCGAATCAGTGCGAAAGGATGTTGGCGGATGCATGCCATTGGCGTCGCGCGGGCCCATGACATCGTCGACGATGCGCGTGAGGTCATCCGTCGAGACCAGGGGGTCGACGAACGCGGTGCGCGGTGGGGGCCAAACTTGCTCTTGGAAGATCGAGCCAGCCTCAGACGTCCGCATACCCATGAGGTGCGGCGATGGCATGGGAGTACCCGGTATGTGCACGCGCGAGTAGGATGCTTGCGGGTTCATGATTGAGCCGCTGATGCTCCCCGAAGCGTTGTGACCAGCGACGGACGGTGATGCCGAGTGCGACACCATGGAGCCGGGGTAATCCCTGTAGCTAGCCATCGGCGGTCCCATGTCCAGATCGTCCAGGTCCTCGCCGGCGAGCAGCATGTTTCGCGGCTTTGGTTGTTTTCGCTTGAAGAAATCGAGCTTCTTGTGCCTGTGGCGGCGATAGAACACGACCATAGCGAAAGCGAGGATGAGCAGGGCGCACACGCCGACGACAGATCCAGCGATGATGCCCTTATTGGCAGTCGGCGAGAGTCCACCAGAGTCAGACTGGGTCATGGTCGTGACGATAGGTTGGAAGGACTGTGGCTAATGTGAGAGAGTGAGAGGTGCCAAGAGGCAGACAGGTGCGTACGGTAGTGACTTGCCCATTGACCGTCTGGACGATGGTACTCGTGCCTATCGTGGTTTCTCGGCCAGAGGCAGAAGATGAACTTGATGGCGGCGGCGTGGTAGTCGAAGAAGAGCCACTTGACGTGGAGCTTGCGCTGCTAGTTGAACCGGACGAAGAGGAGGAACTCGATGACGCGATGTAGATGAAGCAGACGCAGAACTACTGGAACCCGAGTTGGACGAGGGCTGCTGAGAACTTGATGAAGGTAGAGACGATGAGGATGACGGCGGCGTAGTAGATGAGATCGTGGTCGAGGAAGTAGACGATTGCGTAGCAGAACTGCTTGCCCAATGTCAGAGCGATCGCTCAATAACAAAGAAGATACGTACGGCGTGGAGGACGACGTGGAAGATTGCGCACTTTGGACAGCGCTGGTGCCGTCCGACGAGGATGTTGTGGACCCCTGTGAAGCGCTTGCCCGAGAAGAACCATCGGTCGGCGGGCTTGACGAAGAGCCATCAGAGGACGCCGACTGAGTCGGCTGAAAGGTGTCGGATGTGACTGCACTCGCTGCCGACGTCCCAGACCCAGTATCGGATGCACTAGCAGAGGAGTTGTCCTGTCTGAATGCCAGTGCGATGTCCTGGTCGGCAATTAGACTTTGTATGTGAATGTGTATTTACAGACGCTATCATACCTGCCGCCGTCTCACGGTGCGTCCGAATCGCATCGCGGAGAAAAGTATGGTTTGAGGTCAGTCTGCCAGGAAGAACGGAGCCGTTTCTAGGATTGAATACAGACAGATAAGACGAGTCTAGAGGAGACGGAGGAGGGGGGACATGAGGAGGCGAAGGAGACGGCGAAGCAAAGTCGCGATTGCCACTACGCCAGATCACGTGTACTGCCACCAGCGACGGCAGTCGCACCCAGGGCCGGCGCGCGCGCAGCGCGCCGGCCCCACTGGTACAGACCCCCCGTGGAACGCGATCGGGAAGCTCAGACTACCTAACACGGACGGCAGCCCCGTAATCGCATTATCTTCTTACTATCTTCTGTCGATCTTCTGCACAACTTCAGCGCATTCGCCGCATTCTGTCAATACTCGCCTCCGTACTGCCACCATACTTCACTCTGGTATACAGACAGAGTTATGATTAATCTCAAAATGGACACAATCTAGTCATTGCGGCAGAGCAGTATATATCTGTGATGCCATTCTCGAAGTCCATGTTTTACTGTACGTGCAAGTACTGCTGCACATTTGACTGACCCACTACAAGGTATGTACATTTTGAACCACGTAGAAGATTGCCCCTGCCCTTCATCAAAGAGGTCTTTAGGGTCTGCCTAGGGTCTGAGGCTAGGGGAGACGATGGATGTAACTTAGTGGCGATAGTACTGTGTCCTGAATAGGTAGCCCGAACCTCCCCCGATCGCATTCCCACGGGGGGGGTCTGTACCAGTGGGGGCCGGCGCGCTGCGCGCGCGCCGGCCCCTTGGTCGCACCGCGGTCATCGTGCCCACCACGCACAGCCTCCTCTTTCCCCCGCCCACTGTCAATGTCATGGACTGCCACTCAGTGCGGTACCAGTCCGGCGTAAGACACGAATGTATTCGCATGTCCGAATCATCTTCCGTTCTGCTTTCGTGGTCGAATGAGTCGCTTACGCAGCCCAGATGCTAGGCTACCAAACATCCCTGTCGTGTGCTGTAGACTATCCAAGACTGTCCGGGACATTGAAACCATGACCGTTCACTGTTCTACAGTCGGGACACATGTTGTGTCTGTATCGGGAATTGGGGTACACAGATGCATCGATACATCGACTCGAAGTCGGACCACGTGTTATGCCGATACCTCTGTTGCTAACCATGACCTTCAACGTCCTGCTCGTTGGTGCAGGAGAGATCAACTTTGGTGAGGCGCAGAGCTACCCACGACTATTCACTGCCCACTGATCCCTGAGTTCACAGGATCTGTCGAAGGGCCGTGGAATCATGTCAGTGCGCTCATGGCAATCTGACTGTTTGACACCCTGTTCTGCTCACCAACTGTATCAGTCGCGCCGTCTTGAGAGGTGAGTTGTTTCTTTGGCTCTAGTGCATGATTAGACATAATTCGCGGCCAATGCAGCAAGCTGGGAACGTCGCTACGCGTTGTCGGTCTCGTTGACCCCGACCAGAGCCGCGCCGCTGCAGCTTTGGCAGGCAAGCAGGCGTCCGACGCCGCCTCGGCGTATACCTCTTGCAAGACGTTTTCTACAGTCGCCGAAGCCGTGGCAAATCTGTCAGATGGCCTGCTTCCCCAGTGCGTGTTCCCAATACTGTGTTACTGCGTCAGTCCTCGAGTAAGGGATGCGTAAGGCTGGCTATCGTCGGCGCACCGCCCTTCGCGCGCGGAAGCGACGTCCCAGGTGCAGATATCGAGCTGCAGCTCTCCACCGCGTTTCCGGGCTGCGCCCTCTTCGTCGAGAAACCCGTGAGCAGCGGGCCTGTAGACGGTTGTTGGCGTGTGGCTGTCGAGCTCAGAAACGCCGAACGCTCGTTGGCGTTGGGTATATGTTACGGTATTCCAGAGGTAGGTGCCGGTGTAGACACGCATCCTTGGTTGTGAGCGATATTTGAATTCGTTCACAGCCGTACAGATGATGAAGTAAGTAACTTGAGGATCTAAGATGGATGTGTATATGACTGTCTGCACGCCATACCCCTCAAGGAAAATCATCGAAGAGAACAACCTCGTGGTTATGGGAACAAATGCGAGATACGTGATGGCCTAGTGCGTTTAATCAGCGGTGTATTTGATACGATCTCATCCAATGCGCGATCTACTTCCCACAGCGAGTGGGCGAGGAAACTGGTAAGCTATCTGTCATGCTCGCGGGTGTCCTACCCACCTACTCGTCACAGCCATGGTGGAACAAAGACTCCTCGGGAGGCCGTACGTCGGTATACAGATCAACTTAGAGATTCAATCGTGACGCTTTGATTATCTAGCCATTGTCGAACAAGCCACTCATTTCTGTGCGTTGCCCTGTGCTTAGCAGCACCCGCTTCACTCACCTGCTCCTCCGATAGGCGATCTCTCTCGTTATTTCGGCGGCGACGTCATCCTACCGTCCGTATCTGCCCACACCGTCGTGCACGACGATGCCCCTGGCGCGCTCTCCGCCAAGCGCTTCGACGAGTCTGCCATCCCGCCCGAGAAGCGGCTGCCCAGGCTGACGAGCGCGACGTGGAAGTACACCGGCGGTGCGGTGGGAGCACTCACGCATGTCATTGCACTGCACGGTAAGTCACTGTCGCTTAGAAGGGTGGGGTAGCTGAGACGATGGGCGTGGCTGGTCTAGGAACGACGTACGACACAGAGTTTGAGGTCTACGCGGATGGATACAGACTCAAGTTGATTGATCCCTATGGATCGGCGCCCGTGCTGTCCGTTCGCAAACCTGGAGTTGCTGGCGACGGTATGGACGCCTGACCTGTTTCCATACTCTTCGCTGACTATCATCGCGTATTCAGAGATACACACCTTCCCTGACGTACGTTCTCGAATCTGTGCTGCTTTGAGCGACTACGAAGTTATGTCTGACACACCATAGGATGATCCATTCTACACAGAGATATCGACGATGATCGATGCCATTCGCGAGCCGGACAGTGACGCACTTACCAGCATCCATAGCTCGTACGAAGATGCTGTGAAGACGTACGAGTTGGTGAGTATCCACTTTGCCTCTCACCACTCGCCAGTGACTGCGCGCTGACATTCTTTTCCAGACGTGGCAGATTCGACACGCTGGCGAGGAGACGACGAGGCGATTCGGCACTGGTCAGACGGCGTAATGCGGATCATGACCCAAGAGTCGATAACTGTTGAGATTGTATAAATTATCCAATAGCAGAAACGGCGACTAGATGCAAATATCAATCTACTTTTCTGGCCCACTTCTTACCGCCAGAGGCCCTCGGGGATTGAGGAGGTACGACCACCTCGACCTTCGCATTCGACACGGCTGCTGGAATCGGTGCGGGTGACCACTCCCTTGGCTTCTCCGCGGGCGCGCTCAGTCCAATCGACACCTTGCCGTAGTCATCCTTCTCATCCTGGCCCCAGTACATCCACATCTGTGCGCCGAGGACGCAGTTGAGAGCAAGCGCGAGCGCGAAGCCTGCGCTGACGAGAGGATCGCCGACTTCGGTCGCGGTGGTGAAAAGTCGGGCAAGACATCCGCCTATTTGGGCGATGACGGCGAAGGCAGACAATTGACCCGTGCTCTTGGAACGGTAGTTCTGTCTGATTTGAGGGAACTTGGAGAATACGGAGAGAGGGAGCGTGGCGAATTGCAGAGGTGTGAGGGCAAATTTCGGGAGGAAAACGAAGGCTGCAGCGCATAGGAGCATGGCAAGGGCAGCCGAGATCACGCGGGGGGCAGAAGAAGGGCCACGAGTGAGTTGTCTCGAGGTGGGATAGTGGATGATGAGGAGGGTAATGACGGCGTTCTGGATGGTGAGGAAGAGGTTCTCGCCGTAAGTGGAGAAGGGGAACTCATTGCGGTAGGAGTAGGCGAGGGTGATGGCATACGCAAGAGTCTCGAGGACGTATGCAGTGAGGGATATTCCACGCGCCGAACGTGCGGATATGACTATGGCGCATGAGCAGTTGAAGGGGGCGCGAAAGAGAGCACGCACTGAGAAGCAACTGAGGCACTTTCATGATGGAGCCGCCGATTACAATCCCGACTCCCAGGCCTTTCGATAGGGAGTACTTGAGGCAGGCAACATCGCCAAAGTCTAGGTTCTCGACGAGAGACGAATAGCAATGCTGGGATTGCAGGTCAGTTACCGGCTATTCTGTGGGCGACCAAGACGAGCATACCTGGCCAACGATGGAGATGCCGAGGTCCTTGATGAACCAAGGGAGGTTACGAGTGATGGCAGTCATACTGCGAGTAGAGACGGTGGACGTTGCGGAGAGCGCGCGCGAGGAGGACGTGTCGGCTTGGGCGCGTCTCGCCACGTGCTCACGCGCTCGCCCAATTGGGCAGGTCGAATTTTGAGCCTGTACCGCGCCGCCGACGCTCAGCAGCCACTTTCCTCCTCCTCCTCCCCGTGTCTCCATCCCCGTAAAATGGCGGAATACGACCTCACGAAAACAGTCATCCCCTACTGCGACAGGCACCTCGTCTTTCCGCTTCTCGCTCACCTCGTCGAGAACGAGCTCTTCCCCGCAGAGCAGGTCCAGAAGGCCCAGTATGAGCTCGCAAAGGAGACGAACATGGTGGATTACGCCGTGAGCTTGTTTGAGCAGCTCCACACAGACGAAACGTACCAGAAGGTCAGCCCGATCGTACGTATCCGTACTAGTCACCGATGTCCAGCAGAATTCGCGGGCAAGCGCGAGAACGCCCTCTCGACCAACGAACGCCTGCAGCAGGATGCTCAGGCTGTCCTCGATGTCATCACAAATCCGAGGTAGCGCAGTCGCTGCGCCAGGACAAAAACCAAAACCTCAGTACCTCAAGGAGCATTACAATGTACGCGCGATCATCCTCCCTTTCAATATACATCTTCATCTTCCGAAAGGTCACCCTCGAGCAAATCAACGCCCTCTACAACTTTGGGCAATTCCAATACAGCTACGGGAACTACAGCGGCGCAGCCGACTACCTCTACCACTTCCGCGTCCTCTCTACCGACCCCGACCTCACTATGTCTGCCCACTGGGGTAAGCTCGCGTCTGATATCCTGACCGGAAAGTGGGACGTCGCGCTCGAGGAGCTCAACACTCTGAGGGATGCGATTGACTCCCGTTCGCCCTCTGTGCCGCAGTTCGCTTCCGCCCCGTCATCGAGCATCACCGACCCCGCGCTCACGCAGCTCCACTCCCGGACATGGCTCCTCCACTGGTCTCTTTTCGTCTACTTCAACCACCCCGAGGGACGCACTCTGCTCCTCGAGACCTTCCTCTCGCCGACCTACCTCAATACCATCCAGACCTCTTCCCCGTGGGTCCTCCGCTATCTCGCCACTGCCGCCGTCCTCTCGCGCAAGTCGAGTACGGGCGCCCTCTCGTCGCGCGTGCGACACTCGATCCGCGAGATCGTTAAGGTCATTCAGATGGAGGAATATCAGTACCAAGACCCAATCACCAACTTCCTCAAGGAGCTGTACGTCGAGTTCGACTTCGAGGCCGCGCAGAGGGAGCTGGGCCTCGCGGAGCATGTCGTCGGCAACGACTTCTTCCTGAACGAATTCAGGGACGACTTCATGGACAACGCGCGGTACCTCATCAGCGAGGCATACTGCCGCATCCACCAACGAATCGACATTGCGTGAGTGCCTTCTACGCCGCTTATACTCAGTTGGCTGACCCGCGTCTACGCCCGCAGCGATCTGTCTGAGCGGCTGAACCTATCGAAGGAGGACGGTGAGAAGTGGATTGTCAACCTCATTCGCGAAACGCGTATGGGTGCAGACGCGAAGATCGATCTTGAGAAGGTACGCTATGTCGCGGTCCACCTTCGCCTGCCTGTCCGGGTTGACGTTGTCCTGTTACAGAACGTCATTGAAATCCACCGTCCGGCACTCCCCGTTTACCAATCAATCATCGAGAAAACCCGTGGTCTCGCCTTCCGCACGCAAGCCCTCGGCGCTGCGATGACACGGACACAACAAGCACCACCACCTTCAGAGGTGCTTCCGGCTGAAGTCGAGGCTCGGTGAGGAGGGCATTCGTTGCACTGTTTCTGGTCGGGAAAAGTGTTGTACGTGCGTGCAGCTTTAGTATGTGCTCTTGTATTGTGGCCACTCTATTGTAAAAGGAGTGGGGGCAGCCGCGAACTGTAAGACACGAAGACTCAGTCTCGACACGGTATGTTCGAGTACTATATTATTGACAAACCTGTAAGACACGAAGACTACAATGAATGAGTAAAGAGCGATGTAAGGTAGTAGGATACTGCTCACCTCAGTCTCGACACGGTATGTTCGAGTACTGAGGTGTACGGAGTGAATATGCGAACACCGGGGGCAAAGCACTTTTTACAGAGTCCGAAAATGCTAAGAACAAAGGCATGCACGGGGAAACATTACTGAGTGTGTTCGAAGTATGAAAATCTCCGGTAAACCTAACATTGTCTTTATATCTTCGGAGCTCCGAACATGCGATGACTAAGGTTGTGTAAGAAACCCGGCGAGGGTATCTTACTGCGGGGTAAGTGACTGCGCCGGATGTCAATTTTTTACGCACGTTTCTTACTGTAGGTAACACGTGTCACGTGATTGAAAAACACGCCAGGTGCCTACCTATTCAGATACACATGTACCATGGATCACGGCTTTAATGCGCGGAGGAATAGACAAGGGCAATGCATCAATTGATTGCGATAGACTGATAGAGACCCTACACCGTACACGGCCGCCCTAAATGTCGCTGTCAAACTCCCAATCAACCTCACCGCCTTCATCTGCACTATCACCCGGCTCAGCCCCAGCCCCCTTCTCCACCCTGTCTTCACCCATCTTACTCTCCTGTACATCTGATCGGTCGGGTCCGTCGCTAGAAAGCAAGTCGCGAAGAATGGAGGACTCAAGATTCACATACACCTCTACCACGAATGTCTCGGCACTGCCACAATGTTTGATCTTCTCCGAGTCATCGAGCCACGCTGGGTGACCATCCGGCTCTTCAATGTCTTCGTCTTCGTGGTCCCTTTCACTCCCTGGAACCCTTGCCTGTGATGCAGATCGTGTTTGGTTTTTGCTAATTGATGTATCCATCAGGAAAACCTGAATTCCCTAATGAGAGGTAATTTGGGTATATGAGACAAATTTTCATACAATTAGAACAAATTAGAAGCATTAGGCATTAGCCAGAATTCCTTTACCCCCAAAATAATTAGTACTAATTAGTCCCTAATGATGTCCTAATGAGCTCTAATGTGAGCTACCTGAGGTGTAATCCTCTGACAATCCCGTATACTGTTGAACCGTATAGGCACCCACCGGGCCGCCGGGTTCCACGGGCCGGATCGCACTGCACGTGCTGGATCCGCACTTACCGCATAGAGCAAGTCATGCGTGGGAATGGACTATACAGTAGTATTAGTCAGCGTCTCTCAGATGTATATAAGACCCACCAGTAGCGTAGCTCTCTCTCCAGTTCTTCCCTCACGGAATAACTTGTGTGCCTCAAGTATACAACCTTCAAGCAGGTAAGTTAGAGCGCGGTCCACTACGTGTGACCTAGTCTGCTCAACAGGTTATGAGCCCCGGTCGACGCCTGAGTACTGCACCTTAACGGCTGCGACTCGGTGCGCACTGGCTTACCTGCGGCATCGCCCTCACAGGCTTGAAGCCAGGGGGAGACTATGCGCGGAAACGCTGCAGGTCTCAAGCGCGACTCACGTCGCTGCTAAACCCCATGAGGACACTGAGTCCATGTGTGTGGACAGCACCTTTTGGCTGCAGTCCGTTGTGTGACAGAGCGCTGACGTTGCCTTCGTCAAGCAGCTCTTCAACGTTTCCCCCGTTCTACACAACTCTCACACAATGTCCAACGCTCTCCTCAACATGGTCCCTGTCCTGGACGGCTCCAACTACGCCAAGTGGTCGGAGGCCATGAAGTCCTACCTCCAGAGCCAGGAAGTCTGGTTCATGATCGGACAGACTCTCGGTGAGCGCCCGACGCTCGAGGAGGGCGGCAGGAACCGTCAGGAGGTCTTTGCGTGGACCCAGGCGGACGAGAAGGCGCAAGGCATGATACGCCTGCGCCTCAGTCCCTCGGTCGTTCAGATCGTCAAGGATAACAACTCGGCAAAGGATCTGTGGGACCAGCTGTCCACAATGTACAGCAAGCAGAACACCGCCAACCTCTACGCGTCCTTCAGAACTGCGACGACTGTGCGCGTTCCTGCTGACCAGCACCCCGCTCCTTTCCTCGCCAAGATCATCGATGCCGTCGAAAGGCTCGAGGATAACGATATCAAGCTCCCCGACGCGCTTCTGGCCATGATGGCCCTGAATGCTTTACCGTCGCGGTACGACAACGTCGTGCAGGTCATGCTGCAAATGACGGACATCAAGAAGCTCAAGATCTCGGATGTCCGGCACGCCGCCAATCTCGCCTTTGAGCAAGGCTCGGGCAAGAAGGCGTCTTCTTCGCACGACGCGAAGAAGATCTCGGCCGTCAAGCGAAAGCAAGGCGAGCCGAGCTTCCAGCAGCAACAGCAGCGCCATGACGGCGGCAGCGGCAGCGGCGAGAAGGCCGACAAGGGCAAGGGCAAGCAGTGCGGTAAACGCAGCGGCAAGAAGACCCGTGCCCAGAAGGACGGCGGCGGCCACAGCAACGGCCACGACCACGCCCACATCGCCTCGCAGGCGTCTGTGGCTGGTCCCTCTACGTCCCACGTCGTGGACATTGCGCCTTCGGGCAGCAAAGTCCGCACCGTCGAAACGCGTGCGCCTGTGCAGAAGCGCCCTATGCGCAACTGCCAGCGATGGCTGCAACGCGCCCTCAAGTTGGCCGAAGAGGTCGACGTGTCTCCTACGGTCGAGCGCCTCAAAACGCTCACTCAGGTTGTCGACAACTCCGCGCAGATTGAGGACTACCTCACTGATACGGAGTCGCGTGCATCCAAGCGCGCTCGTCTCTCCGACGACGACGACAACGACATGGCCGTGAGGATCGATGAGGTGAACGCGGGTTATAACTCGTACGACGACGGCACCTGGGCTGAAACCCAGGAACCCCTTAACTGGGGGTCGGACGACGAGGACGTCGGCGAGAACGTCGACGAGGACATCGCGATGGCCGCCGGACTTGATCTGGACGAGGACGCCAGGTCAGTACCCTCATCTTCATATTCCCAGCGACACACTAACAATGTGCTACCCACAGCCGCATGTAGTGTACCATCTATGTCGCGTAGCAAACTAGATCACAGTAGTTTGCTACATAAATATATACATTGTCGTCACGCGCGAGAATTTGCTGCGTGTTCAAAATGTAAGGGAAAAAGTAAGATCGAGGACATCATAGAGGGTGGCAATGAAGCCTACCCTGACGGAGACCCAACTTGGATGTTGGACTCTGGTGCTTCAATGCACTTTACCAACCGGATGAGTGACTTCGCTGAGGTTGAGGATCTCAGCGAACCCATCCTGGTGCAGACTGCAAATGGCACGGCCCGCTGCACGAAGCGCGGGACCGTCTTCATCAATTTCTTGGGTGGAGATGGTGAGATGATTACAACTCGTCTATACCCTGTCTATTATTTCCAAGGTCTGCATCAACGGTTGTTGTCCATGGGGACTTTCCTCAAAGAAGGCATGACTGTGCGCGGTGGTTCGCAGCACATCGACCTCTATGAGCCGGGATCGCGGGATCCACTATATGTGTTCAAACCGCTGAACCCAGGAGGCTCTATCTTTGGGATTTATGCTGCATCTTCTGGGGAAGATGTGCAAAGTATCCACAATACGGTCTACACAGCAGACTATGAAACTATGCACCGCCGTTTTGGGCATCCTTCAAAGGATGTTCTTCGGAAGGCTGAAAAACACACCGACGGTTTCCCTCTCAGGGTTGAGTTCCCTACGGAGGATCCTGTGTGCCCTGGATGTGCAGAAGGGAAAATGCCCAACAAGGCTTTCCCGCCATCCACAAAGCGAGCGACAGAGCCCTTCGAGCTCATTCACAGTGATGTGAAGTCATTCCCGCTTGACTCCTACCATAAGTACAGGTACTACATACTGTACTATGACGACTACACGTCCCACGCCTGGACCGTGAATCTGCACACCAAAAGTGCTGCAATTTCGTCTACGCGCCAATTTCTCGCCACGGTTAAAACCCAATATGGCAAGAAAGTCAAAGGATGGATGTCGGATGCTGGGGGAGAATACAAGTCTGATGTGTTTGACAAGATGCTGAAAGACGAGGGCATCAAGATCATGCAAAGCTCGCCGCACACTCCTCAGGAGAATGGCAGAGCTGAGCGACTCAACAGGACGATAATGGACAAAGCTCAGGCTATGCGCCTTGAAGCGTGTCTACCTGAATCCTGGTGGGAATTTGCGGTGAACCACGCTGTCCATGTATACAATAGAACACCATCTCGTCGCCTCAAATGGCTGACACCTTATGAGATGTTGAACGGCGAGGCTCCCGCCATTATAGGGGATTTTCGACCAATATTCGGGGTCAGGGAGGGGTCAGGGGCAGATTTTCACAAAAAACTGGACCTCTGCGCATGGAGAACACCCATCAATTTCCCATTTCCCTACCCGCACTCGCGCTACGTGCGCCATTGCGGGTAAACGACCACTGTCCGAGACAGTTACCCGCACTCGCGCTACAGCGCAGGTGGGGGTTAATGCGTGAGTCATCACAGTACATACTGGTTCATAGACACTACCTGAATATATACACACACAAAGGAAACCCATACATTCTGTGTCAATGGCACACAATGTCTTGTTTTATGCACATGCGTTACCCCCTTTCGCGCTGGCGGGGCGAGTGCGGGTAAGGAACCCTACGACACAGCAATTTACCCACATCCGCGCTGTCGGCGCCAATGCGGGTAGTGTTGTGTCAAATATGCTACACGTTACCCGCATCGGCGCAGGCAGCGCGGATGCGGGTAGATCGTTATAGAAATGTACACGCGTTACCCGCACTCGCGCCGACAGCACGGATGCGGGTAGTGTGGTTGATATCTCAGACGCATGCTGAGATGCCTCCGATATCTACATGTCACTGAACGATGCTCCCAGCTCTACAAGATCCATCTCCAATGAATGTCTCTCGC